TTTGGAGTTGATAATTTTCTCTGCATGGAGCAGAGGTTTACATTTTCCAATCAGAATCTTGAGAGGTTTCTCACACTCGTTTTTAAAACAAAACAAAAAAAAAACATAAAACAGAAAACAAAACTTAAAGACCACGACGATGGCAGATGGAAAAGGATGCGCCGAAGGGACAAATTAATGGCCCTCGGTCTTCGAGTTTCTACATCTGTTATTGTCTCGAGACGGCCAACAAAGGACAATCTCGATCAATCTGCAGCTTCCAACCCATCCGTAAGTCCATAAGTCCGTCCATCCATCAAGGGGTTGAAAACTTTAGGCCCGAATGGGCGAGCTACCTACTGCCCTCCATGTCCTACGTCCTTGTCCGCTTTTATGCAAATTACATCGCAGGACCCTCGGACCCTATAGCGGCTAGATCCCGCTAGAACTTTTCGAAAAAAAGGGGTGGATTTTATGCGCCGGACACGAACACGGACACGGACAGCGGTCTGAATGGGCCGGAGGTGCGATGTCCAACGTTGGGAAACAATGACAAAAAGGCGCACTCACTCGTCCGTGACAAATGCCCAGGAAGATACCGCGGCCTATGTCCGTTCCTGTGAGTCCTGTGTGAATCCCGAACGGATTCGAATCCTTTTTAGCGTCTGTTGGCTGAAAGCATTATGCAAATCAGTTGCTTTGTTCCCCGTAGGGATCGTCCTTTATCTCTTGGACGGTGTCCGAGCAAGCTGTGTTGTGTTTTCTCATATTTAATTTTTTTTTTTCCATTCTGTACTCCTTGTGAGACGTGCATCTTCTTCGGGAACCTCGTCTAATATCAATAATAATTTCGTTAACCGTTACGGCCGCGACTCCTTTTCGGCCGGGGGGATTAGGATGTAAGGCAGCTGCCGCCGCGAATCTTATGCATGAACCGGTTGGTGGCAGGACGGTGGCGCGGACTTCGGAGTCACCTTGCCTTGGGCCAGCACTTCCCAGGCTCTCTAAGGTCTCGGACCTAGATTGCGTTCGAGACCACAGAGGCCCAGCCTACTTTTTCGATTTCATTTTCCTCGAATCCTCGCCTGGAATTCGCAACTCCTGGCAGCCAGTATTCAGGTGGCACAACATGCGCCGCAGGGTTGCCATTTAGGGTTGTGCTCTGTTTGCCTTTGTAGTGTTTTGTTTTTGCACAAACTGCTTGCTGGCTTGCTACTTGTTGCACAATTGGGTTGCACGACGGGAGTCGGAGTGCCCGAGTGCCGGTAGGGAGGTGCCAAGTGGCCGAGGTGTTGGCCTAATCATGGGCTCGCAATCCATGCACTTATCCCAACAAAAAAGATTCAATTTAAAGGCTTAAATGGTAGATATACTTGAGGATAGAAGATACTCTGTAAGGCCAGGGGTTTCAAAAAAAAAATGTTGCCTACTTGTGGGGGCTGCAAATATTTTTCGGCAAACTATGCTTTTAAAATCCATTTTTTTAGGATTTAAAAAATTTATTATTATTGTTAATAGGTATACCTCTTAATTCTACAAGTACCGGGTATTTAAAAAAAAAAAAAAAGCTTCATGGGAAATAAATAATTAGTGAATGACTGCTGCGGACCACTTGCAGAGTTCAGAGGCGGCGGCGGCGGCTGCTGCGTCGGGAGGGGGTTGCGCGGCCAAGGGGCGGGGCAGAGTGTTAACAAAAACTTGACGCTTTTTTTTCGGGGTACACTCTTTGTTGTTTTTGTTTTCATTTGATGGCGCTAATAGCGCTAAACGAATCAATTCCGATGCCGAAAGCAGTAAAAAGTTGCCGCAAAACTTATAAATCCGTAACTGAGACGCACACACACACACATCAGCATTTAACGATAGTATCGGAGGCACCTGGCCCGAAATTGATTATGTAAATAGAAAATAAATAGAAATGAAAATGCTAATGATGCTGGCGGTCTTCGATGGATTGCCAAAAAAAAAAAAAAAAAAAAAACAGAAAATAAATAAATAAATGCACGCACATGGGCGTTGTCAGAGTCCGTCTCTTTTCCTCTCGATTGGCTGAGTGCCACGCCCAGTCTGAATTTTGAAATTGAAAACCCCCTCGTAAAATAGGCGAGGCTTCAGCTTGGACTCACTGCATGCGGGGAGTATCGAAACGGATCCTCATCATCACCATCACCACCACCATCAGCATGAGCAGCAGCAGCCACACCATCTCCTCCAGACCTACTACAACCAGACTGAGCAGGTGAAGGAGCCGGGCTTGGGCTCTCTGGACACCCTAAGCCATCACCAGGAGAATCAGGCTCATCATCTCACTGCTGCTGGCTTGATGCAAGCTGTGGCAGCGGAAATCCAGCTCAGCGAGCAGCAAGAGACACTGCCCCCACCTCCCACCAGTCATTCCGCTCCCTCGGAAAATAGTCCTTATCCCATTTATTCTAGTTTCTATCGGAATGATGCCGAAAAGGAGAATCATGTCTCCGCAGAATCAGAGCTGACATGGAGGTAAGGATCTAGTGCATCCCTGACTTAATCAAAGGACCTATCTAAGTGTAGAACTATGTTTTCTACCGAATTTTGTACAATTTTAGAAAATATTTTTTAACTGCAGCTTTTTTTTTTTTGGCATTTCGTGGAAATCTGCGAAAAACACGGCACGTCGTCGCCTCGGGTTATGAAATTCCCTCGGAGACGGATACGGAGATCGGAGTTCTTTGTTTCGGTTTCGTTTTATAGAGCCGTGATGAAATTTTGTTGGTAGTAACCGTAACCGTAGTTCGGTCGGGGGCCTGGAAAAGGTCGCGCGTCTTGGCACTTGGCTTAGAAACACAATTAAAAACTGACAGAAAGAAAAAAAAAATGTATACACAAGCGAATGGAGATTTTGGGCAGCACTTTGGGGTACGAGTACGAGTATCTAATAAATGTGTGTGTTTTTGTCGCTTATTCTTCGCTTCCCCATATCCGCTACGTGATTTACACGGCCTGACCCTAAAAGCGGAATAAACGGCGGTCACATATCGCATTACGAAAAATGTTATAACGCAGTCACCAGGGGCGGCGAGGGGCAATCCGAGTGTCATTTTTAATAGCGAAAATGTTCTCCAGAACATAAAAAAAAATGTATATTTTCGTATGTGTATTTTTTCTTTTTTTTTTTTTAAGTACAGTACCCATGTCGATGTCCGTTTTTTATACTCTTTTTTTTTTTGTTGTGTGTCCGAGAAGCCAAAGAAGTCAGAAACAACTTCGGGTGAAACCGGGACACCGGGCACGAGGGAGATACTCTGCGCCAAGTGCCACAAAATGGGGCAAGCGATCGCAATCTCCGCGGCTAGCGTTGTCAACTTGAGCAATGCCAAAAAAAAAGGAGGCAAAAAACACAACAAAATGAACCGAAACTGAAGAGATAAAAAAAAGAACCAAATGAAAATAAGTAGACAGCGCTCAAATGGCTTGCAACAGCTGCTAACGGAAGAAATGACAGCGGACACTGCCACACACACACACACACATGCGCACACTATCAGCCATTTTGTATCGGTGTGAAGCCAAGGTGTGGCGCAATTTTTGTAAAGCTTGGAATTTGCATACGTTTGTACATATATGCAATCAATAACCACGAACAAATTAAGACAAATTGTCGAAGTGCTGGCTAAAAAATTGGACATATCTGATGATTAAAAAAATCTTGAATATTTCGAAATATATAGGCTAATAGCCAATCTTAGAAACTAAACAAAAAAGTGGCTCAAAATCAGGAGTCAAGAAAGGCATAATCAAAACAAAGCAAAACAATCAATCAATGGAAAACCAGTCTCAGTCTCAGTCCCAGTCCCAGAACCAGAATCGATATTTGCATAAGAAAGTGGTTGGGGAAATCAGATCAGTTCCCTTTATCAGTTGATAAATTAATTTCAATCATCATATAAATTTTTAAATAAAAAAACAATTAAGGGAAAGAACTTTAAGCTTATATAAAGAATATTATCTTTTATAATAATCTATAAACTAAGGCATAACTAGAAAGTTTCAAGGAATGAAATATCTCTTAAAAGTGTGATACCATATTGTATCTGTTCTTTTGAAATAAGTATCTATAAATTTATGAATATGAACATTTCCTTCCCTTATTTTATTTTATTTATAATTAAACCAAAATGTTGGTTGTCCTTTTTTGCAGCACAAGGGCGGGGTTTCCCTCAATGAGCTTTAATTGTTTGTCTGAAAACTTGGTGGAAATAATTCCACAAATGAATCCGGTTTTCCTGCGAGACCAGCTGCCAGGACTCTGGCATTGATGACCTTGGTGCCTGGACTCTCCCGTCCTTTTCTCAGAGCCCAGCTTTCCGTCTCTTTCTCTTTTCTCGCATTAAATAAATGCCAAAAGTTATCAATTTTCGATTATCACACTTGGGGACAGGCATCATTGTGGCTAATTTATGACTCTTCCTAGAGTTGTCTGCGATAAACCGATAAGAGATCGAAGGGGCAAGTCTGGGGGGATCGTTACTCCGTCCGTCCTGCTTTCCCCGGGACTCGCTGTCTCTGTCTCGGGCTCAGACCCCTTCGGTTTGGTTCGGTGGATTCCATTCAAGGCGGTTTGTTTTTTATTTGTTGCCAACTCGAGCTGGATGCTGGCCAAAAGTGGTCTCTGGTCTGGTTTTTTTTTTTTGTTTGTTTGTTTGTGTTTGTTTTTGTTGCTTTTTGCACTTGCTGCAGGCTGGATTCTGGTTTGTAGTTGCTCCCATTTGAGCGATCCAGCCAGCACAGGTGTCTTTGGTGAATGAAATTAGCCTTGCCTTGGAGTTGCGCGGCTTGATTGCTGATTGCCCAGGTGATTTGATTGATAAGCGATTTGATTTGATTGGGGGGCTGCTAGGCGGGGGTGCTGGGAATTACCTAGTCTAAGCAATTGGCGGGAATTATCGAGCATTAACTAATGCGCTATGCTGCGCTTGTTTCCCCCCTTTCTTTCCCTTCTTTTCCCCTCTCCCCCTGATTTGTTGCAGCAATTCGAACAATAGTGGAAAACTGAATGGCCAGACCACACCTATAGATGTCTCGGGCCTATCGCAAAATGAAATCCAAGGCTTTCTGCTCGGCTCCCACCCCTCGTCGTCGGCGACGGTCACCACCACGGGCGTTGTCTCCACCACGACGATCTCCCATCACCAGCAACAGCAACAGCAGCAGCAGCAGCAACACCAGCAGCAACAGCATCCCGGTGATATTGTCAGCGCCGCAGGCGTGGGGAGTGCAGGCTCAATTGTCTCCAGTGCGGTGCAACAACAGCAGCAACTAATTAGCATCAAACGAGAGCCCGAAGACTTGCGAAAGGATCCGAAAAATGGCAACATTACCGGTGCAACGGCGGCGAACGGAGCGGGTTCGGTCATAACGCAAAAGGTAAGCTTAAAAAAAATATTAAAAAAAAAAAAAAAAAACATCCACAGCAGGAATATATATTTTAACTAAACATGAAAGGAAATTTTACAAAAAGCTGAGTGTGCTCTCAGCTGGAAGCTCTTTTAGGGAAATAATTAATGGACACGCACGCAAATTTCAATTTAGGACCAAAGATATGCACAGGAAGAAATATATAGGTCCTTGAGTTATATAACTTTTTGGTTACATAAAGGTTATAAAAGGTTTTTGGGTTTAATTTTATTTAATTTGGTTATTTTTGAGAGAAAAATAGCTGTGTATTTTATATGGTAGGGATATTTTAACAAAAGTATTTGTTTTTTAATGAAATATATTACCAAATATCGTTTTTCTTAAAATGTTTAGACATTAAATCCTCCTATGCCTAGGTATTCATGTTCAGATATGTGTTAAAAGGATATTTATTTCCCTTACCTCAATTATATAAGAGCCTTAACCCTTAAACCCCTTTATTTTAGTAACATTTATAGGTTTAAAATCCCTTATCCCTTACATTTTTCTCTGTGCACATGCATGCAAAATGCAATATTCATTTGTAGTGGCAGATAAGCCTCGACTAGATCAACATCCCATGGATCTCATTCCCATCCTACTTCAACCCCAACTCCATCCATCCCAGCCTCCATCTCCATCTCCATCTCCAGATCCAACCCATTCACAATTATCAACGACGGAGTGGACAACCCCAATCAGCGGCGCATCCTGTGTGCTACATCAATTAACAATTGCTGTGGTTGCTGCCACTGAGTGGTTGCTATTGCTGTTGTTATGGTCTATGCGTGTGTGTGTTTTTTGTAGAGTAGTTGCTACAGTTGTTGTTGCCGTCTAACAGACCTGCAATTGGTCTGTCAATTGCTTGTGTGAGTGAGCAATGAGTATTAGTGGTTGCAGCCAATACGAATCACGAATCAGCGAATGAGTCGTTGTTGCTGTCGTATCGTCGTCGTCGTCGTTGTTGTTCGGTTCTATTGAAAGCAATGAGACAAAAAAAAAAAAAACAACAAAAACAAAAAGCAACAACAACGGAGACAGCAGTAGCAGCAACAACAATACCAATAAGCACACCTGAGAAATGCCTGCATACTGAAACTGTTATACGCTCACCTGGTCTGTTATACGATCGTATGTGTGCGTACGTGATTTGTATACGGTGCTCTCGCTCGCACGGCCATTGATTGCCGCTAGCTCTGTCTCTGTTGGCCCGGTTCGAGTTGCATGTTGCATGTTCGAAGGCGCTTTATCAGCAGCAGCACTAGCAGCCACAGCATAAAAAAGGAACAACTATAATTAAATGTCTTGCAATTTGCAACAACAAGGGATATACATATGTATGTATGTACAATATGCCGTGTATATGGCCAAACTGTGGGAAATTACAGTAGCAGCCACTCAGGGCGACAATCGGCAGCGATAAGTGCGCACTTCCGGTGGTTCGATAGCTTCCTTTTGCCGTCTTGCCGCGGATTGGGATCGATGAATGGTGCAATGGTGCAATGGTGCAAGCAATGCAAGTGCACCAGCACAGCACTAGCAGATATTTTTTAATTTTAATGCGGCTTTAGTAACTTCCCTTCCAGCCGACTACCCCACCAACCCGCCCCTCTTTTATGTCAGAATATTGCGACAGCTACAGATTCCAACCATTTTGAACTGATATGAGCGCGCTCTCTGTCTCATATTGCTGCGTGTGTCTGTGTGTGAGATTTGAGATCCAACTGGCCGACGCAACTTCCAGGTAGAGTGTGTATGTGTGCCCGACTACCACTGTGTTAGTGTGTGAGCCTGTGATCGTGTGCGTGGCGAGCTGTCATACTCGTACCTGGCCCCTCGGCGCAGCTCAGCGCTCAGCTCAGATCACGGCCTTTAGTCAGTCGTATCACGCTGTCGGAGTAGGATCGTATCGTTTTCGATTCGTCTGATTTCTGAACAGCAGCAATAGTCCCTACTATTGCTTCTCCTTCGCGCAGTCGCAGTAGCAATCGCAATATCGGTACCATAATCACATAATCATAACCGCGAGATCGGTAACCGTATCTGTTTAGTAACTCTGATTGTAATTGAATACCCATCGGGCAGTACGTTCTCAAGCCAGCCAGTGTCAGTGTGAGTTTAAGTGACCGAATTCGATCTGTTCGGCATTTGCATATTGTGATATTTGATATACACATGTATGAGAATATATATGGCATAGTGCCGCTTGATTGGAATGTGGGCAGTGCAATTCTGTTGCAGCCGTATCTCGTATCCCGCCACAGTAATCCACCTGCAATCTCAAAACTAAAACAAAAAAAAATAATAACCAGAGCAAGCCAGCAGTCAGCAGAAAAAAAAAAAATACAAAAATCAAATCAATGAATCAAAAAACAACAAAAGCACAAATTGAGCGAACGCACACGCGCAGAGCAACAATCAAAAGCACAGCAGCAACAGCAACAGTAACTGCAGCAACAACAAGCCAAATAACAGCAACATCGAACCTAAGTGTGTGGGCGCAACGCGTTGCCTTTCAACACCCACGCAACGAACAAGTTCGCTGCCTAAGTCTTTTGTTTGGCGCGCATTTGCTGAGACCAAGAACAGCAGAAAAAGCACCAACAAAAGTCAGCAGTTGTCTACAGATAAAGAAACCATAAAAGCTATTATTTTTAACACAAATTTTAGCAAATTATTATTGAATTTTTTAAGATTTTATTTAAAATTTAAAAAAAATTTACCGACAAAAAAGGTTAGGATAACAATAGGAATTTGTTTATTATTTTAGTTAATATTGAAATATTGTGTGATTACAACTATCAGTTTAGGAACGTTTCTTATTATTTTATTCAGCTATCAGGCAATTAAATACGAAGTTTTAAAAGCCTTTGTTTTAATTTACTGTCTTAATTATCATAGATAGAGGTAGTCTCTTGACAAAAATATTAATATAATATTTGCCTAAGATCCAAAATAACTCTTAAATTTTTCTGCTGTGCAACTGAACTTTTATCGCATTTATTTCGACTACAGTGGGTGTCCCACATGTATGCCTCTGTGTGTGTGGATCAGAAAATTCATTGAGCAGAATCCAGCGCGGCTTAATTGCTGTTTTCAGCCGTCTCTGTTTTTATTGGGCATTAATCTGCTCACAAGCGAAAATAAATATTAAATTGCCGTATTCGCATTCGCATTTGAATTCGCAATCGCGCACAGACAGTGCACAATTTGCATGCACTCTAATTTATTGTAAATTTTTTGCATTGACAGTTAATTATTCTTAATATTTGTCTTATTAATTTACATACTGTGATACACACACACACACTTGATCGCATAGTTTAAAGTCTAAGGTTTCGCCACATTTAATTTATGGCAGAGAATTGGAAAACATATCAATTTTTTACTCTTGGCAATTTATTTATTGCTTAGCGCAATCCATGCACCGGAAAGTGTAATCATTAGACCGCCAAACAGGGACACACCAACACACAAGTACAATCGCATTCGAATTAAGATCTTGGATTAGCCAAACAACTCTCTCTCCGGTGCTCTATATACTTTTTTTAGCCGCCCCGTATCTGTATCTCCCGATCCACTCCAATTTGTTTCATTTGGTTCATCGGTTGCCTTTCTAATTGCTCGCTATCGCTTCGTTTAGCTTATCAGTTGTTTACTGTACAAGCGGATTTCCCATTTTAAATTGATTCGCCAATATATAAATAAAATCTCCCCCCTATATGATTGCTCAACACTTTCGGAGAATTTCCTCTAATTTGTCAAATGAATCAGTAATACAAGCGGCATGAGTCAATGTCTTTAAATATTGATAAAATATTAAGTATAACAGCATCTTCTAATCTTAAGTATCAGAGAACATGATGGTTGTTGTTAAGTGATAGAACCGGAAAGAATTATTCATAATAATTCAATCAATAATGGAAAGCATATATGATATAACAATATAATTGCCCAGTGATCTAACCGGGAGCTCGATTAATTGCAATTTTTACAAAGAAAAACAAAATTAGTTTTCAATTTCATTTAGTATCAGAATTGATTGCTGGGATTATAGTTTCCATTTCAACGGAAGCTTTAAAGATGAACTCAATGTATTGGATCTCAACCTTGAAGGTTTATTGGCCCAAGTGATGTTTTCATTAAAAGATATAAACTAAAGACAGGCATATAGTAAACTTCCAACATAATTCGGTACTTTGGGATGGCTATTAGTCATGGGTTTTCCATACCGAGAACTATATACAATTACAACATCAAGGAACCATTAAAAAATATTTTATGAATGCAAAACAATTTTTTTGTCTCTGGTTCATTCGAAGATGTTTTTTTGTTTTTCTCGGCTTTTCGTTCACTTTATTTCCGAGAATTAACGATATTCATAAAACGCTGACTGAAGAAGAAAAAAAAAAGTTTCACTTTTTATCATTCCAAAAGGCATTAAAATAGTTAATTGGCTTTATTTAAATATTTTGTTATTTTTTTCCTTTGTCCGAACGTTGTTGTTGCTGTTATATGCTTAAGTTATTTTTTTATTTCTTCCTCATACATAAATATGTGCCAGAATCGTTTGTCGCTTGGTCTCTAGAGTCTGGTCACTGTTTAGCATAATTCTAAAAGCCCAAACTCCATTCGGCTCATAACCGATAGCTCAGTTATACCATAATATACCTAAATACAGAGGGGGTCGCAACAACAAAAGATTCCGAATCGATTCAGCCCCAGACACACGCACCACAAAAGCCAAAAGTTAAAAATCCAAAAAACACAAACCGAAAAGCAACGAAAAGATACAAAATATCTTTGTCTCCGTGTCTCTGCTCTGGTAGATCGATCGTCGATCGGATTCGTCAAGGCCTTTTCTGACGTTGCACGTTAAAAGTTTAAAATGCAAATTGATTTTGATGAACAAATTTAATTAGCTCGCAGCTAGAATCTTTTACTGATGCTAAATTATACAAGAGTCTCCAAACCACAAAAAAACCAAAAAACAGAAACCAAAAAAAATCACAGACGCAAACGCCTGTATAATTTGAATCTGAAAGACACACACCGCTAAGAAAATTAAGCAAACTCATGGAAAACGAACCGAAAAAATCAAAGTAAATACCATAAATTATTACAAAGGTTCTTTGGGCCGAGCAAGTGTGTGCGAGTGTGTGTCTGTGAATGTGGCCAAAAAGTGTAACAAAAGTACCCCCAAAATGTTGGCCTAAAGTCAACCGGTTTGATCAAAAGGCCAACGATATAGTGACGTCTTTAGCCGGGCCTTAGTCGATCTTAGAGGTTTCACTTTCTTTAGACCAAAGACAATCAGCAGCTTGCTGCTAATTTTGATCTCAGTCCCTCGAAATCGGTATGGAGATTTATATATAATATATATATATTTAGCATCTGCATATATAGCCGAAGATATGAATTGACCACACTTTGCTCTGTATTACCTCATTTGGCTCCGTGCGTTTGTCTCCAAAAACGTTTGACATTTTCGGGCGGCCAATAAAAAAAAACAATGATAATTAACATATGCATATAGCTAAATATATAAATATATGGGCATATGTATAAGTCTGTATATATGAGCTGTATATAAATGTTGATTTTTTTTCGCGCTTTTTTCGTTGTTGATTTTTTTTTTCCGATTTTTTGTATATTTTTTTAATTGGTTTCTTTCCACTCGACGACAACAACGGAGTCCGAGACGGAGACTGTTTCAGTTTCGGTTCCAACAAAAATTTTTTTATAGCCTTTTATTATAAACTGTACTTGTTGACGTTATTTTCAATAAGCTGCTGGCTGCTGGCTGCTGTCTGTTGGCTACTCTGAGCTGTTATTGTATGAATCACGGCTGAAAGAAAAATCAAGTCGAATCAAATCGACAAAATCATGGCTCACAGAACATACGCACTATTTTTTGTCACCTCGTTCGCTGGTCTGACCTTCTCTGGGCCATAATCAGCCATCAATCATTGGTGGTTTTGTGACCACCATTAGGCAACATGACAGAACGCTTGGGTATCGGTGGTGGATTCCTGATCGATCTGTCGGTGGATTAGCCACCGTCGCCGCCCCATTCCACATCAAGCTTAGGCTTTAGAGTCCGAAAGTAAACAAATGAATACCAAAAACCACAACGCCAACCACAACCTTTCCCTCAGATATTGCACGTGGATGCACCAGCACCACCGCCGTCCGCAAGTGAAGCTGATAGGCCCAGCACACCGCACATCACCAGCAGTAGCAGCAGCACCACCTCCGCCACCAGCACCACACCCACTGAAACGGAACCGGAAGCAGCCACCGCACTAGAGATGTACGCAACCACGGGCGGCACACAAATCTACCTACAGGTGAGACCCATCGACCGCGAGACCGATGTTGTTGAACGCTGTGTGACCCACCAACCCAACCACCTGCAGACCTCACATCCCAGCACGGCGAGCGGAGCAGGCGGCGGTGCCGGGCCGGCAGGCGCAGCCGGGGGCGGCGGCGTCTCCCTTCAGGCGCAGAGCCCCAGCCCCGGACCGTATATCTCCGCCAATGATTACGGAATGTATACGGCCAGTCGCCTGCCACCCGGTCCCCCGCCCACCAGCACCACCACGTTCATAGCGGAGCCCTCGTACTACCGGGAATACTTTGCCTCGGATGGACCCGGAGGCTATGTGCCGGCCAGCACGCGATCCATCTACGGGGACGTGGATGTTTCCGTCTCGCAGCCCGGCGGAGTGGTTACCTACGAGGGCCGCTTCGCCGGCAGCGTTCCCCCGCCCGCCACCACCACTGTGCTGACCAGCAGCAGCAGCCTCTCCAGCATGCACCACCACCAGCAGCAGCAGCAACAGCAACACCACCAGCAGCAACAGCACCACCCGCAGGACGGCAAAGGCGGTGGTGGCGCCACGCCCCTCTACGCCAAAGCGATTACGGCAGCCGGTCTGACAGTGGATCTACCAAGTCCGGACTCGGGCATTGGAACAGATGCCATAACTCCGCGGGACCAGACCAACATCCAACAGGTATAGCCCCTCCTACCAGCCACTCCCACTCCTTCCCCGCCCCCTGTTACCACCAGAAGCCCACAAGAAACCACAAAAGTTGAGAGTAATTGTAGCCAAGTAGTAGTGTTTTTAATTTTTTTTGCGTGTCGTGTCCATTAACTTAACTAGAAACCAAGTAATATAGAGGTAGTTGAGTCAATAATCTGTAATATATTTTAATATTTATTTAAATATTTATTGTTTTTTGTTAATTTTTAATAAACAGTCCTTCGATTATACGGAACTGTGCCAGCCGGGCACGCTGATCGATGCCAATGGCAGCATACCCGTCAGCGTGAACAGCATCCAGCAGAGGACGGTGGTGCACGGGAGCCAGAACAGCCCCACCACCTCCCTGGTGGACACGAGCACGAATGGATCCACACGCTCCCGGCCCTGGCACGACTTTGGCCGCCAGAACGATGCTGACAAAATACAAATACCAAAAATGTAAGTTCTTCAAAAATTATTCAAATTAGTTTAGACAATGTACTTGCTTAAATAGTATAGCGTTTAACCCCTAACTATTTTATACAATTCCATACTATAGTTTCACAAATGTGGGCTTCCGCTATCACCTGGAAAGCCCCATCAGCTCATCGCAGAGGCGCGAGGATGATCGCATCACCTACATCAACAAGGGCCAGTTCTACGGAATAACTCTGGAGTATGTTCACGATGCGGATAAGCCCATCAAGAACACCACCGTCAAGGTAGGACGCCACACAATAAATATGTATTTATAATCATAGGATTGAAGGAGGGGAGCTTTGTCAATCAAGTTCGTGCTCCTTGTTTTCCATTCTTCGGTATGTTTTGTTTATACCATCAACACCACACAGGATCGAAGAAAACACAGAGTCCCAGCCGGTAAAAATCTATTTCTCGAGGCGAGGATGGAGAAAGGGTTGATTTTCTTATTCGGCGATTTGTCAGGGAATCTGTGTCAGCTTTCTTGTCCGGACTTCGGTCCTACCCCGAGGTGCGATCCGCCACCCCTTTGCTCAATTACACACACAGCCCATATCCTGGGCGCAATGATAAATGATACTGAGAATGGAAAACGAGTGTGTGATCCCTTGATGAGAATTTGAATATTTCGTTCAATGCAAATTGCTGGCTGTCTAGGGCCGGGGCCTTTCAACAGCCGTCCGGAATGTTTGTTCAGGACGATGGCAAGAAGTAGTGCTCCTTGTAGGAGCACACCAGGACAATACCCATCAACATCATCAATCAGATAAGCTTAAATGACGTCTGCTCCTCGAGACGGAAGACGAAAGACGGAGCACCGAACTCGGAACTCGGAGATGCAAATGCAAATTGTAAACTGAACCGTTGAGAGATGAAGAATGACATCAAAGTTACAGTTGAAAGTGGTGAATGGGTTGAGGAAATGGCTGGAGGAAACGGGATATCCACATAAAAAAAAAAGGGGAAAGGAAGTAGGGAAGTCCTGGAGACTAAGTAAACAACAATTGAAGTTTTGAAGGAATCCGAATCGGAATCCAAATCCGAGTCCTGCCAATTTGCATACGAACTGTACAACAAAATAGAAGAATACTTGCCACAAAACTTGAAGAAACGAAATCAAATGAATCGTAAAGATCTTCAGATATGCCCACCGAGTATCTCGGTCGAGCTTAACCTTCCCTCCACATCTCAAGTTCGCTGGGTCTCCGGCTCTCAGATTACCATAAAAGTGCCATATTTTGCAAGGCTCGACAAAAAAGTGTCAAAATTAATTTACGAGTTTATTTGTTTAGAGACCCGCGCCCTTTTCCCAAAAAACGGAAAAAAATTATTTAAAGCGAAGACGAAAAAGAAAAACTTCATAGGCATTTGCATTTGCATATCCCAATCATGAGATGTCCATTTTCTAACGGGGGATAGAAAAGAAAAAATTAAGAAAATCGGTAGAAAAAAGTGAGTATAATTTACGAGCTGATTAGCCCATGAATATGTAAAGACTTCCACACAGAGTCCCGAAGAAAACACACAAAAATATTTATGCTGTAATCAGTTAACCCCCGGCGACTTCGCAAAGACACTGCCAACGATGATGATCCTTTGGAAAGGGTTGCTTCGTAACAGTTTCCTTCACTAATTTTTTGGGAACTATCTTCGGGTGTATCTGTGCGCTTCCTTTTTACCTTTCCTATCCCGGCATAATTATTCAAAATGTGGAAAAAATAACACAGAGAGACACATAAATGATTGAGCAAAAATGCAAATGCTGGGAAAACAAAAGGAGCCTCGACGAAGATGATACAAAATGTGTTGGACGTTTTTCTGCTAAATCGAATTCGTCCTTTTGTGCCGGCAGGGCCTAATCCTTTTGACTTTTACGGGCGTAGGGTGCGATCCTGTGAGTTGTGAGTTGAGTGTCACAACGTATATATGTCAGAGCAATGAAACCCGGCGTAGCAAGCCTGCAACTCTACGGGATAGTATAAACGGATTACGGAATGTTTGCCGGAGAATCATGCCATTTCCTTGAAGATAAAGATCAACTTTCTGCTTCAAGGATAATGCATTTACATTTTCTAATTAAAGTCTGTACATTTTCTTTAATTTGGATTAAGTAAACCCCCCAGATAGTGCTCCCTTTTTAAATGGAAGCACATCCGTTGGTTAATTTTTAGTGCTTCCTTTGGATTATTAACATAATTGAGAAAATGTTTATTTTTAGTGGCCTCTTAACTCAGTCTTGCACTTAATTTTATAACCATATTTGTTTTTCTGTTCCTTCTCCCTTCCAACTACCCACAGAGTGTGATCATGCTAATGTTCCGCGAGGAGAAGAGCCCCGAGGACGAGATCAAGGCCTGGCAATTCTGGCACAGTCGTCAGCATTCCGTGAAGCAAAGAATCTTGGATGCAGGTGCGTAAAACCAAAGTTTTTAAGTCCCCACCTCCTGCCCATCTTAGTCCCCCCCTACTTCATATAGTAGAGTGGCCCGCGACGTTCTATGGCGAAGAAGTGTCCAGCAGCGTCGCCTGCCGGACTGTCCATTTGTATTGTCTAGTATTTCTAGCAGTAAATTGTTGCTTTTTATTGAAAGGCCCGCAACGTTCCAGGAGAGTTATGACATTGATAAACGCGCATCGCGCATCGAGCATCGCGCGGCAGCAACTCTGAGCTCTCCAGCTCTGCCGCTCCGTTTGTTTGATTGCAGATAATCTCGGTTGCAAGTTGCAGGTTGCAAGTTGCTAGTTGCTTTCTAGTAACTACTGGCAGATGCTTCTGCTTCTGCTGCTGCTGCTGCAGTGCCTCTGGCCCATCAAACATAACTCATAAGGCACTTGTCACTGGACGGCAACGCAGAAATTTCCTTAATTGTTAATACAAACATATTTTCCAATGTCCAACCATCGAGAATCCCCACCACAATCCCCACCACCTCTTGGCATTTTTTTTTATTTCACTCTTCTGATTATCTGGCTATGGTCTGCTATTGCTCTTCTTCTCCAGATACAAAGAACTCGGTTGGCCTGGTTGGCTGCATCGAGGAAGTGTCGCACAATGCCATCGCCGTCTACTGGAATCCGCTGGAGAGCTCCGCCAAGGTAAGTTCTTCCCATTCTAGATCTAGATTCTAAGGCAATCCAAGTTATGGAATTTTTTAAGTTACCCTGTATTCTGAGGAGGTTCTTTTAGAAAGTTTTTAAAGAAGTTTATTAAATGCTTTTTCAACTAGGTTTTTAAGGAAATTAAGATACATTTCTATCTTAAGATCTATCTAAAAAAAATTATATATTTTTTGCCTGAATAATACGCTTATAAGCTCTTAGGAGCTTAGGAGCTCCTACCCCTTAGGAGCTCTGTAAAAGGCCTTTCTTAAATGACTCTGTCCTAATAAAATACCTATATTTTTAGGTCCTCTATTTTAAGTCTATCTTCTGTTATTACAATACTCTTCTTAAGAGCTTTAAAATAGGTCGTATCTATATCTTAATATAATACGACTTATGGTATTAGCCCTCTAGTATTAGCTCATGTGCTATTAATCTTTCAGAATATATTACCATTCTTTAGGACCTCTATTATAGGTCTATCTTCATTTAATCATTCTCAATATAATACCATATTTGCGACCTCTATGTTAGGTCTATCTTGTCTAAATCTTTTATAATAATGTTACTATTTTTTAGGCTTATTAATCCTCTATAGGGTATATCTATTTCTATACTTCAAGATCCTCTATAGAATACTTTTGTGTGTTTTTCCCTCTCTACCATTTTGTTTACTTCGAGCGCCGCCTCAATTAAAAAAGAAAAAAAAGAAAAAAATAAAAAAAAAGAATTTAGCGCGACACTTTTATGAACCAGAAAGAGATACAAGATATACCCGCAAAGTCCTCTTCTGCTTGCACGTGTGTGTATCAGTGTGTGTGTGTGTGTGAAGAATTAATTTCTGATTTATTTTCAATTGCGAGTAAAACGCAAATTATTCAACAAGCGTCGCCATTGCCTCAGAGTCAGCTATGTCCATCCCTTTTCGTTGCCCAGTTAAGCTTATTCTTCTGTCTCTATTCCACACATTTGTTGTTGTTGTTTTTTTTGCAAAAGAATAATTTATGCATTTATTTATTTATGACACTTAGTTTTAATCACTTACTCGCAAATGCTTGGAACTAAGTCTGTGTCTGAGTTTGAGTCTCAAAGCCCCGGTCTCTGTCTCAGAGTGCGGTGTTGTTGTTGGTTTTTGGTATTACTTTGGCTGTAACCACAGACCGGGCTCCCACCGCGTTTTAATTTAGCAATTATCAAGCATTTTAATCGGTGGAAAATATTTGCAATTCTATTGCAGCAAGCGCCAGTCGTAAGACCAGTAAGCGCTAGGCAGCCCTCGTATTACGTATACGCAGTGTTGGTCAGCTTCATCCTATGCTCCTCCTCTTTGTTTACAAAATACGATCCAGACTCTTAAATATATGTATCAATTAATTATTTATCTTTTATTAATGTTAAGTTTTCTTTTGGTTAAAATGAGAAAAACAAATGCCAAAATAGCGAATTGATTTTCATTCAAGTTCAGTGACTTCTGGTCGGTCTGCCAATTTGGTCAGCAATTATTAACTGGCTGGACGTAAGTGCATGTCGCCTATCCACCCCCCTCCACCCACTCGCATTTGATGGAGCTTTTTATTTACAAATTGTTTACGCGCTGAGATGTTAATCCCAGCGACATCGTCTGCGTCAAGAGAGAGAGTCTGGCCAAGTCGAATCGCCTCGCATAATGTCGATTTCGTTTTATGCCGTTAGCTGCATCTGTATCTCCATCTTTTGCCTCAATCTGTATCTGTATGGTATATATTAGTGTTGGTGTGTGTGTTGGCAATGCCTTTCCCAGAGGCAAAACTTTCGTACGCACCGACACGCAGGTGCTTCGGCTTCCTCCACACGCCTCTCGGCCACCCGACCGCCCGACCGCCCGCCTTCTGCTTATATGGTACGCGCCCGCTAATTATTCACATTAAATACTGCTCGTCCACATCTTGGTCGCTTGCTGGCTTGCTAGCTTGGATGTTGGATGTTGAATGTTGGTTGTTGGTTGTTGCTTACTGGATGTGGCAGACTGCAACTGCGACTGCTGCACTTTTACCATTAAGATTGTTTCCTTTGGTATTTTTGCGTTGATGGATTTTCTTTTTATTTTTTTTCTTATTTTTTTTTTTTTACGCGCTCACATTGTCCGACTGTCTGACTGTCCGTCTGTCTCTCCCTCTGTCTGGCGGACTCAACTTGGACTCTCGGCCTGGCATGCTTAAAATGCCTTAAAACACACACACACACAAAGACAAACAGAGATACAGATACAGATACAGATGCAGATACTTATACAGATGCTGGCCAACACACCTTGCACTGAATCGAAGTCAAACTAAAAATGAATTGGATGCGATACAAAGTCGCGGCTTGAGTTGGCTCGTTACTTGGCTTTGGTTTTTCGTTACGAGCCCCCTCACTCTTGGCATCTGTTGGCTTTCAGGCTCTGGCCATCATTGGCATCACGGTCCTCTGTGTATTGCCTTGTTATTGCGACCGAGCCCCCACCTCCTTACCAACCACCTTTATATCGGCTGGTGCTCCTTATTTTATTTTCTTCTGGTGCGTATAATGCGTGTTGGTATGAGTGTGTGTCTGTCTGGCTGTCTGCCTGTCCGGTGGAATGTTTTAAACTGTCGTGGGCATAAAGAGGACATCGACTTAATAGAGAGAAAACAATTGCCTTCTAATAGCGGCAAGCGGCAGACGCATTTCAGTCTTTTTTTTTGTCATCCGATATAATTTCTTTTTATGTTCATAATTGTTTTACATTTGTATATTTTATGGCATTTTTCACATTTGCTTTTTTTTCTTTGCTCTCTTTTCTTTATTTTATATATATCTTTTACTTTTTTTTTATAAAAAAAAAAACAGATCAACATTGCGGTACAGTGCCTGAGCACGGATTTCAGCAGTCAAAAAGGAGTCAAGGTAAGTTCAGAGATAGCCTTTCAGAGAAATCGGTTAGCCAAGCTCTTTCTACAAATGCAATTCAGTTCAGAGTGCCTCGCCTTTGATGGGCTAAGTAATAACCAATTTAATGCCAACTTGTTAATGGCAAATCAATACGGCCAATGCAACGATCGAATCGATCCCTCTTCCCAAGAGCACTCGTCTTGACAATGTTGGCTGTGGCCGGGCCGGAGCAGGGGATTGGGATTTCGTTCTCCCTCTCCCACAGCACCTGCTCCACTAAGTTGGCCAAAGCGGATTGCACATCCTCCTGGCTGGCTGGACTGGACTGGACTGGCCTGGAGTTGTAATGCGTACATTAAGTCTGATATTTCATTGACAGAAACACAGGCAAGAACTCGATGCTTTTCATTAAAAAAGAAAAAAGAGATCAGGGGAACTCTGCACGGAGAGAAATGTCAATAAAACAGATCAAGCTTTCAAGAATTTATGCATTCAATTGATACAATTATTTTTTAATAACTTCTTCAACTTAATCTCCATTGAATTGCATCAGAGACTTTGAATTTTCAAAACGGAAACGTTCGCAAGGATGATTGTTTGCTTTTTGTCCGTGTGGGGCAGGTAGTGTGGGCAAATAACCAAATCAAATTATGCACTTGCCACGACATGTTGCACTCACACTGCCGCACACACACTGGACATCGGACAACGGATGTTGGCAGTTTAACATCACTCCGGCCACGCCCCAACGGCTCCGGCCACGCCCTCTCGATGCCAAATGACAACGGCTAATTGCAGCTGTTGCAAGTCGGCTGGTTGGTAGCAAGCCCTCCTTTTTGTGCCCCTCGGAGGCACAAGGCTGGCAATTTGAATGATGCGAGTAGGTATTGTGTGATATTAATACGAATTCTGTTTTTATGGTTGCAGGGCCTGCCGTTGCACGTACAAATCGACACATTCGAGGACCCCAGGGATACGGCGGTCTTCCATCGCGGCTACTGTCAGATAAAGGTCTTCTGCGATAAGGTAAGTGATTTTATTTTCTATAGCTCTTCTTCCTTCTCGAGAGCTGCAGGAGTTCGAGAAGCTGGTAGCTCAAAGTTCCCCCTTTTGCTCACATAATTACGCATACAGAAGCACGGCGGTGGCAGCAATCTTTCCCTCTGCCACGTGCAACAGGTTGATGAGCTAACTAAAAGCTGCCTACGTGCCGGTTTTTTTCCATCTTCAAACACCAGTGGTCAAAATAATAGGACAAAGGGGTTTATAAAAAAGGTTAAACAAAAGGTTTATCATATTATTGGGGATTTGTTTCTTGAAAACGTTTTATTTTCTTTTTTTTAAATGTTTATAAGCTTCTCAAACTTATCAATTTTATTGGTGATAGGTTTTTGTCCGCTTTTATATATTGTTTTCTTGTATGGGATTCGCCTGGCACTTGTTGCTGCTGCCGCTGCTGTGGCTGCTTCTCCTTCGGATGTGGCAACTGCAACTTTTATCGAATTGGGGGCACCGGCAATGCCTGTCCGTCAGTCACTGAAGCCTTTAGTGGAAAGCGTAACGCGTACAAAAGTAAATGGCCAACAAGCATACATACATATATACATATATATATACTTGTACAAAGATATATCCTTTCCATGCCCTTGTTTTGTACCTTTACCTTTATGCGAACCCTTCACTTTTTCGCTTGATGGGGTTTATTAATAAATCATTTCGTGGATTTCCAATTTAATTTTCTCATATCATTACACTTCGTCCCTCGGCCTCGACGCTTTGGACATTGGTCAGGGACTCTCTGAACTGCGATTCGGAGTTGGCTTTTATTGTACACAAAGTACAGGGCCCAGATCCGATCCCTTCCATGGCCATATCGCTATCGAGCCCAGGCTTATATTTCACATTTCGGGGCCGGCCCTTTTGCTGGCCAAGTCAGACCGACCCGGCCAGGCCAGCGTGTGTTTATCGGTAAATGTATCAATTAAATTTCGCGTACCACGTTATTTTGGCATCGCCCCAGTCTCCCTTTTATTTTCTCTGCGATTTTGTATGTTTTGGGATTTCAGAAATTTTGATTTCACTGCAATTGCAGTTTCAGTTGCAGTTCCGTCCGTTTGGCACCTCTGGGGCCCTCGCTGGCCAATTATGAATCTTTAAGTTTAAGATTGCCCAAAAAAAGAGATACGAAATGGTTCATGGCATCATGAGAATTTGTCTTTGGGAGTGAACACTGTTATTTGGGGGTTTTCAGTTTGGGGACTTTGGAATTCAATCGAGCTTTCCCTTGAGAAGAGAAAATCTTGATTCTTAAGCTTGATTTCTCGATGGATCTAACTCCACCATCGGGGAAAAATCATTATAGAATTTAACTAACGTTAATGCTAATGGCAATGGTAATGGTAATGTCCCTCCCGCCTCCTCAAAAAGTGGCAGCCCACTTGGATGTGAGACCTCTGTCTTCGTCATACTTTGAAGTCGATTAACAGCAACCAAAAAGCTGGAGGGGAGTGGTGGGGAGTTGCCAGTTTGGGAAGTGGGGGGGCAGAGGCGGAGACTGGACAGAGGCGAGCATTGACCGCATTGGGCGATTCGAGACGCCGTCGCCTTAGCTTGTTTCCACGCTGCACGTCTCGCGTTGCACGTTGCCCGTTTGCCCGTTGCCAGATTGCCAGTTTGCCAGTTTGGCGATATTTTTGCCAAGATAAAATAAAAGTAATAAAATACAGTTATTTACATGCCACACACACACTCACTCGCCGGCGCATAACCGATGTACATCGAATGCATCGCTCTAGGCTAAAATACTCTGTGATAAGCGAAGAAGCCAAGAACTTGGGATTGGAACTTGGACTGGGACTGGGATTGGGAGGGACTGAGTGCTGGCTATCACGCATCCATACTACACATCCTTGCATAATATAAGATGCTGCAAAAAAATTAAAAATAAAATAAAACGTTGCAGGAGCAACATCATACCAAGTAGATTGCTGCAACATATCACTTCCTGTGCAGTGCTGTTGCCGCCACCCTCCTGGCACCCGCTTCTGGCCACTTCAGTCACCTTCAGCAGCTTCCATCGCTCAATTGCTGATTTTTAATTACAAATGCAAAGTGCAACAGCAGCAGCAGCAACAGGCAGCAGGCAACAGACAAGAGGCAAGAGGCAACAGAGATGCATGCTGCATCTGCCTGAGCACGCAAACTAGCAATCACCGGCGGACAAAGTAGCCACCAGACTATATATTATATATGTATCTGTGTGTGGCAAGGTGTCTATGCCAGTGTGAGTGTGTGTGTGTGTGCAATCAGGCAGCAGGCAGGCAGGTGGGCAGTTGGCCCAGACAAAGTCTTCTTGCATGGTTTGGGGCGCCGCCAGATTATTTATTATGTATGCATATTTATGTTGCATCTCTAAGTATTTTATAATAATTTTTTTTTCCTTTTTCTTTTTTTTTTCCAACATTTTTTTGGCTCTGACCCTAACGGTGTAGACCATTTTGCCAAATGCCCGAATGCGGTTTGAGATTTGAAGTCAAGAGTTTCCAACTGAGAGCCTCCACTGCGGTGGCGGCTTTGTCTCTGTGCGACATCGCAGCTCCCCAGGCGAGAAACTTGTTTTTCTCTCTATTTTTGTCTGTCTTTTTTTTTTCATTTTTTGCAACTGCAACTGCAACTGCCTCGGCAACAGCAGCGGGGCAGCTTATGGCACTTGCAGCCATACACGAATTTAATTAATAAGTAAAGAAATATCAAAAAAGGTGGCATCCATGCATTTGATTGATTGCTAATTACACGCTGGCTCCATGCACCTGTGCGGCAGATCGCAGTGGGAATAAGTCAGGGACTGTAACCGAGTCTCTGGGACTTTCGCAACCCACCTGGAAGCATCTTCAAACTACTAAAAACTTTATAAAAATTTTGTTTAAACATTTTTTTAGGGTGCTGAGCGAAAAACACGAGACGAGGAGCGACGGGCTGCCAAGCGAAAGATGACTGCCACTGGGCGTAAGAAACTGGACGAGCTTTATCATCCTGTGACGGATCGGTCCGAGTTCTACGGCATGCAGGACTTCGCCAAGCCGCCGGTGCTGTTCTCGCCAGCCGAGGACATGGAGAAGGTAGGTCTGCCATCCCAAGCGGGGGGCACTGGCATGACATTCAACCCACTGAGCCTGAGCAACGGCAACTCCAACTCCAACTCGCACTCGTCCTTGCAGAGCTTCTACGGGCATGAGACTGACTCGCCGGACCTGAAGGGGGCCTCGCCTTTCCTGCTCCACGGCCAGAAGGTGGCCACGCCGACGCTTAAGTTTCACAATCACTTTCCGCCCGACATGCAGACGTGAGTAAAAATCGTCCATCGATTCAATCAATCCTATAATCCAATTTCATTCCTGAGATTGGGAATATCCTTTTTAAAAACAAAAACTAATTCTATTATTTTATCTCTTTTCTGGTTTTAAAAACGTATCCTCAACAGCGATAAAAAGGATCACATACTGGACCAGAACATGCTATCCAGCACTCCCCTGACCGACTTTGGTCCGCCGATGAAGCGTGGCAGGATGACGCCGCCCACCTCCGAGCGCGTGATGCTGTATGTGCGGCAGGAGAACGAGGAGGTCTACACGCCCCTGCACGTGGTGCCGCCCACCACCATCGGCTTGTTGAATGCGGTAAGCAAGGACCTCCCCCAGAGAAGAAATTATCCTCCCCCCCCAAGTCCCAAAATCTAAATCAAATCAAAACTCGTTCTAATGGTTAACCACCTTTTCTGTAATTTTGTTCATTTTGGTCTAATTGGATCTCAACCGAAAAGAAATCAAAGTGAAGCGCCAAAATGTTCAATTAAAAAAAAAAATGTTAATCGACTAAGACTAAAGCATAAATCAACTAAAAATCAGCCACATCTATATAATTCTATAATTATTAAAATCGTTACTCACCCTAAAAACCAACCGAAGCAATTCGATAATTTATAACTTGTAGTTGGAACTAATTACGAACCATTTCATAATTAAAATGGAACATATGTCTCATCTCAAAAGTATATATATTCGTGTATATATATATTTTTTATACGCCTGCTAAAACAAAATCAGACTAAGGATCTGTTTTTCTGTACACATCCCTACCAACCACACTAAAGCACAAATAGCCAATAATTACCAAAGACACTGAAAACTATGAGTTTGAATATTGGCTGACCACAAGAAAATGAACAAAATTACACAAAGAAAAACCACAACGAGTTATAAGAGAAATATTTTAGCAGCGGAAACAGAATCAGAAACAACAAACAGACAAAACATCATATTTCTCTCGTTTCTCAATTGCAGATTGAAAACAAATACAAAATCTCAACAACGAGCATAAATAACATATATCGCACAAACAAGAAGGGGTAAGTAAGCAACTTCTAACAGATCTACACCAGTGCTACACTCACACACACACTCACACACACTGAGGCATTGAGTTACACCCACTCACAGACACCTGAGCACCAGGATGCATCCATTCTATCCCTCACATCATTATTTTGTGTCCTAACAACTCTATTCTTGCATGGGTGTTGTCTCTAATATCTAAAAAATAAAAACTTATTCCTAATCTCTTAAGATTCCAAAGATAAACTAACATATTATTTAAAATTTTGTATTACAGGATTACTGCGAAAATTGATGACGATATGATATCGTTTTACTGCAATGAGGACATCTTCCTGCTGGAGGTGCAACAGATCGAGGACGACCTGTACGATGTAACGCTCACGGAGCTGCCCAACCAGTAGCACTACATTGTGGCAGTAGCTCAAAAAAATACACAAAAAAGGACACAATTTTGCTAAAAGAAGTTGTTTCAAATAAGCCATTTTCAATAGAGCCTAAGTCTAATTTCGTAGTTGTTAACCGACGTGGGAGTTTCTACAGAGATTAAAAAAAAAAAAAAAACAGAACAATATGGAATGGAGATAAAAAGCTAATGAAATATCTATATATATATATTTGTAAAATGATATATGATTTAAAATTCGATTTAGTTATTTAGCAACAATGAGATTACTTAAAATTTTTTGATCAAATTTTACATTCTCGCTATGGTCCACATAAAATTGTAATATTGTCTAAGCCCCTAATCTTAAATGTACTGTGTATTTATGTGGCTCTCTATATATGTTTTGTGTTTAGAGGGCGCAACAGTGTCTGTCCAGTAGGAATTAAGTCAACTTTCTGATCCCCTGCTTATGCTTAGACCTTAGGTCCAGGGCAATTAAGAGTTACGCGCAACACCTTCTATTAGCTGTATCTATCGGAATCATTAGCTCTATACGGTCTAGATATAATGTAATCACTTGTATGTTCGGCTTAAGCGTTTACTTGTTGAATATAAATTGTAAAATTATTTTTGAAAAAAAAAACGACACAAATTGTTTCTGTTTCCAAACTTCGTAACTCGTTACCCCGCTACCCTTTTCCCAGTCCCCACTCTGTTATGTATAATTAGGATCTCTGTACACAAAAATGAAAACTGGTAGAACAAAATTTGATAAATGAGAAAAATTGGTTTGCAAAATGAACTAAACAAAAAAAAACACTCTTGAAATAATTATCCTTAAATCTAGAAGTACATTTAGCGATAAGAACACTGCAATAAAACATGTTGATAAAAATCGTAATTAAGTCCAAGCTAAGGCAAAAAACATAATCGAAACTAAACCACAAAAACAAAAAAAAAATGAAAACCACTTTAAGAACATTTGTGTGCATTTGTTGTAAAACAAACAAAAAATATCTAAAGAACAATAATCAACCAAAAACGTTGATTCAAAACTAAAAACAATTATAATGAGGACTCCAATCGTAGCACCACAAAATATCGCAACATCCATATAAAGATACAGATACACATATATATAGAAGTATAGGGATAACGCAGCATCGTTCGAATGCTTTTACAATCTTTGTTTGCCATAATTAACAGTTTAATTTAATTAACGAAATGTTTTGTGTACAATGTTATTTGAATTCAGGCAGAGACTTCGTCGAGAGATTTGCTTGAAACAACGAATACTCCGCATCAATTGCTACAATCTTGAACAGTACGAGTTCAATGCTCAATATTATTATTAATTGTTTATTAATTGTAAAACCCCCCTTAACTCTGCTGATATTGCTCCATCAATTCTCTTCTTACCCAATTAATAATGCTCTATGTCTATTTTTTTCACTGTTTCGTACCTTTTTTTTATTTTTGACATTTCCGGTGTTGTACATCACAATTTGTTTTTAATTTTAGCCCTTAGATCTAATTGTACTACTCAATATTACACAATATTATGATATGGTATGAGAAGAGAGCACATATCATATGATATCATAAATAAAATGATGATGATGATGAATCGAAAATCTTGCCGGCATGTTATAAAATCTTTATGTTTAGTTATCGTACTTGTAACCTATAAGTTCTATGCTCTTTCTATATATTGTATACAAAAAAACATATACATATATATTTTAAAAGCCAATAATTTATTTTTTGTTACTGTTGGAAACAATTCCGCGAAAAATAGAAAAGGAAAAACAACAAAAAAAAAAAGAACATCGTGAATATCGCTACTGAGAACAAGTTACACTCCAATATGAATTGTGCGAAAAGTGCATGTCCCACTTGAGAAATTAATGAAGAGACAAATAATATAAAACAAATTGTACAATATAATTATAATGAATACACAACATTTAAATAAAGAACAAAAAGTAATCAAGTTGATTTTATTTAGGCTTGAGTTGGCAACAGGGCGTATACTTGATGTAGTATGACAACATTGCGTATACTTGATATGTGAGAAATGAACTGAGTCAATTTTTATGTTTTTATTTACATTTAAGATAAAACGGGAAATCATTGAGATATTTAAATTATTTCCGTTTGTCGGTTAAGGTGTTTTCCATTTTTTAAAACAGGTTTTTCCATGTAGAGTCCATATGACCCCAATAAGTAGGCAACAATAGGATGTATTTTTTGAGAGTAAGATTCCTCCGCCATGTTTCAAGAAACGGATATGGATATTTTGTCATGGATGCTTATGATTTTATATTTATTTTTTCAGGTATTAAAGATTCGTAGTTTTTATTAGATTCTTAGATTAATTCTTAGATACAATTTTGAAAAATAAAATTAATATATAATTTTTTATTAAAATATAATTACTATATAATAATGATGAAACATATTTTAGAGTTTATCTTAAAAATGTTAAACTCCAGAATCAAACACATCAAGTATGCCTATTTTACATGACCAGGTAATAACCATGTAGGCTACGCACACCTGATGTAGATAAGTGTAGAGGTTGTCGAAAAGCTATCGTTTCTACTTGACATGTATGTAGATGAGACCTCCAAGCTGGAGGCCTTTTGAAACCCACGAAATCTAACGGAAAAATAAACGCCATTGCAGTCGCTGCTGGCACAGCAACAAAAACAACACGAAACTAAAAGTGCAACTGTGCTGCTGATGACGACGACGTCGATGGTAGCCGCTGCTGCTGCTGCTGGCGCCTCTGCTGGTGTTGCGCAGCAGCATCGGTATTTATTTATCTTTACGTTGGCGGTGCGATTTTTCATTCATTCACGCCACTCGCAGACAAGCGAACGAACGTGTTTTCGCAGCCGTCGCGTCTTCTCATCTCAGGGGTCTTGGAGTCTTGGATGTTGGATCTACTTTTTGTTGTTGTGTCGCGTTTTGATTGTTTTTTACATACAATTTCTAAGCATCGTAACTGTTTGCCCGTCTGGGTGTCTTGGCACTTCATTTGCACAACAAACTATGTGCAAATATTTGAGGCACAGTTGAATACACTAAAATAATCAGTGAGCCAGTGAGTGAGGCAGATGACTGAACACCCGAAGGCGAGATAACAAAATTAGCCCGTGGATGATCCGGAGATAACAAAGAAAACATGCATAAACAGCTCCCAAAGAGTGACAGACCACCATTCATAGCAATTCAGTTTAAAATTCGACCCGATTCGCGCCGGTTGTGGGTTGCGGCTGTAAATAACCTGTAAGGCCGTTTAGAAAGTACAGTCGAAATTCTATAACCCACTTTATCACATTTGAAACGAGTTTGATTCAAAATTAAACCCAATCGATTCGAAATAAATTCCAAGAAAGTGAAATTATCATTGATCTCAAATAATCTATCAAAGATTTTGGGCAATTTATAAAAAAGAGTCAATATTTGTTTGTAAATAAATGTTCCTGCTATGGAATGTCGACTGTAACCGTGGTGATATAGATGATTGCATAGAAAGTGCATTAGCAGGAAGCCGGAAAAGTCGTTCGCAAAAACACGTGCTCGGAACAAACTAGAACACAGGCCAACAAACAATACAAAAAAAAATTACACCCTACCAGATACCAGGAGAGATATAACTGAAAAATACAGGTGAGCAACTCCACAAATTCTATATGTATGGTATTCCCTTTCCCGTAGCTCCCATTTCCATTATCATTTCGAACTTCCCTTCTCCTGGCCATCATTTGCAATTCCAAGTTGCACTCAAACTACTTGACAATGCTGAAATTTCAATTGCAATTTACACTTTCGCTTGTATACATTATCGAGGAATAACTTTTATTCGTAGCCAATTACTATCAATTGAAAAGGGCGCTCAAGCCATTGCCAGAAATGAACCTACTCGATCGTAGCCCAATCGGGTATCAGGGTCACTACACCAAGAGAAAATACTTCAATCAACAACTATTGCCAATTCTTTCTTTTCAAGAATCATTTTAGAATTATTCTCTGTGCACTATGTCGATTTATAGGGTGACCTGAACCTAGGCACGCAATCATTGTGTCATTGTAATTACTGTTATTTCTATAGGGTTCGGTTACCTTTCGTGTTCCATATCACTTACATAACCCACGAATCTAGTCTTACTGGGAAAAATTAAGCAATTTATTTTACTTAACAATTAAATCGAGTTAATAGACAATCTAGAAATCTGCAACGAATGGCGAAACTTTACCCTTTCCATTATATATGAAATAATTAGTCGCTGTAGAACATGCTAATCGCGAACAAAGGCGGCATTGGTATTTCCCCAACCCCAGCCCATCGAAAATCGTTTCCTAGGTACAATCGAGGTACAAACTTCAAACCGATACCTCCCACTTCTAAATCATATTCGAGCATTTATTAGAATCTCTGTTACTCAATTGATGACTGCTGACACCATCGCTGGCATCACTGGAGATTTAATTGCACAACGTGATTATGGCATGTTGCCCCGCTCACCTCTGATTGAATTTAACAAATTTATACATAGTAGGTTCTACGAAATAGCTTGTTGTAGATTTATCGCTCCTCCAGTTCAGCTCGGTTCAGGTCTGGCCTTGACAGCCCAAGTCAATTTTTTGAAGAATTGTGTAAATTTGCCCTGGGCATACAGAGTGTGCATGTCGAGTGTACTACATCTCAGGCAGCTGATATACTTAGACCTTTGTCTGGCCTGGGAGTAAGAGGGATCTGTTGACAGAACCTTTAGTCTGGGAGGCTTGAGGTGGCTGCCACTGTTACCCAGATCAAATTACCCAGGGCCCAGAGTAAGTCAGTGGCCAGAACGTGTCAAGTATGAGTTACAATAGCCTGACTGAAGTTAGGGGAGCAGGTACACAACAAAAAAAACATTAATTGTTTGCATAGCTAAAAAAAAACATACAAAAATGTGTTAAATAAACAAAAATAGTTTGGGGATTTTTCTATGAATTATTCGGCACTTGCTCAACAATTAGTGGTACTCTTTTTTTGACTTTATAAATCATCGGTCTGTTTAAAAAATGACCTCACTGCGCATTAATTTTAGTTGACATTTCAATAAATAGATTTTTTGTGAATTGGACTTTTATGTCTCAGTGTATGGAAGAAATTCACACCTTAGAGTGAGACATCCGATCGCTTTCAATCGGTTAAAGCTCTCGAAAGGCTCCGGTGTTGACATTCAAAAGCTACTTGGCTGGGAAAGCTTCTCCAGACCCAGTTAACTGGTTTAAACAATTACCCCTGTTTGGATGCATTTCTTCCGCGTGCATCTGCATCCGAGAGTGTGGCATCGTCTTCAATAAACAACCCGAAGATCAAAAGTCTCCACTTGTGTATGGCCGATATGGTCATTATTCCTGTGCGGTAATCAACTGATCCAGTTTTATAATCAGCCCGAAATCTCGACCAGATAAAGAGATGTTTATGGTGGCCAAATTACTTAACGATCGACGGTTTAAGCCGTAAAAAGTATTAAATTAAGCAAATAAGGGCAATGCACAGAGTACAATAAACGATACCAGCTCTCAGTCTCAGAGCCCCAGAACGTGCCAATAATATTAAAGACATCAGTTTGTGTATTTTTATCAAAGATATGAAGGCTTTGAGGGTTTTCCCCCGGCGATCGTGCGGAAAAATAAGGAAAGCATGGAAGGGGGTGGTGCCCAGTGCCTGGGTTAACCACAAGGCACAGTGCTTTTAATCAAAAGTTTTAATAGATTGGCGGTTGTGCTTGAGGAAATTGACTTACTGCCCGCAAAGTAATTCCAGCTCAGGCACTGCTCTCTTCTACACAACAACAAAAATCCGCAAATGGGCTAATATTTCTGGTTGTCTATAAGATTTATTTCCAAATAGTACAAATCATGTTATAAATAATCTTTAAAAAACAACTGACAAGATAATTAAAATTATAATTTAATAGTTTTTTTTTCTCTGTGTACTCTCTATCTCTCTCTGTCACTTTTTCTCCAGCGAAAAAGCTCCAATCGTGCTTGGGCCCCACGTCTTGGGGCGTTTCGTGCGGGGCTTGTGATTTCAGTTTCAGTTTTGAAGATCACTCGTTGCGAAGCGGACGCCACTAAGGCGGAAAGAGAAAGCCGAAAGCCAATAGCCATTAAAATACAAATCTAAACAGCAAGAACTCGAATTCACATTATAATTAAATTGTGTACTTAATTCATAAATAATAATAATTAAGTAAATAGAGCTGACTCAGCCTGAAGCGAGCGTCGAAGGGTGGGAGTGTTTTGGGCGCTAAAATAAAAAAAAAAGTTACATTTTCTGATACAATATCAATGCCAATGTGTCTGAGGCAGTACTCGATCGTTCCAAATCCGGGGTCAGAAACGCTTCCAACTGATTAACACTCCTCCTCCCCATCACCGCTGAGTCGTCGTCGGAGTCGTCGTAGTCGTTGTTGTCGTCTAATGAGAGCCAAGCGAAATAAATAAACAAAAAACAGACAAAAACACACAAATACGGCAAATTAACAAATACGCGCGGAATATAGAAAAACACGTTTCCACAAAAAGCGCTTAGCGGTACAAAAACAACAACAATTTAACCAAATAACACAAATTGTTGTCGCTTTGTTATTGAACACGCGCACACGCATTTAGCGAAAACGAAACGAATAACAGGCCCTGATTCTGGCCATAACCAAATATGTCCAAAAGTGGAGCTTGAGAGGAGAGCTTGAAGCTTGTAACCCGAGTAGCCGTGACCACAAAACAGCCCACAACAACACCAAGAAAAATACTGAATTAAACAAGTTCACACACAAACACACACACCATGGAGCGATCGTATAGTTGCAGCAATTTCGTGGGTAGGACGGGGGGCAAGGTCGATGGCAATAGCCATATTGCCACAGCTGAGCAGCTGGCTGGCAGCAGCGACAACCTACCCACCGCCCATCATCACTTTCCGCCCAACAAGCCGCTGCGCCGGCGCAGGAAACTCCAGCGCCAGCAATCCGCCGTCGATGCCGATGACATGGAATATGCCGCCGATCTGGAAGAGAATGCCGATCCGGACACGGAGCACACAGCCCATGCTACAAGCTTGCCATTAGCCCTGCAACGTCACATATCCTCCAGCACCATTAAGCGTTGCCTGCGCCACGAGGAGTCCTTCGAGTCCTGCAGCACTGCGCCGGAGCTGAGTCCCCAAGCCCAGCGCCAGCAGAGATTCAGCAGCCTACTCCTCAGAGACAGCTCCGTGTCGGTGCAGTCCGACTCCAGTCGGTACTCCAGCGTGGACAGTCTGCTGGAAGCCCGCAAGCCAGACCCGGAAGCCATACTCATAAACCTCGGCTTCGGGCCCGTGGGCTCGGAGGATATGTTGTCCAGGATACCGCGGAGATTTCTGAAGCCCTCGCAGGTGCCCGGAATCGATACCGATGCCTTTGTACAAAGACTGACTCTGGCCCGATCGCTGGCCGATTCGAGCGTTCTGGGCTATCGGGGCCTGACTGGAAATCCCGACATGCCGCCCTCGTCCATTGTGGCCAGCATCATGAAGCGGTTCGAGGTGAACCACCAGCGCAAGAACTCCATGGGCTCCATCAAGCCCACCATCCAATGAGCAGCTCAATCCTCACAGTTAGCTAGCCAAAAAGAAGACATTTTGCTTTGCCAAGTGCACCTATTGCCAAGTGGGGTTTCTCCTTGACCTATGACCCCCAGTGATCGTCTTGTCTTGTCCATTTAGTTTGTTTAAGTGCCACGTACTTAGCTGTGTAAAATGTATTATTGTACCTTTTTTATAAAAAACTATGATATTTTGTGAACTATTTAAGTAAGAATTAAAGATAATGTTTTATGTTGAATTTTTTGACTTTTCATCCAAGCTTTGGTGGCTATTTTAAAACCTTTATTGATAACATTACAGATTACTTGTCTAAAAATATACATTTTCAAGTCGACAAACAACATTTACAAGTCAAAAGATAAAAATGGAACTTTATTTAGAACTTTTTGAGAGGTTCAAGTGTTTGAATAGGCTTCCAAGAAATCTTTGTTTCTTCCAGCTTGAATCCGAAATTAGAAATCTACGTCATTGGCAGTGGGTTGAGGTGATTGTTTATGTACATATGTTGTAGTTGAACAAATTCATTTGCGATATAAGTACACCAACCCACAGACACACATATTCATGGAGTTTTCATTGTTTATTTTTTTTACGTTTCTATAGTTTCTTATCTAAAGTCGATTTTCTGAGCGACGTTTTATTAATAGCCAATGACTTGGCATCTTTGGTTCGGGGTTTGGGGCAACCGACAACCGACCATCCAACCACCAACCACAATAATAAACGTCTCGAATGAAGCTGGAAATCAAAATACCCAGAAGGGATTACAAAGTGTGCGGCACTCGGATCGTTTATTGATTTCAATTGATCGCAATTGTTTACAATCACGACTGCAGCACGGTGGCAGGGCATGAACAAGTACATATGTATATATTTTTTGCGTTTGCCATTACCTAATGCCCCGCACATTGGTTATTGGCCTGACCCGGTCGACCCTACCACTCGGTTGCCAAACAAATATTCAGTAGAGCCCCGCTGATAACCGATAATAGCATTTGCGCACATTTGTAACACCTTGAAGGCCAAGCATGTGGAGGCCATGAGGCCTAGAGGGAAATGCGACAACAGCAGAGGAAAGGGAAGTGACTGTCGGGTTTATTTAAAATATAAAAATACAAAAAATAAAATATACTTTACTTTGATTAATCTTAAAACTAATTAAGATCTTAGCATCTTAGCATTACTTTCCAAAAATCCCCTTTCCTTTTTTTTTATTAACTGTGTAAACTGATGTTTAATTTTGGAACATTACTATTCTGTTGCCAACAACTGTGCATACAGGCGGTATGTAAATACGTAAAGAGCTTTTGCTTGTTCTTTTTGGGTATATCCAATAGATAACGGTTCTAGGCCCCAAGACATTGGCACATGACTCGCTTTATCTATCGATGGGGCGGTGAAATGAATTGCCCAACAGAGCAGCGAAATGAAAGGAAAGAAAGCAGCAGAAGAAAGCAAAAGAAAACACTTGCATATGCAAGTGGGTGATGGATATTAGGGAATCAGGAGGGAAGGGGAATTTGCACCAATTTACAAGTTCAAGGCAGACAAAAAAATAAAATAAAACAAATCAGCAACAGATGCATGATGTACATACATATATACATGACTAATATGTAAACATGTGCTGCAAGTTCAGAATAAAATAATCTGCGCCCACGCCGGAAGAATGTGAAAGAAAATTTGCAAATCGAAACTATCCGAAAAAAAGCATGCGATTAACAAGAAATGACAACTGTGCGGCAAGGAAATTAAAATGTGTGTCAGGGCGGCCAAGAATGCATTTCAATTGTGTTGAAAACAATTTGGTTAATTTATGTTTTCAGCTTTTGTGGGCGTTTGATAAATTGTCGTATTGGGCATTGGACTGCGGCGAGTTCTGGCAGTCGGTTTTTGTTAGTAAATAGCTAGCCACTGACCTGGTAGTCCCCGGGTGAAACATAAACACAAAATCGTCCGAACAAACTTAAAAGTTCCCAAGAGCTTCGCGCCTATTGTAAACATAAACATTCGACAGCTGATTTGGCAGGGTTGTCGCCTTAGCAAGCAATCGATAATTCGATTGGCAGTGGCGTCATATCGAGTACCGCTCGAGTATCGAGTTTGTGCCCAGCTCTAGTAAAGTAAAAAAAAAGAAATTCTGAATTGTTTTTGTTTCGCTTGCAACTGCTCAGATCGTACTTAATTTACACCTCTTTATTTGCCGCGTTGTGCTATACCTCATTCACTAACCTCAATCAAACGACTAATCTGATTATATTTCTGTGATTCTAATTTGCTCCAAAATGGATCTCTCTGGCGAAGCACTACTTAAGACTTCTGGCAAGATCTCTGGCTTGGCACAATGTCTGTGTGGACTACTGCCAACTCTGGTGGCCTAGAGACACCAGGCAAGTCACCCGCTACCTCTGCGATTCCCCTGCGCAGCTCAGTGCCACGAAATCTGGCCGTAGCAACCACGCAGCATCAGTTCCAGCACGTTGTCGCCGCTGCCGTAGCCGCCGCCACCTCCGTGGCCACTGGACAGCAACTCCAGCAGTTCCCCAATTCCCATCCTCTGCTCCAGCAGCACCACCACAACAACAACAGTCCCACTGGCAGCAACAGCAACAGCAGTGGCTTCAAACGCTCCAGCATCAGTAATTCCTTGCTGCAGTTCCCGCCGCCTCCACCGCCGCCATCCTCCAACCAGCCGAAGGTAAGTCCAATAATAAATCAATCTTCGAACAATCTCTTTCTTCCCCAAAATCCCCCCAAATCCCGCTTACTCTTCATCTCATTCTCACGAACGATGCTATGGAAGCCCCTCTCGCAAAAATCAGCTCCTACGCGCGGGCAGTGGGCGCATTCAGCACCTGGAGTGACTAGTCACTAGTGACTTGTAAGCTGTGATTTATAATCGGCAGATCTTTGGGGGAGACCACTTGTAACTACTTGTTATTTTTATAGAATTGTTTTAGAATACTTGAAATTGTTTCCTTTCATCAACAAAAAGTCACAATTAAGTAGGCTGTCGCATATGATTTATATAGTATAGTGTTTATTTAGCTGCATCTATATTTAGATAAATTTAGAAATCACACATGCGGTCCACTTATTTATAATTAAATCTGATTTTTGTTGAAATGTATAATTATTAAAATGCAATGTAAAGAGTATGAATTATACAAATTCAATTAAATTATTTAAATATCTAAGAATATGTAGTGATAATCACTGTATAGTGAGACCTAAAAGCCTGATCACCTGCTGAATGCGCCCCATCGATCGAGACTCGAAATCTTACAGGCAAATAACGAGGCCTCCGCCTCAAGTCGAACGAGATCGAGCTCCACACACTCCCCCAGACGCAGTCACACATCTCGTGAACCTGCTGAATTATTGAACAGTGCTTTTGGCGAAACGACACTGACAATGAAATTTTTAAAATGGAAATAAAAATCGAAAACCGGCACCGCTGTCTAATTGCCTCCAAGAGTTGTGCGATCGCTTATCTTGTGTTTGCTCTATTTGCATTATTTACAAACGATAAAAGCTGTCTTTGAAAAAATAACTGCCACCCACCCACCAGTATAAAATAAAAATGGGCCTGCTCCTTGGGCGGCGGTATCACTGTAATCCAGGTGTGTGTTTGCTCGAGTATTTGGAGCGAAAATTAAACACCTTCCTCCTTTTATATTTATTTTCACTTCTGTTTTATCGGACTGACTTATTTTTGAATACATTTTTTAAGTGGTTTCGAGAGGAAGTTAAGCAGTTGGAATTTCCGAATGAGCTCGTTTCATTTGACAGCTTAAATTATTATTGATGTTATCAAGAAACGAATTCCCTAGAGGTTCTGGAAAGTTTTCGTTCTGGACAGCATAATTCTGCGGAATAATTAATATTGACACCTCCGAAACGTAGTCCCTCTTGCTTTAAATGCCTGAATAAATTGAAAATGTCCCATTTCATTATTTTGGTAGTCGTAATACTTCTTCCAGTCTTAGCTACGGGCAGCAATCAGACCCACCACAATGTCTCCACAAACACTCATGCGAGAAGAGGCTTCTATGCCAAAGGAGCCATGGTGGAGTACTTGGTTTCGATACGAACGCGGCACAAGATCTATGCCTGGGGCGACAACCACTTCTGCTCGGGAGCTCTCTTGACTTCCCGGTGGGTACTGACCGCCGCCGGATGCGTGACCACCAGGTCCGGAACGATACGTCGTCGCACCTCCCGGAAAAATCTTAAGGTGGTCGTCTATACACCGTTTCGGCTAAAAAAGCCATACGAACATAATATAATACCCGTTGAGAAGGTGGTACTGTCCGACGTTCGAAACATCTGCTGCCAGGACCTGGTCCTGATAAAACTAGAATATGCCGCTCGTGGCAATCAAAACCATGTCATGAAGCTGCCCTCTAGGGAGTTGAGCGAGGATTGGTTGTGCTTCTCCTTGGGATGGGGACGGATGTACCACGTGAGACCTGTGATTTCTGTCAGTCATCTGTCAGCCGAATTCCATAGTTTACTTACAGAATGGACCCATTACCAATTTATTGATCCGGCGGGTTCTGAGAAAGGTCGACAGCAGTCAGTGCGCCCGTGCCTGCGGCGGACCGCATCTCTTTTGCATGACCAGCTACTCGGGGCGTAACAACATTGGCCAGACCGACATGGGTACTCCGGTCTTCTGCGGCACCACGGTCTATGGCGTGGCGGGCCAGTATCACAGTACCCGCCAGCGGACAAACTTTGTGTACGCCAGTACCTATGCCCATCGCGATTTTATTCTCAAAGTCTTGGCCACTGGGAGTACTCTGTCCCGATCCCTTCTCTCCATTGTCTTAGCTGGTCTCTTGTGTGTTTTAAATTAAAGTCTTCACGTTTTGTGTCACTACTCCCAAGTTCAGGGTCGTTTTGTTCAGACTGTGGGTGTGTGTGTGTGGATGTGGGTGTGTAATCACTCAATTTGTCTTCCCCATTAATCAGTCGCTGATCACTGATCGAATCGATTGCCAAAAGTAGCAGCAGACGCCTATGAATACCCTGCGCCGCCCAGCCCCACACCCGATACCCCCCGATACCTTTTGTTTTCTTTCCTGTAAACTTTTGATTCTTCACCTGAATGTTAGTTTGTCGCTATTCCCCTTTCTGTTTATCTTCCACTCTCTATTTTCCGCTCTCTCTGAACGCTTTCATTCAAATGGCATGTAGCTACAGTCCAACTTCGATAAGAATGATGGCTTATAATAAAGAAATAGAAATATGGTATAGGGGATAAAATACGAGGAAAATTTAAAAAAATAGGATAAATGAGGAAAAGTTAGGATAGGTAAAAATATGATAATAATTAATCTTTAGAAAACCTTTCTAAACCTCAAATTTTAGATTGTTTTTGTAACAAATCAAGTCATTTTTAATAATATTAAGATATTTTCTCTTTGATATATGGCTTAAAAGAGTCTCAGAAAAATATATTAAATAGGTTTTTCAAAATTATAAATATTTCTTTCTGATAGTCTTCATCTGAGCTTAACTTTCAAGTACTTTTAAAAAGATTTTTTAGTTAAGTTTCCAGTAGGTTTAGTTATGTTTCCTATATAATTATATACATACAGATAATTTTGCAAAAAATAGTATCTATAGAAAACTATAGATAAATATAGTATAGAACCTATAGTATAGACTATATACATATTGCAGATAACTTTTTTTATGAACTTAACTGTCAGAAATATATAATTATTTCAGAGATATGTATATGTATAGGAAAAGGAGAAAATATAAGAAAAAAGCTAAAAAATAGGAAGATATAAAATCGATAGTATAAATTTCATATTACTAAATGAAATAAATTATTAATAACTATGTTCTTTTTAAAACCAGACTTTAAAAAGTCTCCTTAAAAAGGCTCTCCAATAATTAAGCCTTGTAAAAATATATTTCTGATCTTAATCTTAGAACTATTTTTTGTTTAATTTTGTACCTTCTTTCTTTTATCTATTAGTTAGTTTCTTTAGAATTAATTTACTTTCCTCTACTACTTGTATATAGTTTGCTTCTTTTAGTTTGAACTTTAAACTTTCAGTTCAGTAGACCCTCTGATTGGCTGATTGGTTTCCTGCTAGCCAGGTTGGACTGTAGTAGTTCGATTGCCATTATTGTAGTTGTTGTTGTTTTTTGTGTCATCGCAGGCCGCCCCATTCGAATTGATTGTCGAATTTGAATACGTCGTCGTTGCCGCTGCCTCCGCTGCCGTCGCCGTTGCCTCCGCCGCCTCTGCTGCTGGTGCTGCTCCGCTGTCGTCGCCCATCGCCGATCGCCCCACTGCTTCAGCCGCTCACCGCCTCAGCTCTCCACCGCCGTCGTGTTCTGCTGGCAGAGCCGTATCAGCTCAGAGTTAGTTGTTAACTTGCCATCGTCGACGGAACAAGAAGGCGGCACAGAACGCAAGAAACTCGCGAAAAATGAATCAAATGTGCACCTGAATTAAATATTTGGGCTGTGTGTGTGTCGACGAAGGAATTACTTACTTTTCGATTTCTTTGCGTGGCGCGGAAGTGTTTTCTTCCCCCCGTCCGTCATTTCTTGATCGCCACTCGGTGTATGATTTTTGTGTGCCAGCATCCGTGTTTTTTTGGGGATTTTGATTTTTCTGCAGTCGGCATCCACTATTCGATCGCAGAGGTGCCAAGCTGCGTGGTCTTGGCCTTGTCCGTAAACCGAACCGAACCAATAAGCAAATAATCCACAACAGGGTTTTATTGACACATGTATTTTACATGTTATAAAGCCCATAAAATGTTTATAAATAAAAAGTAAATACAAATATTTCGCGTCAAGAAAAAAAAACCGCGAGAGAGAACCCATCCCCGAGAGAAAGGCGAAAAATTTTCCGTGTCTAGATGGGTGCGTGTGCTCGAATTTTCGAATTGTATGGGTAATTGTTGATCAATTGTCATGTGCCGCCTGCAAGAGCACTCACACACCTACAATTGCAAAAAAACCAAAAACAATAACACTCGGCCTCATCAATGGGAAGCATTGCAAAATCAACCAAGTGAAACGGAACCTAATAAAATTCGGAATCAAAATCTGAAAACTACTAGAGATTACAGTGGCCAGAGAGGCAGTCCAAAATTCTTAGCTTGAGATTACAAATAATTCCATACAGAACAAGAAATGAATAGGGAATGAGTCACGAATGAGATTCGAATAATTCAACCGTTAAAGGAGTAATAAAATTAAATTTCAATTGAGACCTATTGGAGACTCTGGCCAGTGGCATAATTGAGAGATCGGGGCGTTGGCGATAACCAAGATGAAAGACCTCTGACCTCTGATGGAATCTTTATTTATTGTCACACATGCCCAGACACATTCGAAATCAGCAGTTCAGTTTGGAGATCCTACTACAGAGAGCTTGACGGAATATTTTCGCATTAAGGCTTCAGAACTGATCATAAAACTATAGCTTTAGAGGGCAAGCAATGAACAATATTAACTGATTTTGTGGAATAGGTATTGAAATAATTTAATCTGTAGACCAACGCCTACTGGATTCATCTAGATTCTGGAAGAGACACAATCTATGTTTGTGCCTTTGACGAGACACGACCAGAAAGAGTGATAGGAAGCGGCCTATGCCACCGTTCGAAGAGGAGCAGGATCCGTCAGAGGAGCACATACCTCTGAAGCCGCCGCGACGCAAGAGAACAATGAAGACTGCCGAGCAGGACACAGCAACACAGCCTCCCTCGGAGGAGACCGAAGAGGAGCAACTGCTGCCCACCAGAGAGCTAGGTGGTGGCAGCCTGCGCTATGCCAGGGCCAACTTGAGCCACAGCAATCTGCTGCTGAGCCACCAGCAGAGCTCCTTCGACACGCCCACCGAACGGACGGCCAGCAGCGAGACCCTGGACATGCCGCCGATATCGAGGCAGCGCTACCAGGTGCATCCCCAGCCGAATCGCATCCAAGGCATCCAAGGTAGGCCGCAACCTTCTGCCCTGGCCAGTGCTCTGCACGCCACCGCCAAATTGGCAGCCAGCGTGGATGCCTACACGGCGGCGGCGACAGCCACAGCGGTCGGCGACTATACCCTCTGCGATTCGTGCCGTCCGCTGCGCTACAATCCGAACTGCAGCCACCACTTCCACCACCAGCCACAGCAGCAGCAACAGCTACAGCACCATCACTTACACAATATGGGAAATCTCAGAGCGAGCAGTTTCATGGGCTCGTCGCGGTACCTCTACCACAGCCAGTTCAATTCGAATTCGCCGCAGTCGAGACGCTTCACCGCGCAGCGAGACATCTCGCCAGCATCGGGCTCGGCATCGGCATCGATATCGGCGGTAGTAGCTCCAACAGCACAACTAGCTTCCATAGCATCGCCTCCATTAGCAGCTCCACCACCACCACAGCCATTTCAGTTGCGCACCTACCAACAAACTCAATCCTCCCGCTTTCAGCCGCGTGGTCATCACCGCACCGCCAGCAGCAGCATGTCGCAGTCTGGGGAGGATCTCCACTCGCCCACCTACCTGTCCTGGCGCAAGTTGCAGCTCAGTAGGGCCAAGCTGAAGGCCTCCAGCAAGACGTCGGCTTTGTTATCAGGATTTGCCATGGTGAGTGATTATATCTGTAACTAAATCTTAGTATTTGTATTAAATCCGACCTTAAATCCTGGCCTTTCAAGGGAACTAATAGGAATCCTTAGCCTGTCTCATAAGCAAGGTCAAGAATTCGTTGAAAAATAAAAGTTCACACAAGAATTTAATGATTAGCATAAACAGGAGACTAAAAGCATTAACAAAGCGAACTCTGAATACACTTCCTGAGAATATTTTGCAACTTTTAGTAGAAATTAGAGAACAGGTTCCTCTCGACATGCACGTGATATGCAATGCAATATGCAATTTGTTCCGGTTGAATGCTCATCTCTGTTTTTTTTATTTTTTATTTCGTAGTGTCGCACTCAAGTAATCTCAATCCGCAGAATGTAAATCATGACAGATGTAGGAATGCATATATCACTAATTAGTTGCCTGTACTTTCATCTAGGCCTGCCCAACATAATTCTATTTGATGCGAACTGTGGCAAATTGAGGGCCAACGAAATTTGTTCAATTTATTAGCTGTTCTTGGCTGTTTGCTAAATAAGTGTGTGTTATTTATTACCCTATAAAATAGGGTATATTAGGCTAATACTAGAGTAGAGACTTTGTGGGAAAGCTATTAGAAAACTGAGTAGAAAGTTAGTCAACTAAAACCTTGGATGATGATGAGATTAATGATGTTTGTATGATTTTCCATTAATTTTTGAGACATTATATCCTCGATTATTAAATAGCAAGTCATCTAAAAGAAAATCAATTTTAAAAAATATATATTTATATTTTGAACTCCTTGAAACATTCTATTCAATTTATTAGGAAATTGCATACCTTTATAATATATTTTTATTAAAGAATATATTGTTATTAAAGAATAGTATATTCATGTTGAGGTTTTCAGGATATTCAGGTTTTCTATCATCTCTACATCTTATCATAAATTCTCTCAAATTCTGATATATTAAGGTATTTTTTCACCATTTCTAATAGTTATAAAACAACTTTATAAAGTGCTAACCACATTAGATGCAGAATCTTTTAGAAACTCTGTCTTCCACGACTATAGTATATCAGATAATCATTAAAATATTAAGCAGAGAGGTATCAATTAGTCCATTTGTTGGATTACAAACTTTTTATACATTCCACATGTACACCTAAAAACGAGATGAAAAAAAAAAGAAACATAAAGAGCGGTAGATCAGGAGATCAGGGGCAGATTGGATGAATTAGCCCGGTCGGTACTCGGCGTGGCTGCCAAAATTTCTCACGAAAATGGCTAATAATAATAATCGGAACAATGTGCCGGGAAATATTGTTTCTAGACTTTGAATTACCAATTACCATTAATGCCGGATATGATATCTTCTTTTAATCGTTGTACAGGTGGCAATGGTGGAGGTGCAACTGGACGGCAACACCAAGGTGCCGCCGGGCATGCTGGTGGCATTCGCTATTTGCACCACAATGCTGGTGGCGGTGCACATGCTGGCACTGATGATCAGCACCTGCATCCTGCCCAACATCGAGACTGTGTGCAATCTCCATAGCATCTCCCTGGTCCACGAGTCGCCGCACGAGCGACTGCACTGGTACATCGAGACGGCCTGGGCCTTCTCGACGCTGCTGGGACTGATACTCTTCCTGCTGGAGATAGCCATCCTGTGCTGGGTGAAGTTCTACGACTTGAGCCCGCCGGCGGCATGGTCCGCCTGTGTGGTTCTCATCCCGGTGATGATTGTTTTCCTGGCATTCGCCATTCACTTCTATCGCTCGCTGGTGACCCACAAGTACGAAGTCACGGTGTCGGGCATTCGCGAACTGGAAATCCTCAAGGAGCAGATGGAGCAGGACGCCCTGGAGCACCAGCACAGCACGCGGAACAACGGGCTGCACTACGGCGCCTCCGGGGACATTGTCTAGCCGGGAGTCCTTGGACGGGACGTCCCACGTTTTGAAAAGACATTGCGGCTCAGGGCAAGCCTCAGACTATTTAAGTTTGAAATAATATACGAGTATAGAAAATTTGTAGTAAATGCAAATTGTGATAAGCATAAGGCAGTAGATTTTAAAAAAAATGTACGCGAACTGTATTCTGTATTCTATAACGACTACGTGTGAATGGAGTAGAGTGGAGTGAAGTCCTGGTTTTTAATTTTTACTGCAATTACTAGGCACTGATACGATAGGAAATAGTGAAAATTAAAGACCCATAACGAAGCAATACGTTGGACCTCATCGCGTCCAATGAATATTCCTCAAAAATTAGCTCATAACTCGTATGTTTTATATATTTTGATTGTACTTTAATTCGTACGCCTTTTGTAATCCTCTCTGGCCGTCTTCCCCGCTATTCTTTAAGTCCTTTTTAGAGAATGTAGGCGCTCGTGATAGCGCTCTAATTTATACATAAATATATAATTAAACGATTTTTTATAAATTATACGAAATTTATATTTTAATGGGACGAGTATTATATTATTCAAGGATATTTTATATAAGAAACATTTTCAACAAAACAAAATCAGCTAATAAATTTAAATACTTTGAAAAAATGTTTAAGAATATTATTTAGTTTTTCGATATAAACGGACTATGGAAATCACTTGAGATGTTATTATAAAATTATTTTCCTCAGAGAAAAAAAATTTTTTGAGACATTTTCGAGGGGTGCCTTTCAAAAATGCATGAAAGGGACAATAGGATACACGGGAAAGCCTATATCTTTGTGGATTCTTATCCGATCGATAAACGTAACACCTTAAACGATTGGTAGGTCGATTCTCCACTAATCTTCATCACCGAAACCCGAAGAGTAAACTATTTTGTAGATTTTTTTTTATCATTTTATGGAGGATCCCCTTCAATAAATGTGGAAAATTAAGGACCAGGCCTCAACGAAGGCCATATCGTTGCCAATAAAAATCAGGTTTTGAGAAGAATGTCTATAACGTTTTTTAGATAGATTCTCCATCAATCTGCATATCCTAAGTCTACCCTAAGTCTATTCGTTTTATCCTGTTTCCATGTAATTTATACACCTGATTAGGCTATTTTTGCCACATATACTTAACCGGAACAACCGATTTCCTATTGAGGCAACGTCTTTGGCCTGCTTTGGCTTGCGTGCCGTGGCTGGCGGAACTCAAATGGTGGCAAGACATGCTGCTTTGGGGTTGATTAGAAAAATGACACCACACGCACACCACCGCCCCATCCCTTAACCAGGCAAGAAGCTACCTTCCGAGCCCGCCAAGACACCACATGGCACCGCCACAGATGACAAACTGACAATGGGCTCAGTCATCGAAGACATGTCGTGCCCGGCAAGCGGATACGCCACCGGAGTTCGTTGCCAGCGGTATCCAGGAGGCAATGGGCGTGGCCGCTACCAGGGCAAATGGCTGGGCGCCCAGCCCCAAGGTTACGGAGTGAGGAGGAGTGGACGCGGCTTGGTCTACGAAGGTCAGTGGCATCTGGGCAAGAGGCATGGCTACGGAACTCTGCGACGAGAGGAGCCATCCGGAGGAGCGCTGCGCATCTATGTTGGCCACTGGCGGGAGGACAAGCGAAGCGGGGAGGGGAAACAGTTCTATCCGGACGGATCCGTGTACTTCGGCCAGTGGCTGGAGGACAAGCGAAGCGGTCACGGCATTCTCTGGCAGGCTGACGGAGGCATCTACATCGGGGAGTGGCAGCTGGATAGGTTTCATGGACGTGGAGTTCTCTTTGCGGGTAAGTGGACTACAAAGATTATGACTTTAAATTTTGAGAGTAATACCCCTTTGATAGCCAACGGCAACCGATATGTGGGTCAGTTCGAGGAGGGTTGCAAGTCCGGAGCCGGGGTCTACTACCATGGCAGAGATGGTCAGAGAGTTCAGCGGGGATTCTGGAGTGGCGACATATGTAGGTCATCGCTAATGCCCCTTCTACCGGGCTGAGACCAAGTCAGTTCAACACATAAATGGATTATATTTGAGTGAGAAATAAACGCATTTAAATAAAAGTTAAAAACCAATTAAAAAATAAACTAAAACTAATCAGTTTCTGTGGCGTCTCCGTGTGCTAACACACTCAGCTTCTACGGGTTGCTCGACCACCTTTCGTCTGGGCCTCCTCGACGAAAGAACCTCTGCCTTTGGTGTTTTCTCCGGTTGCCGAATCCTCGCCCTGGTGCTCCTCACAGCCGTGACCTTTGACTGGGTCTGCCCCTTACCATCGAAGCTGTCATCGAGTTGAATGACTTCGCCGACTTTCGTCTTGGCTTTGGTCTTGGTTTTTTCCCTCACCTTGGCCTGAGATTGCGATGGCTTAAGGGGCCGTGTGGTGGGCGAGTCGTCGTCATCACTTATCTCGATGGCCTGGCAGGCATTCAAGTCTACGTGATCCGAGGGCGGTGTGTTCTCATTGCCGCTGCCAGAGCTACTTGTACTGCCGGCACAGGGAGGTCGCAGCTCCAGCTCTGTAAATATCCTAAACTTTGGCGCCTTCTTGGCGGATGGCTTCACTTTCACAGCTGAATTGGTTGCTCCTCCTGCCAGCACTGGCCGTACTTTCAGTTCGGGTGAAAGATTGAAGACCAAAGCTCTTCGCGACTTTTGACACTGTGGCTTCAAGGGCTTCAGCTCCACTTGCGCCGCTTTCAGCTGGGCCAAGAAGTTGTAGCTGTAGTTGATATCCATCGCGGACTGTCGCACCTCCAGGCCCTTTTGGCAAACAGACAAGGACTCCTGGTGCTTCTTTTTATAGCGCATGTAGTTGACCTTATAGACTTGGTGCACCTGCAACATCGAACCCAGGAAAGTCTTTAGTTCTTTGTTCTTAGCCAAAAAGCTATCGGCCTCGGCATAAAACTCCTCCAACTGATCGTCATTCCTCTGCAAAAAGCAGAGTCGCGCATGGAGGCAGCCCAGAACAAAGTAGAGGCACTGCAGCTGGGAGCTCTGGCGGAGAACCGACGGTGCCTCCTTGAAGTTTAGGTAGCGCTCCAAATTCATGTGAAAACTGGGACTGTTGGGCCGCAGGTTGAGGCCTTTGGGCGAGCTCATGTCCACCTGCTGTTGCTTCCTAATTGGCTCCACCAGCTGCATGAGCATCATGTTGCTTTCAAGTGACACCACCGATGCCTCTACCTTGGCACTTTCCGTCGGTGCTTGCTTCCGAGCCAATGGCTTTATGTTCAAACAGTGCTCGACCAGTCGCAGCTTGGACTCTGCCTTTTCGAGGTACTCCATCTGCAAATTCGTCCACAGCCAAGATATGAATACTTCGATGGAGCGCAGGGCAAAGCCCGACTGGAGGAACATCTGCAGTGCAAAGTTGGAGAAGGCTAGACGCTCGCTGAGCCGGTTGGCTGCACACTCGGTGCTTTCTTTGACAAGCGCGGAGAGTACCAGTTGCAGGGAGCCCGCATCCACACTGGACAACGTGAAAAAGTTCCGAACATTATCAAGGAGAGTGTCCAACTGTCGCAATGGTGTCGGTATCCTTGGGTTCCTGGGCTTCCGCTGATGATAGGAGAGCCTGAAGCGCACCGTCTGTAAGGTGATTAAAACAATGTCGCTTTTTCCAGTCCTTTCCGGGAACTCCTCCCGCAACTGTTCCACTTGAAGCAGGAGCAACTGCGCCGTGCTCTGGCAGTCTTTCCTGTCATAGTAACTAGCCAAATGGCAGAGGCAGAGCATCACTGTGGTGTGCTGGCGCTTGAAAAACCTTCCACTCTGCAGCTGTGGCCACAGATCGTCAAGCATATCCTCCGCACGTGCAACTTCCTCAGCGAGGTCCAGTTTTAGCGTGGGGCTCACTTTATTTTGTGCCAGGAAGTAGGTCAGTGCTCTTAGGTAGGATAACCTATCCTCCAGCAAGGACCCTATCCTCAGAAGGAGAAGCCACGCATCTTCCGCTTGTTGTTGGTAACCCATGCTCGATAGCGCCATGGCTGCCGCTACGGCATCATCCACCAAAGCTTCCCAGTCTATGGATGTGTCCTCTTCGCCCAACGGTTCCTGGTCGGCTCGCGAAAAGAATCCTTCAAACGCTGCAATGGAGTCTGAAGCTAACTTAACTAAGCGCTGCTCCCGCTCGATATTTATGGTCGACAGGTTCTGGCGTAGAAGTACTTCTTCCATCGTGTTCTCTTGTATGTCCTTGGACGAAATCTTGGTCTTTTGAGCCTCCAGTGCTTCTATGAGTAATCCCACATTAGCATGACCCATAGATAGCTGATCCATTCGTGTAAGGGCACTTTTATGCTTCAGTCTGGCAGTCACTTCTTGCAATTCCTTTAGAATGGAGCCATTGTTGCGCATTTGCCTGGCCAGGAGGACCAGTTGGTAATCATTTGTTCTGCAGCGGAGGAGCGATCGCAGGTGAGATGAAGAAGGATTCCTCAAGTTGTGCAGGACAGCAAACAAGTCAGTGTCGTAAAGCTGTCGTTTCTGGGCTGTGGTGAGGGGATTGGGCAGTGGACAACTTTCGTGCCACTCGTAGACGCATTTCTGAATCTCTTTTCCTTCCTTCGCTTGGCTGTGATAATGCAAACTAATTTGCGAACGCAGCCGAACCGGGTTCTTAAGGGAGGCTATATAACAGGCCTGCAAGCGAGACGCCATCTGTGGGTCCTTACAATGGCCACTGGCCTTAAAAAGCCTTCTCAACAAACTACTCAGCTCCTGATCGGCAATTAGGGGACGTAGCTGTTGTAGCGGCTCTAGGAGGGGTAGCAGCAGGGCCATTTGCTCAGCGCAGGACACCTTATCAGCAACGTGAGTCAGCTGGCGAACTAGCTTAATCACTTCCACACTAGTAGGGCCTAGACATTTCAAGCTCTTGGCTACATCCATGGTGTAGGTGATTATGCCCAACAAGGGCTTGTGAGGCGTCTAAAACAAAAACAAATTAGAGAATAAAACTTACAGTATTTTTAGGAAACTCACTCTGTCGGTTTTCTGCTCGGCCGTTGGCTGCCAGTTGATGTAGGCATCCAAGGCGCACATTCCAAAGCTCATGATACAGTGCCTCCTTTGGCTTTTGCAAGCTTCGTTGGAACAATTGCTGCCCAGTGGACTCCTTGTCACATTAACCGAAATAGCCGCACTACTGTGCAGCATCTGAAAGTGGGCTGCATATGCCTCAGTACCGCCTTCAGTCTCCATTTGCTGCCAAAATCGCTGGAAAGGCGACGCCGATTTGCTGACACTCTGATGGATAAGCGTTTGCAAACGCTGTAAGGTAATGACAAAATCTGTCAGCCATTGTTCCTTGGAGCAAGCGGCTCCTTTTTGTTCAAAAAAGGTCTGGAACTTGCGGCAGATATCAACGTAGGTGCGCTTGAAATCCTGAGAAGCTTCACGGGCGTAGATGACCTTCAAAAAGTAATATATTAGCTGAAGAGCATAGGTGGCATTGGCATTCTCTCGAAAGACTTCCTTGCACATGCGAAGCGCTTGCAGGGCCATGTGCATATTGAGCTGAGGATTTAACATATCAATTTGAAAAAGAGCCAATACGAAGCTCAGGTACTCCGCAAACTGACTGTTTAAATCGGTGAAGGAACTGCTGGCCAGAAGTTTTATTAGTGGCTCAAACATCTTGGTTAGACTCTCGCTTGGCAGATAACTTAGGGATTTGAAAAAAGTCCTACTTCTTTTCCCAAACATAGCCTCATTCAGTTGCACCAGAAGCGGACCATTTTTAGTCAAGTTCTTTCGTCGCATGGCGCTGAATAGATCCCCCAGAGCCTCTAGAGCAAAACACAGATGGTGAGTGGCTTCCAGGGGCAGCGTTTGTTTCTGAAGTTGCATGTGTATGACATTAAAGTGGGTCAAGTGTATGTCCAGATATATTTTATAGTCAGAATCATTTTGTAAGCGGCACGATTGCGACCGTATGAGATTATACAGCTTCTGACAAGCGGCTATGGATTTCTAAATGGGAAGAACATTATTAAACTGTCGCCAAGTTGAAGGAATCACTCACCTCTTGGCACAAACCATGATGAATGTACCGCAGGCTCGTCAGATGGCCCTCCCACAATTGGGGCTTCTCTTGAAAAGGCTCCACGTGTGGCAGCATAATAGCCATAATATCACAAAAAATATCTGCATTTTGAAGATTCTTAACAGCGTAGCAAATATGGCGCAGAACACTCAAATCGTATCTCAAGGCATAGGATGCATCTGCATTTCCACGGACTCCGCTGGCGATCTCCTTGAATTTGGCTCCGATCGTTTTACAAGCTGATTCCACGTCGACGCGGCTTCCTTTCAGCTGGACTGCAATATCTCCAGACATTTTTCCGTAATCAGAACTCGCATTTAAATAATTTAACTAAGACGCTTCACTTTGTATGTTGCTTTGCGCCAGATTTTGAGAGTAGGGTTGTCACCATAAATATCAGGGCTGCCTTTGAGCAAAAACTCACCCCTGAAATATATCGATAAATGTCTATCGGCGCGAAATTTAATCTGAAAGATTCGAATTTCACCCCCGTTCATTGTTTATAAATTTTAAAAGGAAAACACGTACTCATTTTTAATAATAATTGGTTGCATAATTGTTTATTAAATGAAAAATCTTGTCTAAAAATGTTGTTTCGCTTTAATCGCCATAAACAATCAAAACATGTTACTACTGCCTTTAAAATGTTGAAACATTGGGGGATCTTGCTTAGAAGTATTTAAAGGAAAACAATTTCGGTTGATTGGTGGTTTTGATGTGTGTAAATATGCAAATAAAGAGAGGCTCAAAGGTTAATAGAGGAGCGGGAAGGTGGGTAACAATGAAGATGTGGTTCCACTTTTATTCACCTTTCGCAGAAAGTGAACTGAAGCTGGAGATTGCTTAACTTATCCGTATTCAAAAAAGGAATGACTTAAGAGTTAGTTAAAAGTTCTTAGTAGTAATTGTGTATAGATCGTTTTAACGCGAAACGTTGACAAAGCCGCAATTGTACAATTGTAAAATGAAACAGGCTGCCCGGAAAGCATTGGTTTTGTTTGATTTTCTCCGTTCGTATGTGTTGTCAGCGAGATATATCAGATGGTTGTACAATTTGTAAAATACATTCTCCAATAACTTTGGGGCTAAGCAATTTTACAATGTTTCCATTTTATTGAAGCGGTTTTGTGACGAAGTGGTTAAAACTGGAACTGGAACTAAGGTTTGGATGAGGCTACAGTTATGCGATGCGGTTTTTTATTGGTTTGTTTATCTCCGATCCTCTTCGTGGTTTTCTTAAACATATCTTTTCCTTTTCTTGGTTTGTTTGATTATTATGTTCATTTTCTCCGTCTATGTATTCTGTCTGTGTTCTGGGGTTTAGGTTTTAAATGTCGATTTTGTTTTGCTTTTTGTTTTCTTTCTTACATTTTAGAGAAACAAATTTTAGGTTTCCTAATGGTTAATCATTTTTTTCTATCAAAATATGATGTGTGTGTGTGGCTGTGTTTTTGTGGGCGTGTGTGGGGTGTATATATTTAAATTTATAACGTACAAGACGATACAGCGACAGTTCAAAAAGCTTAGCCATCATGCTTTCTTTTCTTGCCCCTGGCTTGCGACTCTTCTGCAAGAAAAATAAACAAATTATTAAGCATTAAAGTATATACTTCAAAATATATATTTTCATACCTTCGCCCTTTTCGCCGTCCTTGTCATTGGCATTTACTGAGGCAGTCGATTCATTAGCCTCACCATCGGCCTCATCAATATCTGAATCTTCCTCATCTTCCTCGCCTCCTTCGCCTTCCTCCCAATCGGAGTTGTCTTCTTCCAGATCGTCATTGTAAACCTCGGACAGGGAAACCTCCCCGTTTTCCTCCTCGTCGCTCTCATCGCTGTCGCCATCCTCTTCGTCATCATCCCCGGAAACTGGAAGGTAGGAAATAAGGGAAAATTAGCCAAAGATTGCAATACGAACTTCCCTAAGTCGAAAAATCGGTAAAGGGGGTTTAAGAAGAAAGATACATTTATAGTTTGGAAGTTCTCATCTACAAGGGATAGGTACAGAAGTCTGCTACAATTTTAAAACCAAATCCAATGGGTATTTCAACATAATTTCAAATCTAAACAATTCACCTCCTAAAGCGCTTCGGTTTAGAGAAGTTCGACGTGAAAGCCAATTAAGAACAAATTCTTACAACATGCGGCATTGGCAAGATTTAAAATAGCCAAAAACCAATAGAGAAGTATAGCGAACTTGATGCTTTGGTTTGTTGGAGGCAATTGGGTTGTCTTTATCACAGACTGTTCTTCGCCTGACGGTGCAGGAGCAACAGCTTCGGCTTCCCTCAGCTGCAACTCTTTCAGATACTCGTCTAATTCATCTACTTCATCCTCCTTCGGGGGAGGTGGCTTGTCCTGTCCCCCCTTTTTCGCCTTTACACGCTGCTCCAGAGCCTCTAGCTCGTCTAAATCGATTTCTAAACCATTTAAACAGAAGGCACCGCGCTTATCTGAAAGGCGACAGAAGCTATGGTTGAATGTTGGTTTTTGGTTTGTTTGTGATAACAGAAAACGTGAAACCTCAAATATGTGATAAAGCCTTTAACCAGACGGACATGGAAGTTAATGGTGAAAAACTGAGATTGTATGTAATCCTGTTTAATGCTGTAGTTTAGTTATTTGTTAGCGACTTTGAATACATACCTTCCTCTTCGGAATCGTTGCCATTAACCTCATCATCATCATCGCCATCTGATTGCGCCTCTTCGTCGTTGCAATCAAAACTGTTTTAGAAAATTATTATAAATTTTTGTTTCCAAAAAGAAGGTTTATCAATACTAACCCATCAAGAAAGCTTAACGATGGAAGCATCTTGAAGATCTTCTCTCGGTAGTTCTCCACCTGGGTAGCATCATTATTAAACAGATCCAGCACCGCTAGATTCTTAAACTCTTCGAGAGGCTTCAGGGTTTCCAGATCCTTGATCTTGTTCCCGGACAAGTTGAGATATTGCAGCTTTGGACTGGTCGTCAAATAGTTGAGGCCGCTTGAAATCCGGTTGTCGGATAGCTCCAGCTTCTTCAAGTTGGGCAGCTTGGGGAAACCTTTTAGGGTGGTGAGGCCCACATTAATCAAGCTAAGTGATTCCAAGGCGGTATATTCGTCTGTAAGGCCCACGATGCTTGTACTCCGGCAATTATCCAGATTCAACTCTGTGATCTGTAAGTAAAAGTAAACATTTTTAATTTAAATATTCTATTTTTTTTTTAAATATAACGATAAGTATCGATATCTTTCATTAAAACTAAGAGTGACCATCCCGTTTTGGTATTTTCAGGCAATTGATAGACATTGGTGAAAACGGCCACCTGGCAACACTGTCTGTGTGAACGTGTGAAGAGAAAAAGCAGAAGAAAAAATGGAGAACAATACATACGCAAAAATCGATCAAACGTTGCGAATTTTTTTCTGTTTAGATGCCATCACATGCAAAATAACAAGATTGGCGTATCAACAAACATCTTGGTAATGAATCGCCGCTTCAATTTTGCCAAAATACGCATCAGTAGGAGGCTGCGAAAAGTGGCGACGCGCGTTTATGTAACCTCAGTATGGATTTCTGTGTGCGGCGTGTGCGTGTGTATGTGTATGCCCCACCACAAAGCAGAATGCGCGAATTGGGCAGCGCAGAAGAACAAGACTCGATGTGGGCGAAGTGGGCTGAGGGTGAGAATGGGGGGGGAAGAAATCGAGCAAAGCGAACCGGCAAAGCAGCAGCCATAACACAACACAACACACATTTGACCGTGACGTACTATAGTTGTTGCGCCAGTCTGTGGGGGGTGGGGGCGGTGGGTGTAAGGCCAAGATGCTTGGCTTTCGTCTGATAAGCCTCGACCGAGGACCGAATACGGGTTATACACATACACACACACACATTGCCTTTTTTAAAGGCTGAGCAAGTTCACTTCAGATTGCCCAATTATCAATATGTCACGTTGCTCCAACGAGACAACAGGATGGGGCCTGCCGAGCCATCTGTCTGCCTGTCCCTGTCTGGCGGTGAACAGTTATGCGGCTACAGGGGAACATCTCTATGTTGTAACAAGTTTAATAATATATTTTCTCTCAAATAGATCAAACTATTGGCAGCCTTTTCACCCAAAGTGAAGGTCAAATAGTGTAAAGCTCAACTCTGAATGTGAACCTTGCACCTCGAAAATATTTTCAATTAGCTTTTCACAATAGTTACTGTATCTTGCCAAATGAGAAGGAATGCATACAGCTTTGGCTTTGGCTTAGGCACCTTGTATGTGTGTATGCTTTGCTGTTTTTTTTTTTTCTTTCTGTCCTGCTCACGACGTTATTGTTGTTGCGGGTGCATCGTGGGGTGGGGTTGGGGAGCAGAGTGGGTGGTGCCTGGGTGGCTGCCCCCCAAGTGGCCGCTGATTGAGTAGGCTGGCCAGAGCGCATGTTTATTAATCAGCGGCCTGGCTTTGTCTTTCGCTTGCATTTCTTAGCGCTTGGCGGTGCAGCGCGACAGAGAGGACGGAAGCCAGGGAGCGGGATGGCTAGCGAGATAGCTATTAAGTCGAAGGGGGCAGGCGGTAGGTGGTAAACAATGTGGGATAGGATGGGATGGGTGGTGTAGGAGCATAAAAGTATTATGACTGCGCAGTCAATATACATATGTATGTGTCGATTATTTTGTGCATAAGTTTCTTGGCCCTCGGCGTGCATGTGTGTGTCTTTGGTGCGTGGTCTTTTTGGCTGCAAGAGTGTATGTGTGTGAGTACGTATGTTTGTGCGGATGATGCGCGCGCTATAATGTTGTTATAGATACATTTTGGTATCAAATAACCTGAAATTACAACATGCAGCAGCAAACAACAAACAACCACACGCACACACAAACACATGTTGCCGCCGCGTTTGTCACAATTGAAGGCCGCTGAGAAAAAACAAAAACAAAAAAAAGGTAGAAAAGAATAGGCAAGCAGCATTGCCAGCTGTCGGCAGTGAAAACTTCAGGTGCGAGAGAGATTCTCGCAAAGATCGGCCGCGATTTGCATGCCAGCCACACACAATTGCACTCCATTTACACGCTGTATTTGTTTATCGTTAGGGAAATGGTTGTAATTTTGAGCAAAAGCCACGGCAAGGCGCAAAAATGCGCGCACATGGCAACACTGTCCGCCGCACACGTACTTCGAGCCAAGCGACATACACACACATGTGTGTAGAATTTGCTTATGGCGATCAATTTTTTCGTGTTCTGTTCTTTTCGCTCGCTCGTTTTCGATTTGTTGATGCCGCTGCTGCCGCTTCTCTGCTTCCAGCTTTTTTTCTTTTTATTTATATGGCGACACAAATTGAAACTAGATTTACATGATGGCGACTGTTGTTTGCGATGCACTCACACAATGGGATTTAATGGAAAAAAAAATTTGTACAGAACATTTTCGTAATCCCGCGTTTTTTTTCCCTGTTTTACGTTATCACACTTACCTGATTGGCTTTGCGTGCGCGCCGCTCCAATTCTATTCTCTTCTCCATTGCAGTTGCACTTGTTTGTTTGGGTTGTGTTGTTACGTTTTCTTTTCTTTTCTTCTTTTTTTGTTGGCCAAAGCAGCAGCTTTTTCTCGGTAAAGGATTCGGACTGCAGGCGTCGCTGTTGTTTCTGTTTTTTCGCCTCTTTTTGTGGGCGGGCGGAGGAGCTGGCTCCCTACGAAAAACAGCGCACGCACCAAAGGCAAAAAGACTCGCTCCTCGACGTCGTCGTCAACACACACTCACACGAACACGCGCTCACTCACACAGACGCAGCGCTGCCTTGCAAATTTTTCTTTTTTGTGCTTCTACGGAATTTTCGATGCCGCCACCGCGTTAGACTTTTCGGTTTTTTGTTATTGGTCCTAATGGGGAGGAAGCGAAAAGATAATTAGTGGCCAGTTATTTGGTTTTCAAAAACTACAGCTGCATGTCTTCAGATGCATTGTAACGCACTTCCCTCGACTCCAGAACACGACGCGCCTTTTCAAACGGCGTTTTCACCGGAATACGCTTGTCTATCTGGCTCTAATCACTGTTTTCTGGTCAATGGAGATGCGTTTGTGCCGAAAACCCACTTACCAGACGTTGCTGAATATTTAATTACCCAGGAATCAATTTTTAATTGTATGCTCGACCAATAAAAACAACCATTTGCAAAAAATTCCGGATGAAACGGCGGCACAGGAGCAAGAAGAAAATCAGCGTCAGGTGGGCTGGCGCTATGCGAGTGCGTGTGGTATTTCTCGGCAAACATTTTACGGTTTTCTGGTATTTATCAGTTGATTTTTTAGTATTAATTTTGACAGCTTGGAATTCGCGCTTTACAACACTACTTCTTTTCAGCTCTTATTAATTTAAAAACATTATAACTATTAGTTTCTGATAAAAGAAAAATATTTCAAATTTAAAAAAACGGTCTCACTTCCAATTCCACATAAGTTATTTCAAAAACTTCCACCATAATATTAAATATAAAATCGCGGTTTAACAAAAGTTACAGAGGCGACATCTGGTTTTGGCGTTTAATTTGTAAACCCATTAATATTAAAAAAAATATAAATAAAAAATATGCACTTCTTACATAAAAAACTTAAAAAATGTATAATTTTAATCTCATTTAAATAAAAAAATGCCTTATGTTTCAGTTTATAATTTCGTAAGGTATAAAAATATATCGACATGAAACAGCCCTATTGGGATTTGGCGCCAAAAAGTAAGAATGTTATGAATTTCAAATTTCAATTATTTTAAAATTAAAATTTTCCAGCAATGTCTAAATTTAATTTAAAGGGAAGAGATATAATGAGCAGAATTCTGTTGTCCATACCCCATCCTGATATAATAAAGCGCCCTAATCAGATACGCGTGCTCCTAGCTGGTAACATGAAGCTGTGCAACGAGGTCGCCCAAGTCGACTATGGGATATATAGGATTACCGTTGCGAAGGACAGGGCAGAAAGGCTCTGACTTAATTGGCCATGCAAATGTCCAGGTTGCAGGATCCGGTAAACATTGCACCTCACCGTCGGGTCCATTATTAGACGTCTAGAAGTCAACAAACGCCGCAAAAGGAAGTGGCCTGTTAGCTTTTTCCAGAAAACACTCACACACCCACACACCGACACAGAGTTGAGATTTTCCAGGATAATTTTACCAAGGACGCGAACTTCGGAAAAAGTGCTCGTGAACTTGGCACAGCTTTAAATTAAGTAAACGACTCAATTTGATTTCCGCGCCTCGTTTATCCCTGGCCCGCCCACTGATAATTTTAATGTGGGCTTAATGCATGCTTCTCACCAACACTATGTAAGCATGTCAGGAAGGGAATACAGGTAATTGTTTTTACGGTATCTTTACCGTATCAAAGGACGAAAATTACTTTGGTTGAGCCTACACAGAGAGAAAGTTAAATTAGAGATACATATATTAAAGAAAAATTTAATAAAGATGTAAGGTAGATTATTTAAATAAAAAGGAACTATTAAAACTAACAACTCTTTAATTTTTTATAGTAATATTTATTTATTTTGCAATATTTTCCCCCCTGTGTAATCCCAATCGTATCAATTAGTCAGGTGTTTGTCCTCTAGCCTCTGTAAGTTTTCCAGACAAGTGTCCTTGCTCCATTTGAGGATATGGCAGCCACTGGCCATTGGTAGATCGGGTGCAGAGGTCCTTGAACAGCGCTATCACCATCATCATTGGTTGCACCAATCTATGCCCCTGGCGAGCAGCCTGGCCGGGGGGGTCTAATCTATTAAAAGCGCGTTAATTCTGTGAGTGTGGCAGCTATTTGTGGTAGGGAGCTTTTAGCCATGTCAGTGTGGTCCGTTAACATTGGTAACTGTTGCTTTGGGAAACATTGACTTTAATGGCTTTGTGGCTCAAAAGAAGTTAAATTAAATAAAAAAAAAAAAGAGTTTATTACCTTAATATATTTTATAATTTTATATATAATGTTTGTTTAGAATTTTAATATTGAATGTATAGTTTAAATATTATATAAACTTTTTACTAATAATTAAGTTTAATAAGAATATATTTCTTTAAAATTTTTATATAAAAAATATATATTTAGTTAATAAAGCCTTCAGAATGGGTGTTAATTAACTAACTAACAAAGATGCCATTCGCGAACCACTCTCTTTTGAGTTCTCTTCCTGGCCAATATACTCATACCACCACACAGACATACACACACCTACACACAATCACCAATCAACAGTTTGCCGTGGTGCGAGGAAAAGCTTTCGGAAAAGCTCGGAAAACGGATGCTGCGAGCTGGCAGAGGCAGCAGCCACAAGTTGCCTTTGCCACATTTGCAACAGTTGCTGTTGAGTGACTTCGATAGGCGGACGTGGCAAAAGGTATAGCGGATGGATCCGTAACTAAATCCAATCCTGGGACTGTTATCAGTGGAGACTGCTAGGTGTGTTAGTGTGCGGGAAAATGGGGAGGAAAATTGAAAACGATTGAAACGGGAAACTAGTTCAAGTGCAAGCGCCAAAGTTGCTAGCAACAATGTTGCAACCGTAGAGTGGAAAATTGAAAAAATTTTAAATAAACGAATACGAAAATATGAAGACATAAATTATAAAAATAATAAATATACATACACATAAACAGAAAACCAAATTAATTTTTTTGGCACATGCTTGCTTGATCAAGCTAATGTTAATGATTTCTTATTTTTCGCGACACATGTGCGTTCGTTTTTGAAATAAAAAGGAAAGTGTCTTAAAGCTAGTACCATAAATCCAAACAAAAAAATAATAAAAACTGAAAGGAAAAGTGAAAAATCTCGGCTAATTCAATCGCGTGCGTCTACAGATTGAAAAATACGATTATAATCTGGCCATCTCAGGCCTCAGTCCTGGACCCTCTCTCCTGCATCCCGACAGGCCCCAATTTCGTGTAAATCCCAACGAAATTACCATATGTAACCCAAACACACACCCAAACGCAACAACACCCATCTGTGTATTTGTGAATGTGAACTCGGGGAACATATTCTCGATTCAAGTTCCTTTCGACACGCGTCTGAAGGAAAATTTCGTTACGGTTCTTCATCATCACAGGCACATTTCTCAACGAGAATGGTTTTTGCATTCCCTTGCCCTTGTTTTTCATTGCTTTTCTTTATATTGTTTACACATCTTTTTTTTTTTTTTTTTTGATTTTTACTTTCTTTGGTCTGTCACCGCAAATAAATTTTTTGTCGAATTGATTTGATAACAACAGGCGGCATAGAGCAAGCAGCAACAGGCGACAGGCGTCGGCAAACCGAGAGTTGTACCTCCCAACCAACAACAAAAAAAAATAAATAAAAAAATAAATAAACCCAAAAACAACAACAACAGGCACTCATCCTTCATCGTCGGTTAAAAAAAGGTAAGTACATATGATTTTCGGTTGAATCGTTGTGGGAGAAATTCGCTTGATTTGCATTTCAAAGGTTGCGCTGCGGTGCTCCTGATTATCATGTCTGGCGGCTCGGCACACACTGCGTATGATTGATTGCGTGCCACCCGGAGAGCGTGCGTGTCCTGTAATTATGTTATCGTTTGTGCAGCGCAGATTTTCTAGGAAAAGGGAATCCGGTTCACCGGAAATGTAAAAATTTGATTTCCTTTGCATGCCATCAAGTGTAAATTACTATTCGTCTTAAAACGGATTTAGTACCAAAGTCCTTGTGTTAACTTTCCTGCAGAAACTCACAACTTCCGGCGAGATTGAGGCCAAAGTTTACGTTTTAATCTGAAAAGTTTAATTAGGAGATGTCTGAACTTGTTCATTTCCATCTGCCGACTCCCGTTTCTATCTTTTTTTTTATTTGCCAATTAGACAATTTTCCAATTAAGTTTATGGGAAATATTATTTCTCCTTAAATCGAATTTCGGTTTGCAGGCGACGATGCAATTAAACACGATGGCATGAATTTAATTTGCCAGAAGTTTTGCTTAATTGGTTTTAATAACTTAAGCCACTTAGAGCCAATTATGAAGATGCCACAGAACAGCAGCAACAGCAAAAAAAAAAGGCGGACATTTTCCCATACTTTTTCCTGTATTTTTGCTTTATTTTCATTTAAATTTCCGCGACAACCTCTGTCAGGGTCGTTTGGCATTTAACGGCACTCGGTTGCCTGCGGCAGGTGCCGCAACCAGCTTCAACGCATTTTAGCACCTTCACACCTGTTCCATATTTGCAGCTGCCCCACCTGGCTGATGTGTTTGCATTCCCGCGTTGCATACTTCACAGCGTCCGGCGGGCCAACGGGGCGTATGAGTATTTTTTAATTTATTTACGAAAATAATTAATTAGAAGAGTCTATTTTAATAAAATTAGCGAGAAAGACTGTAATTGTATATCTTTCATTTATTATTTGGTCATTTTATTTTATTTATTATAGGTAGAGATTAATTTCTCTCACATTTTTTATTGAAGAATGCCAGACTTCCTCCCCCAGCATGGTTTTTCGAAAATTAGCATGAAAATTAATAAACTAGAAGAAACTACTTGGAAGCCTCGTAATTCCTCTCAAAATTTGTGCATAAAAGTTTTTACTGTCTAAAGCCCTCGACCGAGTTTTGTTGCTTTTTCGCTTTGATTTTTCTTTTTTTCTCTAGTGTTTTTTTTTTTTTTTTTACGCTTTTTGATGTTTTTTTTTGTTGCACTTGGGCTGAAGAGGGGCTCTGGAAGGGAGGTCTGTAAAGGAAGAACCCGCGTAGGTTGAAAATTCTGGAGGGCGGCTGCGGGAGGAAGAATTTTAGTTGCGTTGGCATTGACATTTATGCGCACGGGATGGGAATTGGGTTGCGTATAAAAAAAAGCTAAAGAAGTAAAGGCGGAAATTTTATGGCACATTATTATTTTTACTCTGCAGTTGTTCGCAATGGAATAAATTTTGCGGAAAAGGATGCATGCGAAACAGTTTCCATCCGGCAAAGGTTAATTTTAATAAAGTTTATGCGTCATGAGTGAGGCTTTAAGGATGAAGCGTAAAAATCAAGCAAATGAACTGCTTACGAATGGCCTGACACTCGGAAATCGGTGGTTACACGTTTTACGAATAAAATGAACAGATTTTTATTAGGAAGGACATCCTGGAAAGGATTTCCTCAATATAATATTTATTCAAACAGACTTTTTAAATAGTTCCTACAAGAAAGAAATTATTAGAAGGCTCTACTTAGCTTGTGTTCATCATTTCCCAGGACCTGCCTCACAAATGATGATCACAGCCAGAAATAGAAAGCAATCTTAAGATTTAAGTTTCAACAAATGCGTCTCATGCGCCAGGATATTTTCGCACAGGAGCAGGGTCTGGAAACAACTCGTCAGGACCTCCCGGGTGCAGACCTTCTTCTGACGCTGAGCCTCTGACTGATTCTGGCGGTGATAGTTCAACAGCATCTGGGTATAATGGGTCCTCAATTCCAATTGCTGGCGTTGAGCTATCATCTTCTGCATATAAGGACGCAGTTCCGATGTTTTCTTCTTTAGAATTTGGCAAAGCGAACAAGTGGTCTTCTGAGGAATCTCTACTGGTTCATGTTTCTTTTTCTTTGTTCTCTTCATCTTGAACTTACGAAGTGGTATCTGAGGAGGTGCTTGGGCTACTATGCCCCTCTTAGGCGGTACTACCAAATTCATCCTACTCCGTTCCGTGGTAACAGATGAATAGTCCAGCTCATTTGGCTTGAAAATTTTGTTTATGGATTCATCCAACAAAATGTTCAAGGAATATTTTTTCATAAACTCTTTTGTAACTTCGTCTATATTAATGGGTTTCGAGTAACCTGATCGACGGAAGTTTGCATTTGTAATTGACGAGATGGAGTTTCTTGATTGGGATGGTGATTCGGTGCGAAAGGTAAAATCCATAGAGTAGCTAAACCTCTCAAAATCCACTTCCGACGGATCGAATGACAAGGATTTATTATCGTTTTGGTCTGTTTTCTCAATCACATTTTCAATTTTTTCCCGCGACGGTTCTTTATCGATTGTTGATTGAGGCGTTATTAGTTCTTCGAAGGAAAGACTTGAATCTTTTCGAACATACGGAATAGTGTAGGTAGGATGATCTTCAGGAGATATTGGCCAACCATGCTTGGGTGTGGTCGGAATACTGATTTTCTGAACCGTTTTTTGGTTTTTGTCCTCAACCCACTTGTATACGGTCATGTTGGGAAAGGAGCTGCTGAGGAACGAGTCCGCAATACGCATATAGGACGCATCTTCACTCTGCCGTGGGTTATATTCCATGGATATGGAAGCTTCCTTTGGCCTTACCTCAGGGAGGGACATGTGTCTCCTCCAGGAAATCCAGGATTCCTCTGGTAGCATCCACTGCTCACCTCTTTCGTGCTTCAATTTGTGAATATCCTGCTTCTGTTCTGGCTCTTTCTTTTTATGTTCTTTCCGTTTATGTTTAGATAGTTTACGTTTTTGCAAATTAGACCAACTGGCGGCTTGGCCTGTTTTTAGATTATCCTCGGACCTGGCCCTTCGAAATGGCATTCTCACATCTGAGTAGATGGAAAAACGCCCCCGGGGAGCATGTTCTATAGGCCTATCGGATATCTTTTGCCCAGCCGTTGAAGATGCCCGGCTTTGAAGATCTTTTTCCATTCGCGGCTTCCATAGTTTAGATTCCATTTTTGCCACTTTCGAGGCGGCACTTGATTTGGCGCTTAATTGCTTGGACCTCTTTGGTAAAATATGCACTGGTTCAAAATATGGAAAACGAGAACTATGTGATGTAGGCTTTTTGATGTTGGAAGTGTCCGATACTGATTCGAGCTTGTTCTTCATATTCTTTTTCTTTTTGGCTTTACTTGAAGTATGGTCCTGCTTTGATTCGTCTCTTCGCCTTCGAAATTTGATCCTTTCTGAAGTACCCCCTTTAGAGGGGTCACTATAAAGTGAGGGTTCTTCTGATGTATTCTCGGTAATTTGTGCCAGACTATGATATGATATTATTGCAGAATTTATTTTATTTTTTGCATCCTCTGGTAAAGAATCCTTTTTTTCTTTTAAAGTTTTGTCTTTTAAAGGAACAACATCATCATCTTGCTCCTCGGTTGAATATTCCGACTTGAAGAACTTATCCCTTGCCTTCATTATGTCTGTCAACTCGGTTACCTTGTTGGGATCAGTTTGGTTCAAAGCTTTTGGTTCAAAGTAGCTGGAACTTTTTACTAATTGTTCATTTTTCATTTTTCGGTTGTCTTCTTCTAAGAGTTCCTTCTGCATTTGCAGGACCTCATCACTGAAATTGGGTGATGCCCATTCATCCGGATTAATGGGTTTATCAATACTAAACTCTTTTTGTTTTGGACCTAGATCATTCTTTCCGGAAATAGTGGGGTCCTTGGGCAGTTTTTGAGGATTGGGTGACAGCCTTACCTTTTTTTGCCTCACTTTTTTCTTACTTTTTTTCGCTTTGTTCTCTATGGAATCCCTTTGGATAGGAGGTGCCACCATTATAGGTCGTTGGACCAGTTTATAAAGCTGCGACAACCGTCTTCTGAGTTCCTCCATTTCATAAGGATTTGATGAATCTATAATCTTCTTCTTTAAATCTTGGATCTCCTGATTCCAAGCAAACCACTTCTCCGGAGTAGGCCCAACATTTTTTTTCGTTTTTTGAATTTTAAAAGGTGATTTTTTTGTCAAATCTTTCCAACCGGGTTCTCTAAAGCACGTCATAAGCTCTTGGAAAATGTACTCTTCCATTTGCAAATCAGAAGGCAAATGATACAATGGATCGGAGGACACTTGAAAGCCGTTCCGGTGGCCCTTTGAAGCTAGTAGTCTAGCGTTTTGCTGGACGTTCCTGCGAATGTTCGACAGTCGCTCCCGGCAATCGCCAGCATAGTAGCTCCATGAGGCCCGGAACAGAGAGTCCCTGCTGTAGCCCCATTCCAGCGTCTTGAGGAACGGGGCCAGTTCCTGTATCTTATTCTGCAGACATTTGCGGTTCAGCAACGGCGAGGTTTTATTGAAAAAATTCATCTTTTGGCTATATACATGAAATTTTATAGAGGTATCGAAAATATTTTTAAACAATTAACAAAATAATTTGGAGTACTTAACTGACAAGTCGTTTTGCTTGCTAGGTCCTCCATATTTTTGGTGGGGCTTCTCAAACGGACTTTCGGCTTGGTAATAGGGAAATATACAAGTATTTGTAGAATATTACACTTTATTATATGTACATTTATTTTCTGTGGATTAGCCAACAAATAAAAAACCATAAAGTTAATTATTTTTTATAAAAAGTTTATTTATTAAATGTCTACTCTAATAGTCAAAAATTAAAGCCTACTTGATTGCAGCTACTTGTCTAGTAACCTCTTGTTTAGGATCCTCTACTTTCGGCTCGGAAGTCACTCTCATTTTCTGCTCGGCACCTTCTCAACTGTTCATCGACAATATGGTCACAAAGAGCCAGAACTGCCAGGCACTGATGCAGTTCCAGTTGCATTTTCTGTAAAAGTTTTTTAGAATTTTTTTGTGGCTTCGGAAGGGGCAGTTCGATGTCCTCCGAAGAAGCTTTTAACTCCACACTTTTTACCGAAGGCGACGACTTTTCTGGAGTTGGATTGAAAGATGGTAAAAACTTTGAACGATTCATCCGAAGATAGTACTGCTGAAGCTCATCGCGGGCTTGACGTTTCCTCATTTCGATTAGAAAGGGCTTCTCGGGCTCTTCGTCCTCCCGCAATTGGTGACAGAGCACACAGTTCTTCCAAAGACGTTCTGTTTGACAGGCCACTGCCCTTCTAAATCTCCTGCGTTTTCCTTTGCGGGATTTTCCGAATCTACTTGGCATCTTGCAGACGTAGGTATGATATTTATAAAAAACTTTCGAAGAGATATCCGTTTGGCAAGAAACGGCCTTGCTGAACTTTCTTCTCAGCAGTTTTCTTGCCAACCGGCGATCCCTTGGCTTTGAAACCTTTCTAATCTTCGACCTAGGTTCTACTTTCTTTGGCTCCAATGTGGGCCAACTTTTGGGCCCAGATTCTTCAAAATCTGTGAATTCGGGGGAATAAAAGTGCGTGAATTCCTTTCTGTGATTCTTCACGTCGATGGGATCAAAATTATAGCTATAAATGGAAACAAGGGCTTCCAATTCCGGCTTTGAATTATCGGATACGTTTGAACTAAACTGTGATTTACTCTGTGACTTTGGTAGAGATTTACTCTGAACGATCGGTTGCCAATCGTCCCACTTGTCTTCCCATTGCTGGCTTTCGACTTTCCGCACCCCTTCAGGACTCTCGTTGGGACTAAAATACGGTTCTAAATCAGGGCTTACTGTTATTGGAGATTTCAAAACATTAATATAGGGCGAAGGGGTCTTTGGAATATCAGAAGCCGCTTTACGCATTCCGAGTCCGAAGGCCATCAATCGTTTAGCAAGAAGTTTGAATCTCGGCGGATTGGCAAAATAGAGATCCGATGAGTCCATTGACAAAGTTTCAGGTCCTGGTATTTTCAATTTACTTTTGTTCTTTTTGATTTGTCCACTCTTTGAGTTTCTCAACACGGAACTTTTAGACGCATTTGAAAACATAGAGCTCTTGCGAATGGAATTTTTCGACGCGTTTGAAAACACGGAGCTCTTTTGGTTTGAAGACACGGAGCTCTTGTGAATGGGATTTTTAGACTCGTTTGAAAATACGGAGCTCTTTGAAGATATCATTGTAGTACGTCCACTTTTTTGCCGTGGATTCTCGTGATTTCGATCGAGATCACATTTCCTGAGAAAATTAACTTTAAGGGCCGGTCTGTGATCGGTCTTGCATACCCGGTCGTACAGCTTCGCCAGCTCGGGTTGATCTCTGGTCAAGTTTAGGTAGTTTCTGCATTGCCTCTTGGCACCCGCACTCCCCGCATATTGGGTACTTGGCGGAGTGGGCGGGTAAAAAGGGGCATGGCTACTTATCTGGCTTAAATCATTTATTTTTGGGACAAAACGCGGGAAACGACATGTGGCAGCTGCCGCAAGGCCACGCTTTAAATTCCACATCGAATGACACTCGATACAAACGAAATATACTATCGAAAAACTTTCTTCAATTACTCAAAAATTTTGAATATTGATTTGTATATATGTATGGCATTGATTTCCAGAGCTCCTAAGAAGCTACTTCCACTATCATATCGTGTACTAGACTTTAAACCACATAATAATTATTAAATCACAGGCTTAGACTTTATGAGCTGCGTTTTATCTAGATTAAAATAATTTCCTTTTTTATTTTAATTACGGTAGTATAAGTTTCTAAAGCCGATGCCGTCATTTCTGCCAGCCTCCCATTTTATTTCATTCCATTTCCCAAGAGCACTTCCCAAGAGCGCTTCCCATGTGCACTGCCCACGCTCGCAACGAGAATAAGTATAATTGTTGTCTGTCCCTGCCTCGAATCGCATTTCTATGCACATTGTATCTGCCACAAAAGCATCAGAAACGCCTCAAGGGAAGCCACAATTCTAAACGCAGTTTTCTGGCCATCTGGGGAAAATATCAAGGTGTGGTGACATGAACATTTTTCCAACCACAATTATGGCTTACCAAAAAATGAAGGGTAGAATATTAATTTGTTGAGAGTACATACATATAGATCAAAGAAATGTTCTTAATCCTTACATGTTCTAAGGTTATCGCTCGCTTGAATAAACTCTCAATATCTTGTAATTATCCCATTGTTTAAAGAACAATAGCCATTAATTCATAAAGACCAGCACACGTGTGGCAGTACATTTATTTTATGATTGATGAAAGGAATACCAAAATACCTGGCCAAGTTCAAGTTCCGTTCATTAACTTGGGATGCATCTTTTGGCTTGGTAACAGTACAAGAAACGGGCTAAATTTTAATTACTATATTTTTATGGCCTTTTAAATTTAAGATATTTTTTTAGTACTCCATCTAGTGCTATAGCTCTTGCATCTGGCCATCTGACATCATAGTTAATAGCTTTTAGAGGCACTTTATCGCTTAAGTTGATGTTTGTGTGTAGTTTTTAGCAAAACAAAAGTAGAGGTACATAGAGGCAGACTGATTGTTTATTTACTCACTGTACATGTAGGTATGTACATAAGCCTGTTTGTGCATAAAACATAAATCCCCCCGATTCGCATTGGAAGCTAAAATAACACAGCTGCCAGTAGTTGCTCTTCCCCTGCCACCTGAGAGTGGGCCAGATAATAGTGATTTTTTCGTTCGAGTCAATGGCAGAGCGACGGGGCCATAAACAAAAGCGGCTAAAATTATAAAATTAACACCGTTGCTGCTGCTGATGTTACTCTGGACTGTCGAGTTGGCCGAGTGTAAACATTTGATGACGGTTTATTAGCAATTAATTTAAATATTACCATTGGCAGCCGAAAGGTAAATGTGGGTGTGCTCAGCGCGTGGCAAATAAACATGCTGGCAATAATATCGCAAATAAACAGAACGACCTAACATAATAATTGAAAAGGATATTAATAACAATTACTGCTGGCATTAAACTCAATTTAATTTTCAACATTTTAATGTCAAAAATCGTGTTGCGATGCCACCGTTGAAGTGGCCAAGCAATTAAGTCAAAATGATTTCTATTTTCTGGGGGATTTCAATTATCGATTAATATCCCGCGGTTCTGGTAATTCCCATTGAAAAAGCCAGCGATTATTTCTCTGGGAGTATTTCATCGGCTTAATGCATTCAAGTCCTGCCTTTGCTAGTCTCCTGGCTTCGACTGACTCGCTGCCAATTCCGATTCCATTTCAAAGTGAAGTTGGCTCAAAGCATAATTGCAAACAATTAGCATACTCTGGAACCTGGAACCCTCCTCGGCATCAGCATCGGAATCGATGGCTATATATTGATGATTATGATGTTTGCAGCATTGATAATAGTAGCTAGAAGTACTCACTTGACAGTGAGCTCTGTCATTGGCATTGTGTTTGGTAGTGGGGATGCTATTAAACGCGAAAAGGAACCATATTGCAAAGTCAATATCAGATTACAGATATGTGGGACACGGAATTGACATATGGTATTTAATATACCAACATTCGAGTTGGAAAAATATAATAATTTTGATATAAAGCTAATTTATCTGTTTTTTTGTTGTTTATTTTCTTTTTAAAGCTGATTATTATTGATATAATTGAGAGTTTCATAAGCGTCAATTCCATTTGAAAAATATAGCAAAGAAAAATGTAGACATTTTTAATGAAAAATATGTTGTGTTTCTAATAAAACACAATTTTGTGGCAATACTCTGATAATACAGTCACTGGATCATCTAGTCTTTTGCAGCCAAGCTTCATTATTTCATTTATTATCTACAGTGGCGGATTTAAGGAAAAAGGCCCAGTGGGCAAAATTTTTTCAGGGTACATTGAAGGGTATTTTGAAGGGTACAGCCCAGAAAATTTGACAAAAAATCTTTAAAATATTTTGTTCCCAGATTTTGATGCAGATTCATGGAGAATCGATCCACAAATCGTTTAAGGTATTCCGTTCAAGAATCGGATGAATATTTCCTAAGATATGGCCTTCGCAGTGGGTCATATGGGGCTCCTCATGCATTCTGCACATTTTGAAGGGGACAGCCCAGAAAATTTGACAAAAAATCTTTAAAATATTTGGTTCCCAGATTTTGATGCAGATTCATGGAGAATCGATCCACAAATCGTTTAAGGTATTCCGTTCAAGAATCGGATGAATATTTCCTAAGATATGGCCTTCGCAGTGGGTCATATGAGGCTCCCCATGCATTTTGCACATTTTGAAGGGGACAGCCCAGAAAATTTGACAAAAAATCTTAAAAATATTTTGTTTCCAGATTTTGATGCAGATTTATAAAGAATCGATCCACAAATCGTTTAAGGTATTCCGTTCAAGAATCGGATGAATATTTCCTAAGATATGGCCTTCGCAGTGGGTCATATGGGGCTCCCCATGCATTTTGCACATTTTGAAGGGGACAGCCCAGAAAATTTGACAAAAAATCTTAAAAATATTTTGTTCCCAGATTTTGATGCAGATTTATGGAGAATCGATCCACAAATCGTTTAAGGTATTCCGCTCAAGCATCGGATGAATATTTCCTAAGATATGGCCTTCGCAGTGGGTCATATGGGGCTCCTCATGGATTTTGCACATTTTGAAGGGGACAGCCCAGAAAATTTGACAAAATATCTTAAAAATATTTTGTTCCCAGATTTTGATGCAGATTTATGGAGAATCGATCCACAAATCGTTTAAGGTATTCCGCTCAAGAATCGGATGAATATTTCCTAAGATATGGCCTTCGCAGTTGGTCATATGGGGCTCCCCATGCATTTTGCACATTTTGAAGGGGACAGCCCAGAAAATTTGACAAAATATCTTAAAAATATTTTGTTCCCAGATTTTGATGCAGATTTATAAAGAATCGATCCACAAATCGTTTAAGGTATTCCGTTCAAGAATCGGATGAATATTTCCTAAGATATGGCCTTCGCAGTGGGTCATATGGGGCTCCCCATGCATTTTGCACATTTTGAAGGGGACAGCCCAGAAAATTTGACAAAATATCTTAAAAATATTTAGTTCCCACCTGTTAAATCCGCCACTGATTATCTACCAAGCCAATTATTATTGATGTGGTCGATAGCATTATTGTCATGAAGAGGCTTGGCTTTTAAAGAAAGATCTGTCGAAACCAATTTTGAATTATAATACCGAATAAACTAAGCCATTTTAAAGAAAAAACTTGTTTCATTGCTAAAAAAACTCAATCATTTAATAAAACTCAATCTTTCAATAAAACATTTAATCCAGCACTAAACCATCTAGTCTTTGGCAGCCCAGCTGGATTTTTTCATTTATTTTTATCAGGAAGCATAATTAGACCTATTTCTAGTACCAATGTTTATACATCCAGGCGACAAAAATAGACAAAAGAAATCTGTACACATGTGCTGGAATCAAAAAAGATATTCTATTTATAAAATAAACTAGAATTAATATTTAAAGCAAAGGTATAAGCAACGTAATTAATGATTGATTTGACATAAGCCATGAAACATGGTGTTTATACGAAGACCACCTCCCATTTTCCATTCAATTAACATTAAAGACGTGAGAGAATGCGCCCAGAATGATCTACTTTTAGACACGGCAAATTGGGATTATACTGTGCAGATTTACTTTCGATATAGGCGGAGCATGATGTGTATATAGAAAGTGCATTGGGGCAAGGTCGGTTTACAGAATAGAATCCGCCATGTGCCCGGTATTTAGTCGGCTGCTTTGCATTCACGTCCGATTGACTTTTTAATGGGCATCGAGTCGGGTTGATTGAATGGAAATTTCACAGAAATTAAGCAACCAATTGCGCAGATTGAATGCAGTAAACAATTATTATTGACTTGTGAGATTATGCATTCGCATGTGAATTAAATTCCTTTTGCCTTCCGGTACATTTGCCATCCTAATCACCCCATCCCATCCCAATCCTCATACCATACATACAAACTTTTTCATAACCCATTATTTACGTGTGAACCGGAAGGAGGAGTATGCTAATATGCCAAGTACCCGAACCCGCAATCCTTGGCAAATATTTCCCAAAGCCTCAGACCTAAAACCCTAAAAAACCAGAGGGTTCCACTGCCGAAAGTCAGAAACATTAATGGCAACAATAACAGAAACAGCATATGGGAAAAACGACCCAAAGCTAAAGCCAAAGTTATGCCTAAGTGGCAGCTTTTCTCCCATCTACCATCTCGCACAAAAAACACAAAAAATTGTACAAATTTCATGGCCTGCAGCTAGCAAAATAAATTAAAGTATTCTCCCTTCGCACACGGCGGGAAGGCGGATGGCCAACTTTTTGCCCGGCTTCGTTTTGTGTGTTTTTTGTCTATTTTTTAATTTTCTACAATTTACCCACATAAATAAATTCAAGGGAAGTGAGTGGGAATGTCCTGTGGTCAGGTCTAATGATTGAAAAAAAGAAGGAAGAAGTAATACAACGAAGGAGGCCGTCCAACAGAGAGGCTAACTTGTACTCTTACCTTTTATATTGCTTCGAAGCTTTGGGATATTTGCTTAAATTGTCTCAAAGTAGAAATGGCTTGTCCGACTTGGCCCGGCAGGCAGGGTACCACAAATTGACCGTTCTCCTCTAATTTAATTTGAATTCCAAAAGAAAGTTTACACCCGTTGCAGTATACACAGAAATAAACCCATAAAATATGCAACTTTGAAAAGAAATAAAAAAGCCCAGTTCGGCGGGGCGCAGGCGGGACACAAAAGGAGATTAAATTGCGTAGCCGCCCCGTCAACACTGGCTACAACTTTTGTATGGGCTCATTGAACTTGTTTTAAAGCAGATAATATAAAATGCTGCCTTTTGTATTTATCTTTTCACATTATTAAAGAACATGGACAAAGTTTCAACTTTAAGCCCAAGCATGTTTGCATTTACATATTTTATTTTGTGATAAACGAGCATAAAGTTGATGCTTGTTTTACTTATGTTTTGAAGCTTACTTTTTAATGACTTGCATATGTTCTGGTTTTTTTGCAAATCAATCCAATTAGTGAGAGCTCAGCGACTGAAGTGGGAAACAAAATTTCATCACGTATACGACATGTGGTGCGGAGTGGCAACTATTATCGGAAGCGCTGCCATAAAAATCTATTAAAAATCAATTTGTTTGCCGCAGCTGTTGTCTTAGTGGCCGAAAGTCTGCCAAGAACTTTATCCGCGTCCAGTGGCTGCCTAATTAAAGTGCTCGACCCGGTAAATGTCGAAAATTAATAAGCGCAACACGTGCAGCGGTTTTTCGATTGCGACTCCAACGTCTGTTGCCTGGATATTTTCCCAGATATATATTTTCCAGCCCAGGACGCAAGACACAGGCGGGGAAGTCTTCTGGACATGGGAAATCGGAAAGTTTGTTGGGAAAACCGCTTTGAAGTCTAATAGGATTAGCTCGCCCACTTGTGGGCGTGTCTGTCTATGACAAATAAACGCCAGCCAAGTCGGTATTCTGTATGTCCGTAGGCGGAAATATATATCTGTTAGGCTGCTTGGCTGGCCCTTGCTTTGGCAAAACGAATATTCAATAATGTAAAACAAATATTTAGCCAGAAAATATTCCAAGACGAGGATTTCTTATAACAGTAAATATTTATCATAGCCATGGCTGCATGCCTTTGAGTGAAGAAATCTTAAAGGTTAAAACAAATATTAACCTAGAGACTTTAATCACCATAGTAATACGTGTCTGAATTATAATTTTAGCAGAATATGGTTTATTAATATAAAGCATAAACAAGACCACGATAACACTATATTATGAGATGCACTTAGTTTAGTTGAAAATAATAGAGTTTCATTTTCCAAGAGCTAGTCCTTTTGATCTATCCCAGTCCTTCAATCGTTTTAAGTAATTTGAAAAAATTTCAAATTACTTCACAACTGTTATGTCCGTATACTGAATCTTCACATCGGTCCTGGCCATGTTTCCGAAGGCATCCACCATTTCAGTCAAATACGTATTCGGCAGCCGGCGGTCGAAGGGGAAGCCCATGGCGCGTCTGTCAGGATACAGCTTGTCCTTCAGGCCGCAGAACGAGTACGCCGTGCTGCAGGCATCATTGGGTCTAGCAAAAAATAAATATAAATAGGAAAATCAACCAATCATCCTGTGGGAATCGCTGGAAAGCAACTAACGTGTTGGGCTGCTTCACCGAGTCCTGCGAGTAGTCGGAAATCATGACGAACAAGTCAAAGGCCATGCCCTGGGTAGTGCCCTTGGGAAGCAGGAGATGCTGTGGCCATCCGCAGCCACAGAACCGGAATCGGGCCAGTTCATCGGCTGCCTGGGGTTGGTAATTCGCACCCACTGGCCGGAACGAGCGCTCAAAGGGAATGGCCACCGAGGACTCCGACGACTGGCGGCGTATGGTATTCACACCGGGCACCACTGGGGATTAATTAAAAAGTAATAACCATATATCATAAAAGGAAAGCTGACTAAGTCCATAGAATCTTTTGAATCCAATAAGAAATACGCGGAAAGGATATAAAAGTGTAAAGACTCTTTTCTTTTCCTTTTCTCCATAATCTAGCTATAAACAATATCAGAATTTGCTTTCTATTTTTAAATTTTGATGGAAATTTAAGCAGTATTTTCTGCATAAAAAAATGAGTGAAGTGTTTATGAAATTATGATTTAGAATCTTGGGGGAAAGGTATATCTAAAGAAAGAAAATAGATATATTTTTATACTCACAATCCACCGTGAACTTGTCCATTTCGATGGCCATTTGTCGCTGTTCCTCCAATCTCAGGGGCATGTTCCGCTCATCCACCTTCGGGCAAAGGAAAATGCGGCAAGTTCCAGTTCTCTTAGCGCCATTATTGGTGACATTGAAAGTGTAGGTGAAGGGGGCATTCTGTAGATGATTAAACGAGGCCAAGACATTGGTGGCCGAGCTAAAGTCCAAGCCAGCAGTCAGATCCACAGTGGAGTTCTGCCAATAGGTGGCCAATCGGTTAGGAGATGTGCCTTTCTTGTCGATCTTGGCCTCAATGTAATCAACGGAAATACCCTCAAAGCCCAGCTGATCGGCATTGTAGGGGTTCAGAAGGCTCTTGAACTTGGTGAAAATCGAGTTAATGAATCCGTGCCATCTGTAGAAGATCGGATCCCTCATGGCTGTGGTGACATCGCCCATCACGCCGAACTCCTCCAGATGCCGACCATCGGGGTCATGGGCAAAGGATATGATATTATGTCCCTGGTTGTGCAGATTTCCATACAACTGCATGTTCACGGAGAGAACTGGAGAGGCTTCGATCATGTTGCCCAGAATATCGATGCCCCGGACCTCGTCCAATGGAATCCTCTGGCCAGAGGGCTTTAAAAAAACATATAATTTATGGATTTGTTTGATTCTCCCCAAAGCTCCATACTTACATCCTCGACATAGCCCTGATCGATGACATCCATGATCCTGTTCCGCCAGCGCAGAACTTCATCAATGGTGATCTTGGTATCCTCACGATCCACATCCTTGAGCAGTTGGCCCGAGGCTCGACCAGGATAGGTACGGTTATTTAAGCTGGACAGGATCTTGGGGAAGTAGCCCTCAAACAGCTCGTTATGGAGGTTGGTCAGTGGCTGTATGCGCTTCAGGTTGTTGGAGAAACGTTCCGCGTTATATCGGGCCAGGATCTGCTGGTGCATATAGTAGAAGAGCTCGCCGCGACGATCCTTGTTGACAACTTCATAGGGTCCTGTGGTGGGGTAGACCAAGTGCCAGTGCCAGTGATGGCTGTTCACTCCGATATCCTCCCGGAAGTAAGCCATGCGGTGTTCGTCCTCGACATCCGAGGCCGTGTAGTCACGGGGAATGGGCACGGGAACTCGGTCCCCGCTCTCTCCAAAAACTGTTCCCTCCTGGCGGCCATCCTACAGAGAAAAAAAGTCCTATTATCTAACTGAACTATGCAGATATAAGTATAAACCTGCCTTGAGAGTGGAGGGCTCTACAAAGTTGCTGGGGAAAACCTGGGAAATGTTGGTGATGGGAACTTCGGTGGTGTCCTTGCGATGAGCAATGGCCACGGCGTATGCGTATTGGAATAGCATAGGATTAAGACGGTCCCTTTAGGAAGAGGATGCTCTATATTATTTTTCTTGAAAGTCACAATTTTAAACTCACTTGCAAAAAACGGAGAGGGAGACAAACTGCCTGAGATTCGGGGCGTTCATGAAAAGGGTGATCAGCTCGCTGGCAATATTCCGATGGCGATCGTTGAACAAGGAGAATTGCTTCTTGGGGCCCAGAGGCTTGGCAAAGTCCAGGTTGGGAATCGAAGCCAATTCCTGAACCGGAATCCTTACATCCACATTTTTGGAGAATCGATTGCCCACCTGGTCGGCCTCAGCCTTATAGCGATCCGTGTAGAAGCTTTCCGGGATTTCCAACACAGTTTTTCCATTGTCCCTAGTGGTGAATACCGGCTCCAGGGGACGCTGGAACAATAGCTCCAGGACCTTTAAATCCGTATTGGTCATGGTATCCTTTAGTTTATTTAAAATGAACTTGGGACTTGACAAAACCAAGGCTACTCGAGCACTGTGCTTGATATCATCAAGAGTCGTAATTTTTATACTTTCGGGAACAAATTTAATTAACCGCAAAATGCATTGCATAATTTATTTTTTGATAAAACAAAATAGGAAGTGGTGGTGGTTATCAACGCCTGAGAAATATTTATGGAAGTGCAACAAGAGACTTGCTTAAACCGCGAAACTATAAGTGATAACGATTTTAAAAACATTTAATTTAAGAATTACAAGTATGATTTAATACTTTCATTAAAAGCCCTTCCAATTAATCATTAGTTGCCTTGATGGCTGATCAAATTTAATTTTCGAGTCTGGCCCCGAAATTATCTGGAAAACCTTTTTGCGAAATACAACTGTAAACAGCCCGAAGGCCACAGGAAAAGCTCCTTATGCCCATAGAAATAACACCAAAACTTTAGGTTACTCAACAGGCTGCCATCCGGCCACGCCTCCTTTTATCACCCAACCGCCCTCCATCTGAGAATGTCGGGTCATAAATTGTATTTGGAACAGGCTCCCTCACTACCCCTCTCCCAGTGTCCTTCTCGGGAGGCCATAAATTTGATTTTAGGGGGCTGGAGCGTAACTAAGAACTAACAGCCAAGAGGGCTTTGATGATTAAAATATCTATACTGTAAATCAATTTTTGTCGCTCCGCCGTCTGGTCAGAGAAGGTTTGTTGGCCAACAAAAACCAAACAACCAAAACTTTTGGCCATTGTCAATAATAAATGTTGCTGCCGACGACTTTGGCGTTGAAATGTGTGCGCATTAATCTGTGAAATTGACAGCAAAAACAGCACAAGGTTTGCATAAATGGGGTGTTGCGGAGAGCTGGAGAGTGTGGGGAAATTGAAAAGATGAATTTTCACAATTTCTGCACTTTGGCAGGAAAACAACAACAACAAAAAGACATGAAAATGACTTTTTATACCAAAGTTTGTTTACTCCACCCAGTCATTTATGCTACCAAAGTGCTCCTCTAACACTCCAACAATGAGACGGCACATTTCTCTATTTTCCAAGGTAAGGTAGAGTATCTGGTAGTCGACGTCATCCCCCCATCATCCACTTGACTTTTCTCGCTTGCTCCACGCAAATATTTATCCCAGCAATGTCATTTTTCATTGAATATTCCACTCCAGCCCGGCCAAGGCAAATGTGCTGCAGATTCTTGGCCAAAAGACAAACTTGCTTTAATTAATTATAAAGTGTGTGTGCTTGGTGTTGTGCAGGATGAAATTTGTTCAACTTGGCAGTGTGAATCGAATTAAAGCTCTGAAAGGAAAAAAACATTCCGCTGCCATACATACAAAGTTTTCACTCAGCGCCGAAAAAAAGAGCCGAAAACTTTTCCAAACAAGTCTTAAAAACCACACAACTTTGTAAAAGGCGTAAAGTACTCATCCTGTATGGCATTAAGCATTAGGGCCGAGAACCTGGCCATAAAAAGGATTGCGGAGCTGTGTTAATTACCCGCCGCTGCCTGGGCTTAAATTTTAGATTTCGGCTTAAGTACTCTGCGGCAAGGAAGGCATAAACCCACGCCATCGCCCACGCCGGCCCATCCATTCCCAAACTATTCATTAGTTTGGGGTCCGACCGCAGGAATTTGTGGCGGGGCTTTATCAAAATTTCGAGGTGGCTTCGTTTTCAATTGTTTGCCGACTTGGGCACGAAACTGATTAAAATTTCATGGCTCTAATCTGTTTGCAACTTATCAGCCCGTTAATGTGGGTTCGTTTCTTTTCGAAGGCAGTAAGCGACTTTGGGAGAGTTTCTTTCAACCTTTTATGTGAATTTCAAAACTAGAATGTATTTTTCTTTGATAAGGGGTAGGGGTGTTTAAATTTCTTAAATCAAAGCTTTGTGTAAGACACTCCAAGTTTTTAAATGCTGTGCTTAGTCACACGTGTTACTTGAAGATTTATTTGCTTTTTCTCAACAAGACTTGTTTAATTAATTAAGAGCCATTTACACAATTTTTTTATTCCTTTGTTGCCTTACCATTTTCATTGTTTTCTGGTAGAGTTGTCCTAAATAGAGAGATTTATTTACCTTTTTGTACTGAACTTCAGTAAACCTTGATTGAAAATTGCTCTCAACAAATAGATAGTTTCGGAGTCTGTTATTTGCTTTAGTTTTCATCAAATCATCCGTATTTAAATTGACACTTAATACACCTAATGGACTACCTATGAAGTTTCGTAAATTAACTCTCGGGATTTTGTCCAAGGAGTGATGACAGCAGCAGTCCTGCCAATTAACAGTCGGCCTTAATTGGCTTGGGACCACAAGATGGAAGGGTTCTTTATTGGCAACAGCTTCGCTTTGGCCATCAAATCAAGTGACAGGCGCCTTTGCCAAACTCCATTGTAATGAGTGACACGCCCACACGCATGCAAATCCCCAACATCTAATTAACGTTCTTCCTTGTAGAGGCCCAGTTGGAATAAGGATATTTGGGGAAAGAGTTCCACCAGCTAAGAGGATTTATGTTTTATATAATTTTAACTAAAAAGCTTTTGATAATCCTTTTTGAAAAGTGTATCTAAATTCTCATCCCAACTCATGCTGTGGAAACTGCAACACATGGCCAACAGGAAGTCCTTTCCTTTGCCGGTAGCAGCAACGGTAACAAATCATCAACTGCCGACATTGTCACATTTCTCACTTCATTTTGCTTTTTGTGCCTCAGACCGTATTGTGGGAGGTGGGTTATTAGTTGCTGGCCGCCATCTCTCGTCATCTGTCAAATGCCAAATTGTGGCAGCTGGTTCAGCTTGTGTCTCGCCATGTGCCAGTCATCATACACACAGTCGCAGAGCGAACAGACCCAACCAGTTGTTGCCACAATGTTGCCTTTCCCTCCGACTGTCTGTCGCTGTCTGGGCGCAGGTAATTGAACAACATTTGTGGAATGAAATGGAAAGAATTGCCGTGAATGTACACACAGGTAGCAACATCATCTGGTTCAACTGTCATGGCGAAAAAGGGAAAGCCATCGCGACAAAGAAAGGCTCTTAGACAGAGACAGATAGGGTGGAAGGAAGCGAAAGAGACAGAGTTGAGAACAGGTGGCAGGTGATTTTCTGCAATATTAACTCCACGGCCATATGCTCACCTCGCCTGATTTGTCATACGCACATTAATTTATTGTACCCTTGAATGGGTTTTCCTTTATTTTCTGACAAAAGCTTTGGCAACTTGAAGGTATCAAACATAATTTTTGAAAAACTTGAAAGAAAATGGAATGTTTTTAGAAGTAAAATGTCAATAAACAATATTTAGTAAAGAATTTGCAAGTCTCTTTCCGATATCCTTCGTAGTAACTGTGCAGGACATATCCTTTTTGGTTTATTAAAAAGAAAATTTCCATGGAGACTCGTTTTTCCGCGAATTTCAAGCTCAACCTTTGGACTTTTTTTCCGGAATACGTTGAACACGTGCCCCCATGTACCCAGTTATCCATTTGAGTGCATGCTGTTTGCTCTGATAACTAAACTCGATATTAACTGGCGTTTCCATATCTACGGCTGGTAACAGATTCAAATCCAAGCGAAAGCCTCGTATGTAGTAGGAATAATTCGCCTTGAAGGGACACTGTTTGGGATAGTTGCTGAAACGGTCCATGATGTCCCGGCCGAGTCGCATGAGCGGCACCTGGTTGCGATTGGCCAGCAACTGGCAGCCATCGGTTGTCAGATCGATGAGGACAAAGTCGGTCAGAGGCCTCTGACGTGGCAGAACAATTCTCATTAGAAAATCGTGCTCTTTGACTTGCTGTTTCAGCGCAAACTCCAAGTGCCAGGTGCGGCGTTTAGCATTTTTATTCAAACCGCAGTTGAGTTCCTTGATAATCTTAGAGTGCTTATCCTGGGTGCTGCATGTGAAATTCTCCGTCAGCAGATCATAGTTATTCTAGAATAATTAAATGAGAAGATAGAGTAATCGGATGACTTGTCTGGACATCACTCATACGCACCTTTGCCTCCGTTTGAAAATTCCAATTAGGCAGGATAGACAAAAGGACTAATGTGCACACTCCGTAAGCCTGTGGCTTCATCTCGATCCCCAAAGTCTCTACTAATAATGCAATTAAACTGGTATTAATGAATAAGTGCATTGCTTCTACCAAATATTCAAAATAATTATCTGCCGATGTGTGACTAATGTCGGAATAACAATTATAATTATTATGATAGATGCATTCATTGAGGCGAAAAGGCTCATTTGATTGTTTAATTTTAAACAATGAACCATGCAGCCATGAAGAGCAAATTAATGTGTGGTTTTGTAACTGCCAAGCATATGCTCGCAAAATTTAAATTTTAAATTATAATCAAGATTTCAGTCACCTAAAATATAGCCACATAATCGGATCATTAATGGTGGGCCGCAATCACCCATAATCACTTTCTCAATTAACGCTTAACGTTCACCAAAAAAAAAAACAGAAATGGTAATTATAAATGAGAGTAATCAGTCAAATGGATTACAAAAAGTTTCCATGGAAAATATTAATTTTATTCCGGATTTGTGAGTGGTTGTGGAAACAAAATGGCCCGCAATTTGTGGTTTTTAATTTATTTGACGATTTGTTGTGTTTCTTTGGTGAAAGGAAAGGTAATTTATCAGGAAACAAAAAAATGATATTTTTAAATGAAAATTTCTCTATTTTAGGGTAATTTTGATATGATTTTTACGAATTGTACTTGCTTCAGTGAGGACCCTGAGCAGGTCCTCTCCCATCTGAAATGCGGCTTAAGCAAAAGTGTAAAGCGTCCATCTTTTAACATTGAGTTGCAGTTCAGCCAGCCGGTCGCCAAATTCTTTGTGAATATGAGAATTGTACTGCCTCGACGCTTCGGCGATGACTTCACACTCTTTAATCTTTCCGGAATCGATGGCTGCAGTCTGCTTTCTAACAAAAATCAGATTGCATTCATCCAACTGGGACGCAAGCATATGGATAAGTTTAGTAATGTTCCGAAGCGCTGTCCTTGGCCAAAGGATACTCCCTACTATGTGCGAGGCTTCCGATCCGATATGTCTACAATGCCGGCTTTTAATTTCGAGTCCGACATGAATTTGTGGTTTGATTTTGTGGTAAATCAGCATAAAGTGATTCGAGGCTTTATTCAGAGCCGGGTGCAGCGCAGAAAGAGCCATAAAAACAATGGAGCCGAGGAGTGAAAATCCAATATGTATCTTAAAATAATAGTTTCTTGTTTTGTTTTAAAAGTTCTCTGATTAAATGTATGTTGTTCTGGTTGTAGTTTATGTTTAATCCGGGTATTAACTTGTTTTTCTTTCTGAATGTATTCCTCTCTGCAAATCATGTGTGCAGGTGGCAAATGGTCCGAATAAAATTGAAGCAATTGAGTTTTCCTGCTGCGTTCCAGTGCCCTTCTCTTTTCAATGGTCAGCCAATTCTCCGTGTGCTTGTGTGTGTGTGGGCCAAAAAAAGCATATTTTCGTGCATTCCCCCGCAGTCTCCCCTGGCGGAAGCCTCACTTTTTTATGGAGCACGTGCCACACTCCCGGGCGTCGGCAGCTCCCACTCTTCCGTGGCACCACATGCGGCTCACGGAATTAAAAATTCCAAACTCGTTCCGTCCTCTTACAAGGCGATTTCGCCTTAACGTGGTTATTAGGTACTACCATAGCAGCTTCCCTCGCGTTTCCGAATAAGCCAAATTTGCTTAAATGAACACTGGACCTTGGCGTGTGAGAATTTTCAAAGCTGGGACTGGGGCAGGCCCTCTCAGTTCCCCAGGGGTGGTTGCTGGTTGAATGTATTTATTTTTCACTGCTAATCTTCTTTAAAGATAATTTTCTTCAGGGCAATCGGATTGGGTATTCCAGGAAGTGGCCTTTCTAAAACCTTTATTCGTGGAATGCCCAAGACAAGGCGTTTTTAGTTAGCATTTTATTTAATTTAAAAGGGTCTTAGGGAATACAAATCTGCCATAAATGTATACTAAATAGGAATCCATTCAATAACTTGTTTGAAAATAGTTGTATGATTATTTTCATTTCCGACAGACAGTACTATCTGATATCTGCTTTACATTTTCCTGCAAACTGCTGATAAATATATAACCATTTTCCTGTTTGTGATCTCGCAACATTGTTTACTTATTTTTGTTGGAAATGCATTCAAGGTTGCTTTGCGCTTGTTAGCTGATGGGAAATACTATGCACATTTATGAAATTGCAAATTCGCTTTCAGGTTTCAGCCACCATCCACCAGCACAAGCATTGATTGTTCCAGCCAGGAATATTTATTTTCCTAAAAATTCTTTCCCAATTTCTGTTTTTTTTTTGCCCGCAAGAGGAAAACTCAAAGAAAGTGGATTGGCAAAGGGAAAAAATGAAACGGAGGCCACATAACCAAGTATCATCAGCCTAATCATGTGGAACAAGGCGGAAACGGAAATTGCACACACATACTTTCAAACACACTAACTCACCACACATACACTCTGACAGTTGCAGATGCCTCCGCTCCGCATGTTTGCGTGAGGATGTACATCCATACTTGTACATATGGTTAACCATATTCCAGAAATCAGTTTCATCCTGCAACCTGCCGTCCGTTACCAGGAAATGTCGGAAATGAAAATTTTGTGGTCGAACCGAGATGGAAGTGTGTGTTTATATCAGCGTGAGTCATTGGTTGGACTGACTCCACAGGACCCCACAATCTAATGGCATATTAATCAAAATTGCATGCGATATCGGGTTCAATCCTCTCGCCGGGCTATGTGCTGGAGGCTTCTAATTCTGGTCAACCTTATCGGGGTATAGGACACGTTATCTAATGCACAAAATAAACTAACTAAGCAGGGTGATTCAAGTTGGGTAAAAATTATTTTTTTAAAATATTTAAACTTCAATAAGATGTAGGATATATGATATGTCAGTTAACTGAAATATTATCCGTTCTCCGGAATACCCCTAATATTTTGTATGAGCGATTATTGTCTTTGGCTTAACGGCTCTACCCCCACACAACCAACACTCCTTCGCAATGTCAACAAGCCGCCTCTGACGTCGACGGCTCTTATCAAAAATTCGACTTTTTGCCATTTGCCTCGACTTTGCTCGACGAAAAGCCCCAACAGCTGTCACTGTTGCGGTTGCGGTTATTTGTTGCTGTTTTCTGACCGCTTGTGTTGCTTCTGGAAATTAACGCGACCAGCACCTGCGGGCCACAAAAAACGAGAAAAATTATCAACTGCCAAAAAACAGTTGATTTTGATGTACAAACTTCGGCGCACACTTTTTGTCCGGGAGGCGTGGGCGGAGGCGCGTCTGAGTTAAATGGATCCAAAATGTTTTCTATTTAGCTTCAGGTTTCATTGTTTCAGTAGCTGAATGGAAAAAGTGTTGGTGTACAAATATTTTCATCGAAATGCGGAGCACAGACTGGAAAAATAATAACAATGAGAACCCATCGAAGAACAAACAATCAAATGGGTAAAAATAAATAACAAAAAAATACGAAACCAATTAATAAACAAGAAAATAGTTGGCAAAAAATGTGAAAAACAGGAATGGCAATTGAATATTTTAAAAAATGTTAGACAGAAAACTTGGTGGAATATTACCATAAAAATATTATTCAATAAATGTTTTCGTTTTGTGAAATATTTGAAGCTCAAAAAATAATATAAAGCCGTCTCTCTGGTTTATGGCATTTTTGGGATTGAACTTTTTTGAAATCGACAATAAAAGTAATGTGTTTTTGAACTCTTTTTACTTGCAGCATTGCCACGCCCCAAGCAGCGCTTTTTAAGGCGCACCGGCCCCACCATTCCCATGCCAGCCCGCAAGGGGCTGCTAGCGCCCCAGAACACATTCCTGGACACAATCGCCACCCGCTTCGATGGCACTCGTAAGTGAAATGCTAATGCCCATGCTAATGCTAAGCGATTCCTCGGTTTTTATACGATTTTTTGTAATGTAATATTTATGACACTTTTTATTGAGAGGGGCCTGCATAAGCCAAATGCCGGAATCAAATGCCGGGTAACTCATAAAAAAGTAAGCATAAGAGATTTCCGAAAAGGAGCACTTGAAGAAAATTTAACAAACATGCAGGATAAGGATATCCGGAAGTCTGTGTATTTTTCACTGTGTATCTGTCCAATATTTTGGGTCTCTAGGGATACAGTGGGGACTTTTCGCTGTTAAGTGCTCATGCTTTGGGGAAAAGCTCCAGAACGGTCACGAATCGTTGTCCTTTAAATATGAAATACATGTTTGCGCGTGCATGGGGAGTCCTTCCTTATCCATATTGAAAATCTGCCCATAAAGGCATGCAAAATGCTTTTTTTTATTTCGTGCTGGGAAATTAAAACTATGTGCTTCTGTGCGTACACGCCCCCTTCTTTTTTTACTCATCTTCCGCCCATTCTTTTTTGTTGTACCACCCGGCGATGCGATACACAAAAGAAGACTCGTGGAAACCTTAAAAAAATATATATACATATTGCGTATACTGTATGTATTCCTTTGAGGGAAAAAAATGTTTTACAGTAAATTAAACTGTGCCTTGTTGGGCTTGTGCCGAGAAAGTGTACATACGTTTTCTTTATTTTCAGTACTCAAGCGTAATGATCGGAAAGTGCAGGCATTAAAATTCAGATATTTCCTTTTTCATATCCAGACTGAAGGCTGATTATTTCGAGCTCGATCGATCCAGCTTCAGACTTAATCTGCTGCACTATCGAGAAAGTAAAATCCTGGCAGCCGTTGACAGGACAGGATGGGACGCACGCACACGTGCTGACGTTGCTCAGTTCCTGTCTCGGGACAACATGTCAGTCGGCCATCATATAAATTAATTGTTTTATTTCGCATCCCGCGCACACACACATGTTCCCCGCAGCTCCCCAGCGATAATTGTCTTTACGAGTTGTCACAACCTCCGAACATGAAACGAAATGCTCAGCCGGCATAGGGATTAAAAAGGTTTTACGAGGCATAAATAATAAAATAAGCATATTAAATGAGCCGGAGTCAGTCAGTAAAGTGACTGGATGTGGATGTGTCCCTGTCGCCGGCAGCAGTCAAATAACTCAAACAAAGAGCAGCCTGCAAGTGATTTAGCCTCCGGCCTCCCAATGATTGTTCCGTAAATATGTACAAAGATGTATTTATTACAAATATTCGCACACAAAATGAGGGTCAGTTCTAAGGATGCCTCATGTTATTAAATTTGAAAATAAATTCAATTTAAGGCACATCAGCAAACAGCAAACTATTAAATATTGATACTCGCATTAAAGTTGTTATTCAAAGCAAAAAACTATAAGCTTTCAATGATATTTTTCTGATAATATTATTTTACATGAAGCTGCTTTAACATCAATTAAATTAAATTTTTTCCGCATGTGTATTTAAGGCTTATGGCAAACCATAACACTTTATTGATTGCCGCTTATTAAACAAATTTACTTTTAATATGTCGGACATATTGTGGTGGCATTAAATAAAGTACTTTATTAATTTATAGATTTCTGGGCATGAAATGACAAAAAACCAACAATTGGCTGACAAATTTCAAAAGATTCCTAGAAAACAATGTATCCTTGATTGCTTATAAATGTGATTATTGCGAATTATTTCCCATTTCTACAATACTTGAGTGAGATGTTGATGTGGTTAGGACTATGAAGCTTACATTGTTGTCTGGCATGTGAGTTTTCATTTCAAGCTCCCATTGAACTGGCTGCCTTACAATTCAATTTGTTGCATCCACATCCTTTTTCTTCCATTTGCTTTTATGAAGTAATCTGTCCATTGTGCTGGCAATTACCGTCCTTTGCATTCTATTCACAGCTCGTCTCCAATGCCAGTATACAGGATATGTGAGATAGGGTCTATTTCTGAAACTGCAATGAAAAGGTTTTACGCTTATTGAGTTGTGTTCTTAGAAAATGTTATAAATAAATGGAGGGCTCCATGGGATACCCATGTCCCTTAGGTGGATTTCCGTTTCCGGTGGCGCAGTCACATGCGAGCATGTGAAACTGGCCAACTGGCACCGAAAGAAAGCAAGAATTTCATTTTCTGCAGCGAATAACGCCCAGCTCTTGCCAGAATTTAATTAAATCCCTTGGAAATTTTTTGTTTGCACACAAAATGCAATATTTTTCCAAAGACTAGACTTAGAGTTGAGTGTAAATGAAAAGCTTAAATAAAGAAAAATATTAGTTTAGGGGACTCAATAAGGCAATCTAAAAATTAAAGAGTTATTTGCAAACTTATTTGACATGGATATGGCAATATTGGCAGTTGAACCATTTGGCTGAAAAAATTTAAGAAAATTTGAAGTTGAAATAGGAAAAAGGGGCCAAAGGGAAAAGCCCAGCAGGACTTGTCTTATTACTGCTGTTTTGTTGGGACAATATTTCATTTCAAATGAAAAGCTGGTGAACATCATCCTTCACCCATCCGTATTTCCATTTCCCCGGACAACTACCTTTTCTCCCTCCCCCACTTGGCTGTTGTTCAACTTTCTCCGCTCACTTTCTTTGCCACTTTCTTTCCGCCCTCTCGTTCCAGACTCGAACTTTGTGCTCGGCAATGCGCAGGCAAATGGCAATCCAATTGTTTATTGCTCGGATGGGTTCGTGGATTTGACAGGATATTCACGCGCGCAAATTATGCAAAAGGGTAAGAAGGAAGACGGACAGACTCAACTTATTTAACACTTGAATACTCATTTGAATGTATTGTACAATTTTATTCAATTGTTCTCCGGCAAAACCCAAAACACACAAACAAACACGAACGCAATCGCAATCGCAATGGCAACGGATGGATGGAATTCCGGCCGTACAAAAAACAGGCTGCTCATGTCATTTCCTTTACGGACCGGATACGAAGGAGGAGCACAAACAGCAAATTGAGAAAAGTCTCTCCAATAAGATGGAACTGAAGCTGGAGGTTATTTTCTACAAGAAGGAAGGTAAGCCCACGAAATTACAATGTGCGAGAATGCTGCGAAAATTGTTTGGTTTTTCTTCTGTTTTTTTTTTCTTTTTAATTAAAAATATTTTTAATGAAAATTAAGTGGCAAGTGCGAGCATTTGCACTTTGCCAGAAAGGAAATTATTTTTGGTATTGTGGTTGCCGATGCCGGTCGCACGGCCAAAGTTTAAAAGGTTAAAAAGCTGTTGAATCGTTAAAAGCTGAGATACTATCTTGATAATAAGGGTTGAGGTAGTTTAGAAGGGAAGTAAATTGTTTATTTTATAGTTTCACCTTTTTTAACAACAGTTTATAGCTTCTTGCCAATAGATAGCAACAGAAAAAGTAATCGCCTTGTGCTTATAAAGGATTATTATTGCTTTTCTTTGGCTTTTCATTGGGAAACAATAGCCGTGACACGAGTGAAGACTTGGCAATCAATTGTGGATGGACTCACCTGCAGAGTTACTCGATTGCAGCCACAACCTCGGGAGCATAAACCACCGGCTGGCAGCTCAGCTTGCCACTTCCATTGCCATTGACTTATAATTTAAGGCATCGACCACCACAGCAAAGTCACTTGAACAAAGCTTTGTTTCTGCGGTGTTTGGTTGGGGCCTGGCGGGCGGGCGGTCTTTGGTCTTGATTGAGTTAAGCGCGACAGACTTGAACTAGTTTCCTGCGGCTCACGGGGGTTCATGTTCATGTTCAAGTCTCCCAGGATAGCCCCGCACAATTTTTGTGCGCCAGGCTCGTTGACATGCCGGGCGTACAATAAATTGTGCGCTTAACATTTTCGCACGTCCAGGCCGCGGTATTTTGTACCCCTAATGAGGTCACGATTAATCAAGACAAAGCCCGACCCCAGTCCGGAGATAAGCCCAAGATGGATAGACGGATCCATCAACTTTGAGTGTAAGTTTTCTAATTAGCGAAGCGTTTAAAACTTTTAACCACTGAAGGCAACAGATAATAAACTTGCACTCGGAAAAAAAGTGTCATGTGGAACTATTTGAGTCAAACAGTCAAGGAAACACAATTTTTGCTTTTAAAATATTTATTTACCAGTGTAGATTTCACTCTTTCCCACCCAAGGGCTTTCTTTCCTCGTATATGTGTCCGGGCTGTGTTTTATTAATTATGCATTGGCTGCGGTTGACTTAGGGGGAATTGGATCGGGTTGACCTCGGGCTGCTGTGTATAATTACTGGCTGATAATTAAAATGCAGGGCAGGACAATAATTGCGGTCTAATCGAGTTGCCATGCAATTTATTTATCAATTTTTATGCCACTTTAATTGAGAACTCTTCAAAGTGTTTAACAGCTAATTAAAATGAGGAAAAAATTGGCCTAAATCTCAACTGGGCTGGGAGTAGTAGGTCACCATAGAATCCTTTTTGTATTATCGATTTTCTCTGCCATTGATGAGGTTTCAATTATGCAGCCGCAAATGAAAATCAGCGCCCCGCTGAACACTCAAAGGCCAAATATTGTGTCAAGCGACCGCGGGCCACGTGGCGTATACGCAACGCAACTGAAAATTAGTTTTCCTCAGCTCCCAACCCCAAAACAGCCCACCTCTAACCTCTAACTAACGAGAAATGCCTATTTTAGGTGCTCCGTTCTGGTGCCTCTTCGATATTGTACCCATTAAGAACGAGAAGCGGGATGTGGTGCTCTTTTTGGCCTCCCACAAGGACATCACGCACACCAAGATGCTCGAGATGAATGTGAACGAGGAATGTGATAGCGGTAAGTATAATCCACACCCACTATTCGCCCCCGCCAAAAGTAAGCAACTGGAATAAATAACGCACTTGTTAAAATAACCAACCGCCGAAAACCCAAGCGTCCTCACAAAGCCACAGCTAACCCACTGACACATAAACCACTCGGCCCATTAATAATTTATTAACCAAGCACACTACCACTGACACTGATGCATTCCCTCTGATCGGTTGGTTCTCAGATGAATAAATATTCTAAAGCGCCAGAAGCCTGGTCTCTGTGGGTTTCTAAAATTTTATAAGATAAGTGTGAGCCCAATGTCTGCGGCTTTTTGGTCTATTACCCTTCAACTGAGACTTGAAGGTGTACTCAGTTGGAAGCAGGTCCTCAACTGTACGATACCCGATAATACCACTAAGTATATCAAATATAATAGTCGCTTCTTGTAAAAACCATTAAATATTACCAGGAAATCTTGTGTCCTTGAAACTCCTGTTGTGACACATTTTCTATTTAGTTTTGCGAAACTTTTGCGTCTTTAACGTGGTCGAAAGCAGTGCGAGTTTTTGGTTAGTTTTTCCAACTGGCCGTAAGAACGGTTTTCTGCTCGGTTGATGTGGTCTCTCCTTTGACTCCTTTGCTTTCGGTTGCCGGAATTTTTTCGCCAGCTCGTGTCCCTGACAACTGAATGTATGCTTGCCATATTTCAACCTTAATTTAAACCTCGTCTCTCAAGCGCAGTTTTCCTTCGTTCTGATTTGTGGCTATATTTCGGCAGAGTTCGGCCGGATGCGACGTATATTTTTTTGTTAATGGCCTTAAATGAATTCATAATGGTAATGATGGCAAATGCATCGTATTAAATATTTACAATGCCTTTCAACTCATCAGCTTTCAGTTAAACTTTTAAGAGCTTGTCCACGAGCCAGGAATTAATCTTTTATATTGGACCTGATGGTCCCAGGAGTTCAATCAACGCAGCTACCTTAATTAACCCCGTTTGTCTCGAATTTCTTTGTTTCGGTTTCTTTGTCAGGAGCAGTTCCACTCCTGTTGGTCTAAATAAAATATTCCTTCTTCTTTAGTCAGTGGATTAATCAGGGAATAAAGTTCGACAAGGCGGAGCACACGTGTGCTCCTCCCCAAGGAGGATAAGTCGCCTGAAATATTGATGCACCACTCGAACAATTCTGACAGGATCACAACTTATCCCGACTGGCATCCAAGTTGGTGTGCCCTTTGCGGGCTATTCTGCTAATGCAGAGGTAAAAAACGATTCTCCCGCGAACCCTGACCTTTTCATTTGCAGCTTTATTACCATCGTTATTCATCTGTCATTGCTGCGAACTTGGTTGATTTTGGTTTGCAGATTTACGGCCCATGCAAACGTGCTGAAGCCACTTGAAGTTTGTCCAAAGAACCAGAATCGTAAGAGGATTTGCTGCAGTGTCCTCCCAGGCTGTCTGGTCGATTGCAAAATTTCCTACCGCCTGTCCTGGTACCTGACACCGAAGGACCTACATTATTTAGTGCTGATGGCACGGTTTCAGCTCTGATGGGGCGTAAAATTTGTGAAAGGGAAATAGTTGAAATATTTTGTCTTAGTGGGGAAAGTGTAATGGTTGATTGTTGTTTGGTTGAGCTTCCCGCAAGTTCATCATACCCTTCTCACTAAATAAACTGCAGGTCATCGCAATTCACACGCTGACATATGTTTGCTGCATGTTGCAAACAGCCTTATGTTGCACTTTGAACACATGTCTGTCCTGCCCCACCTGCTGCCCATGGCACGCACATGTCACTATCATCATCATCGTCTAGTAATCGTGTTAGGTGAACACACATTCGCATGTCCGGTCGGCATTCGGTAATGAATTTCATTAAAGTGCCCATTGAGTGGCAGGCAAGTCGAGTCTATATATCAAATTAATCTATACATTTCAAGCAACTGTCAGGGCATGGCCGTGCAGGAAGGGATGCCAAAGCTGCGGCTGAGCTTGATTCAATTTTTCGTTAATTTATGCAAATGAAATTAAGTCCGAGGCAACCAACCTTGCCAAACACAATTTCCAGCTGGCATCAAGCTGCCTGGAAAATTTTGAGTGTCGATCCACATCAATGGGAAATTAATGCCGTGACAAAGGCCTCGAGGAGAGTGCCACAATTAGACGTGGAGATAAGGCGGGGGCTTAGGTTATGAGGAAAGGTAATTAGGCGAGGAATGCCCCGAAATTTGTAATAAAGCGAAGTTTGATGAGACGGATTTGAAATGAAATTATCGTCATCTTTGACAGTTATCGCATTGTGACAGTTATGTGATGATGGCCATCGTTTCACACATCATTAGGCCTGTCAGTGAATTCTTCAGCGATGTCCCCTCCATTTTCCGATGAGCATATTTTGTTAAAGTATTTGGCCCTTTTATCTGCCCATTTCCATTGCCCAGCAGTTTGGTATAAAAAACAGCTAAGAATGTTACTTTTCCCGGGAGTCGATTTTTTAATACTCTTAATTCTATATTTTAAGAATTATATACATATGTTAGCCAATTTGAAAAATATCCTTAAGCTATAATGATTTGTGGATATTTTCCCTATTATTCTGGCAGGTTCTCGAAAGTTTCCCAGATATTTATAACTAAATGGTATCAAGTGATAATTCTAATATAATTATAATAATTAATTCTTGAGCAAAATACCTAAAATCCCTATCATTCTGATCCAAAACCTGTAATTAAAATGTTTTATTATTGTTTCATTATTAATATTTCATATATATTTCTAATAAAACAACCTGGAATATTATACCTTTTGAAAGGGTATAAAAAAAAAGCATATTTGTATGCAACAAGCGTAAACTGAGATATTTTTTTAAATTTTCCCTGACCTTTTTTCATTTGTGCTTTTGTTTGTTGTTGGTTTCCTTGGACACGGCTACGGATCCGTGTGTCTGTGAGGTGGCGGCTGGGGCTTAATTGGCATTTTGATATGACCGTCCAGTCTGAACTTTTTGTGGTTTTTTGGTTCAGGGCTGACAACTATCAATGTTAAAAATGTTTTAGATCCAATTAGAAATGGATACAAGGATAAAACTTTAATTAAAATATTTGAAATAAAAAGTGTATAGATAAAGCCCTAAACAAATGTAAAAAGCTAGTCTGTCAGCCCTGGTTGGGTCTCAAAATTGAAATCATATTTTGATAAAGAAAAAAATTGTCATGCTAAAGAAAATAAAGGAAAATGAAATAAAAACAGGAAGAGAAAAATGATAAGAGTGAGAAAAATGGTCACACGACTCCTTTTGGCTTATTTGCATAATTTTGTGAGCCTGTGAGCCTTTTTCCTTATAATTAGTCTACGCTGCGATGGGAAACGTATCAAGTTCATTATACCCTTGCAGAGGGTATTATAATTTTGGTCAAAAGTGTGCAACGCAGTGAAGGAGACATCTCCGACCCTATAAAGTATATATATTCTTGATCAGGATCACCTCCTGAGTTGATATGAGCATGTCCGTCTGTCCGTCTGTCCGTCTGTCCGTCTGTCCGTCTGTCTGTCCGTCTGTCTGTTTCTACGCGAACTAGTCTCTCAGTTTTAAAGCTATCGTCTTGAAACTTTGCACACACCCTTCTTTCCTTTGCACGCAGTATATAAGTCGGAACGGCCCGGATCGGCCGACTATATCCTATAGCTGCCATATAACTGATTGATCGGAAATGGTATAACTTTGGTGTTTTTAGAGTTAGAGAGTTCAAATTTGACATGTGAGCTATTTTTGGCAAAACATTACGTCATGCCAAATTTCATAAGGATCGGCCGACTATATCCTATAGCTGCCATATAACTGAATGATCGGAAATGACCCAACTTTCGTGTTTTTGAAGATAGAAAGCTGGAACTTAGTACAGATTTAATTCTTGGTCAGTTGATCCAACCTACCAAATTTCATTAGGATCGGCCGACTATATCCCATAGCTGCCATATAACTGAACGATCGGAAATGGTATTTGGTAGAAATATCAACTTTCGTATTTTTGAAGATAGAAGTTTGGGACTTTTTTTAGATTTTGTATTGTAATAAATTGGATTATATATTCCTATTCCCATAAGGATCGGCCAACTATATCCGATGTTTGCGATATATATCCGGTTTTAACTGCAAGGGTATATAAACTTCGGCTCCGCCCGAAGTTAGCTTTCCTTTCTTGTTTTTGGGTTCATTTTTTACAATCTAGCTAATTGTTATTTATAGCACGACGCTCCTTTCGAGGCATCAGCCACAAATAGAATTAAGTTCGGTTTAATGGGCTTTCTGTGGTGGCATTTAAGCGTTTCAGTGTTTACCTGCCCGACATAGTCCATTCTATTGGCCATTCCTTATCGGGCTTTGTTTGCTTATGGCTATGAAATATGATGTTTACTCGGCTGATTTGTATTGGTTGACCCGGGTGGCCAAATATTTGCCGGCCATCGATGTCGGCTGGTGTTATTAATTGTTCTGGCAAGACATCGATAGCACACAGCTCTCAGTGTAGGCCATATCAACAGGCAACAAGTTGGCCCAAAAGTTGAGCCGAAATCTCGCCCTCATCCGACCAAAGTTTGCCAAATAAAAGTCAGCAAAAAAGAACACCTCAAATTTAAAAGCCAACGCCAGTCGTCCTGCTTCCCCAAAAACTAAGCTCTTCAAATAAAACTCAGCAAAAATAATAAAAGCATTTAAGGACGGAAAGCTTTATATCTAACTTTTCAGGATGTTGCCCAGGGCAGAGATTGGGCAGGGGATCAAATCAGAGTGAGTGACACTGACACAGAAACAGAAACACAGAACACTCGACACATGCACGAATACCTGCTACATTGTGACGCTTTAAAATAAATGTTAAACGCAAAAATCTGTGCCCATGTCCCACTTTAAATAAGAAAACTTTTGAAATAAATAAATAAACCTTGAATTTAATCATGAAATTTAATTCACAATGTCTTATGTGTACAATTCTATGTGTTCTTTCTCTTTGTGCTCTTTCTACTCTAACACACCGATCCGGTAAATCATTGTAATTACGAACCCAAAAAAATCCACCCACGAACCACTCGTATCAAAAAAATGTTCCATCCTCCCATATCCTTAATTTCCTGCGTCCTACGAAACGTGCTGATTGCCGTGATTTTGTTTGCGCTTTTTTTTGTTGCGACTCTGTAAGTTTTTGCCCTTACAGCTGCACTGCTGGGCGCGCGGTTCCGGGCCGGCTCGAATGCCGGAATGCTGGGCCTGGGCGGACTGCCCGGATTGGGCGGTCCTGCCGCTACCGACGGCGACGCGGAGGCGGGCGAGGGCAACAATCTGGACGTACCTGCCGGCTGCAACATGGGTCGCCGGCGCAGTCGTGCGGTCCTCTACCAGCTCTCCGGGCACTACAAGCCGGAGAAGGGCGGCGTCAAGACCAAATTGAAGCTGGGAAATGTGAGTATGAGATCCTGGGGAAGTTGGCAGCCACAGTAACCACAACAATTGTGTGTTGCCACGTCAAATTAAATTACAACTTTGTCTTGCTTACTCTTAAAGTGTTTTGAGGTTTTTTTGTAACAAAATTAAAGTGAAACAGCAAGACTTTATTCTTTTTTTAAATAAAGTAAGGTAGGGTTTAAATTTTATCTTTTGCTTAAATATTTTTTTGTGAGTATTTCGGTTCTTCAATTAAAATACTGTTGGTTACTAAACTCTCTAAATGTTCAATTGATTTAATTCACTTTTCATGTTTCTACCGGATTTGATTTAATCTCCATTCTACCCATTTCCGGTGCTCTATTCCGCAGAACTTTATGCATTCGACGGAGGCGCCATTTCCCGAGTACAAAACCCAGTCGATAAAAAAGTCACGCCTGATTCTGCCCCACTACGGCGTGTTCAAGGGCATCTGGGACTGGGTGATTCTGGTGGCCACCTTCTACGTGGCACTGATGGTGCCCTACAATGCAGCCTTTGCGAAGGCCGATCGCCAGACGATGGTCTCCGATGTGATTGTGGAGGCGCTCTTCATAGTGGGTGAGTATTGTATATATGGTGGTAGTGGGTTAGGCCCCCACACCTGTCCCACCAATCGGACAGCAATTGGTGTCCCCTTTTATGGGCCACCTGTTGAGCACAATCATCGTCGGCAAAGGTGGGCGGTAGAGACCGAGGGTGGAATTGAATTTGTCTCGTTGCGGGCATTGTAAACATTGTTTCATCGTTTACCCTTATTGTCATTTTATTGCAGATATTCTGCTGAACTTCCGCACCACTTTTGTGTCCCGCAAGGGCGAGGTTGTCTCCAATTCGAAGCAGATTGCCATCAATTACTTTCGTGGCTGGTTTGCCCTGGACCTGCTGGCCGCCCTGCCATTTGATCACCTGTACGCCTCCGATTTGTACGACGGCGAGGTAAGTAATCGCTATTCCCCCGGTATCCAAATATCTAGCCATCCATTCGATACAATCGACGACGATTGCATAAATTTTCCTCAGCATCCTTTGAATTATTAATGCCAGATTTGCATTCCGTTCTCTGGTTTCCTGCCACATCCCTGCTAGGGAAAGAACTCGGATGAAAGCTAGGATGATGTATTACCTTTACCTTTCCATAGTCTCCATTAATGCCTCACTATTCCAGTTGGACGATGTAAAATTCCCAGCAAATTGTTTCCTAAATTTGTGAAATCCTTTGCGGTTGGCCTACTATTTGGCCCTCAAAGTTATCTGCCTGCCCCGGGGACACTTACATCAATCATTTATGCCCCGAAATTTCAAGTGGTAAATGGCCTTTAAGGATTTGCATAAAACTGTTTCTGGTCGCATGCATAATGCATGTTTAATGTTTACAATTTTGCACTCCGACCGCTTATCCTGATTATAAATAAACAGGAGTGAGTGGGTGGCATTTATACCATTTGGATTTAATCATGCTAGTCCCATGATTTTCCTTTTGCTGTTTAAACTATAAATACAGAGAAAGGTATGTATAATTTACTATTTAACCGGTTGCCGCTGGCAAAAAAAGCCAACTCGGCACTTGACCATTTTAGAGGGCAGTTGACGCTCATTAAGCTGATTACATTGGCCAAGAGCAGCTCTGGCTGAGTGTTCCGGCTGGTCCGCATTTTAATTACAAGCCAAGTAGGCAGGCGCCGGCAAGGCTGTGACCCAAATGTGCACCATAAGCAGCAAAAATAAAATATTTTTAAATCTCAAAAAATAATACAAAAAGTATGTATGTCATCTAGCTGGAAAAAAAACTTGCAGCAGTTTAAGGCTTTGAGTGCAATTATGATGACATTCGCCACTGTCCGTCCGCCTGGGCTGGGCGAAGTTGCCAAACCCTCGAGCGGTTGTCGGAGGACAATGGCGCAGTTCTTGAGTCTGGCTTACGTTATTTTGCTTTCACTTGGCTTGGCTCCTGCCGGATCTCCTTGATTCCTTCCTCCTAAGTTGGCTCAAGACCATCTCCTCCTGTGAAGTGGTCAGTCCTGTGATTGCTCCAAGTGGGGAATGCTGTTGTCGCCTTCAAAAGCAGTCCAAGGATAACCAGCGGGTGGTGGACAGGACACCCCATCAATTGCCATTACAGAGAGACTTTATTAAATTAGAATTTCTTGTTTGAAAATACCGAGTAATTTAGAGGAAGAGTTTCCATTGTGGGAAGTGTAGTTTATTATCTATCGTCTTAAATTATAATTTGTCTTATATATCATTCGAATACTTTATTGATTTTTTTCCTGTCCTGTGATGATTCTGCGGTTTCCTTGCTGGCTGCCTTCGACTTCCGTTGAATACACTGATCAAATAAAAGAAGCTTTCAGCCCTGACCTTCCCCCCGCACTGACTTTACTTACTTTCACTTCCGCTCGAAGAAATGTAGCAACCGGCGAAACAAGGATAAAGTTTTGGGCCAAATCAGAGGCGTGTGCTAAGCTGCTGACACAAAAAGTTTCGATAAAACTTTAATGTTCTCTAATTGTAAAAATTTGTGACACTCCCAGACTCTGCATGGTCCACCATAAAGTTGGCCAAAAGTCATTTATGAATGTATTTTTTGGGGAGCTCTTAACTTTTACATTTTTATATACTTTGGTATTTATTTTGTTCTTTGCTCCGTTTTGCATACAATTTGAGCTAATGCACTTGAAACTTTTGCATATTTAGTTTATTTCAAAGTTTTAATTATCTTTGAGACCCCAAAAAGGCAGTCGTCGCCAGTCACTGGGAAAAAAGGCGAAAGAATCGCCGCATGGATGGATGTGGCATGGGAAGAGCTCCGGCTGCGTGACAGTTGAGTTTTTGCCGAGTCGAGCCGTGCTGATGATGTTGCTCACAAAGTGAAAAGTAAACAAAGGAGGCATGAGGCAGCGCGAAACTTTAGCCAAGAAAGAGCCAGTGCTTAGCGGGGGGCGAGTGCTGTGCGGCAGAAAAACTGCCAGGGTGGCAGACTAAGAAAGAAAGTGAAAGCGCAGCACAAATTGCAACATGAATTACAATCGGCCTTCATGTTGTTCTTTCGCTTGGATTTCCCTCCAAAATCAAGTACAGTGCGTATGAGTAATATTTTTGGTTACGGTGCGTATGAGTAATATTTTAAAGGACCAAACCTTTATATAAGAATCATTGCTTTGTTGTAAAATGGTGGACAGTTTAATTATGATTTACTATGGAAAACGACTTTTCAAGCCCACTGTGTGTGCAAAAGTGCGTGAAAGCTGCAAATGAAAGCCGCAGTAGTTTGCCTTCAATATTCTCCGACTAAATGCCCAAACTAAACTGTTTGTAAGTCGTTCCCACCTCAATTTCCACATCCCTTGTTATCCTTTCACCAAAGTTTCTCCTTCACACTGCTCAGTTTATAGAATTCCCAGAAATCCCAAGGAGAATAGAGAAGCTGCAGAACGCATATAATGGCCACCATTACTTTAAGGCCATTTTAAAGATGGCGCTTCGTCAGCACGGCAATCACGAAAAAGAAATAAAAATTACCATCTTAGGTTAAACGACGGCATTAGCCTTCAATTTACTCAAGTTCTTGGGCCGGGTCAGGCCCTCCGATAAGCTTGTTTATGTTTGCATTAGACTTTTGCCCCCCGCCCCTACTTGAACTCCGCCACTTCATCTTTTATTTTTTGATGACATCCTTTCTTGTGATTTTGTCCCTTTTTTTAGGAGAACCGCCATCCGGGCTTCGGGAAGTTGTCAATTTTGTGATCTTTTTAGTGGACCCTTTCCCAGGTCAAATGCAAATAACGGAAAAAAATGTTGGTTCCCTTAAATGGCAACAAAAAGTAAAAATTTCAATGCCCTGGAAAGTAGGCAACAAAAAAAGTTGAAAGGAAATGGTATGGGGAAATCGGAAACCAAAACAGGACCAAACTATTGGACGGTGTGTAACGCCAAAGGGACAGGGGCAGGACAGTTTTTTGCATTCTGTCATTGTTGGTTTACATTTTAACAACCTTGAAGTGGGCGTCCACCCACGAAACACATTCATCGCTTGGCTTCATTTTTTCGTCACTCTCAGATTTTATGCTGATCCATTTTTTTTGCGAATGTTTTTCCACAGGAGTCACACATCCATCTTGTAAAATTGACGCGTCTGTTGCGGCTCGCTCGACTGTTGCAAAAAATTGATCGATATTCGCAGCACACGGCCATGATACTGACATTGCTGATGTTCTCCTTCACGCTGGCCGCTCATTGGTTGGCCTGCATCTGGTATGTGATAGCGGTCAAGGAGTACGAGTGGTTCCCCGAGAGCAACATTGGTGAGTATGTACTAAAGGTGCTGGGCCTGGGCCAGGCGTATACAGGTGTGGACAAGTTGGTAGTACAAGAATAGGTGCCATAAGATAGATAAGTCACGCAAGTAATTAGTGTTTCAATATATAAGTTCACCTTAATAATCTTCGAGCCTGCATCGCTTAACCTTCCACTAATTTTGGCTAAAATCCTTCAACAAAATTGGAAGACTACTGTTTCACCCACAACTGTTACCGTGTGTGCCTGTAAGCTCCTCGCATATGTGTATGTTTCGGTAATTTGGTTAGTTGGCTAGTCAGCAGTGAAAGAAGGGCAGGAATCTGTTGCCTTCCCCATCGTCGAACGCTAACTAAATTTTCCCATCTCCCTCGGGTCGTACAGGTGCAGGTGTCTACCCGATCCACCAAACCAACAACAACCCATCCCCGCCACAAGCACCACACCATCATGCTCTACCCGTGTGGTTAATGTAGACTGTTAGTCGAGAGTTTAAAGTTTTGGTTACGGATTAGCACACATGGCACATCAAATCGAATTAGATCATCAGTGGCATATATTGTGTGAGCCGAAAGGAAGGAAAAAAGTTTCCATTATGATATTTTCTGGCACTTAATCAGTGGGTGGAATATCCTCTCATGGGACGCCAACGGAAAATTGCCAGTTACCAAGCATGACAGACACGAAAAGTTCCGTTTGACGTTTCCGGCCCGGGCCAGAAACGGTTTCTGCCGGATTTGGCACGAACTTTGAACTGACAGACTGACAAACTGGAGCAACTCAACCGACTGCCTCGGGTCAGAAAGTTAGACACGGCCTGGCCCGGCCCGGCCCGGTCATTGTCAATTTGATAAGCCCAATTTGTTTGGCCCGCAAATTGTAATTAAACGCCGTACTAAACAAGTTTTCTTCTTCGTTTCTCTGTTTTCTTTTCTTGTATTAAATGCCTCAAGTATTCTTCACAGGTTGGCTGCAGCTTCTGGCGGAGAGAAAGAATGCCTCCGTGGCCATTTTGACCACGGCGGAAACGTACTCCACGGCCCTGTACTTCACCTTCACCAGCTTGACTTCGGTGGGATTCGGCAATGTTTCGGCGAATACAACGGCCGAAAAAGTCTTCACCATCATCATGATGCTTATTGGCGGTGGGTACTCCTAAAATATTAATGTAAACTGCTGGCTCCTCAACCACAAGCAACAAATTTCCATTACCGAAATTGTCAAACATTTCGGGGCTCCAGAAAGGTCCAAAGGTTGTCACAAATATTGGGGATAATTTGTGGGTACACTTGGAAACTTTTCATCTTAACATTAATTGTAATTAAAATGAAGTTTAAGTTTGGTAATCAAACTCTCAAGACCGCAATCTAAAAATCCATATCGAAAAAAGGTATTATGGAGAAAAACCATTACGTTTTTGGGGGAATGACTGTTATTAGCCTCTTGGATAGTCATTGCCAGATTTAATGATGTATCCCCTTCTATCCGTTTCATTTCATAGCCCTGATGCATGCCGTGGTCTTCGGTAACGTGACTGCCATCATCCAAAGGATGTACTCCCGACGTTCGCTCTACGAGAGCAAATGGCGCGACCTAAAGGACTTTGTGGCCCTGCACAATGTGAGTACAATGAGTAATGCCACGGCACAGGGGGTATATCCGGATTGGCAGCGACCGCACGAGCTTAGGAAAATAGATGAAGCCCTTGGCAAAAAAAAAGGCACCCCGCAGGAGTGCCACTCGATGGATTTTATTAGAATGCACTGCACATTTTCCATATGCCACGGAACGCTGGGCAGAAAATGGAAATGTAGGAATCCTGTAGGGTGACCCAAGGCCATGAATTGCTGATTCGAGCATATCGGAACTGAAAGCTTGTTTCCAACCTGAAACCTGTTGATGTAGCAATGTGGCAAGTGCAATGTGGGGGCAAACTTGAACGTCGCTCCATTAGGCAGCACACGCGTCGTATACGCAATGCGCTGCACAATTAAGCGCATTTGTGCGGCTCTCAACCGCGAAATGCATGCAAATGAAGTGAAAAGTAGCGCGCATTGCAGCTCATTAAACGTTAAGACGCGAAAGAGGACGCTTTCTCGAAATTGCTAGAAAATGCAATTATAATTTATTATCTCTTCATTACAGATGCCAAAGGAACTGAAGCAGCGCATCGAGGACTACTTCCAGACATCCTGGTCGCTCAGTCACGGCATTGACATATATGAGGTAAGCCTGAAGTATCCTTTTTCCTCAGGACACATCAATGCCATTACGCTTGTGCGAGTGCGTGTCATAAATCATGTAAGACCATCATCACTGGAGAAAAACAAAAGGCATTATTTATTAACAAAACTGATCAAAGTCGAGAGGCGAAACATGTCTTGTGGTTTGGTTTAACTTATATAAAATTCAATTAGGTATCAGAAATCTCTGATATTTATTTCTTACAGTGCATGTTTTTGGCCAAAAGAATATACCAAATATATATATTCCCAAAGTTGCCAATGCAGCAGTCTATCACTGACTTCGACTTGACTGACTTCGCTCAAACTTCTGTTCCAGAACTGCCACCGGCCTGTGCTTTCCGATCAATGTCTGAGCCTTTAATTAAGCAAATGTCCCTGGGGTTAACACAGAGGAGTCGTTATGGACATGTGACTTATTGATTGGCTGCGGGTAAAATGCCAAATGTCTGGCCCTCCTTTGATTGGTCATCCATGCCGTCCAGGTATTTTGGCCTTGTTGCCATTCCAGCCACCAGGATAAAAGTTATAATGAATATATTGAAATTGTATGGCAGAGAGAAGGAAAGGTCTGGCGGGGTTTCCTGTGGCTCTCCATTGTTTTTGTGCTCATGTGTGGCCCTCGGGCAGAATCTACATTTTAATTAAAAATTTTTACAATTACATTAACTCGAGTAGAAAGGAAGAGACAAGCCCTTGGTATTCCTTATCTTCTGGGTAGAAACTGTCACAACCATTATATCCTTATGTTGTTTTACTGTCTTTTTGCAAGTGCTTCCTGCAGATCGTAACTGGAGCTCCTTTTGTTTTGGCTCATGTTGCTTCTGTTTATTTTTAACACCCGACCGCTTTTGAAACTACAGAAAATGCCAGCTTATGGGAAAACTTTATCGTTGTTGGCTGTTGTTGCAGGTTCATGGAAATTGCTGATTTGCTGGTCGAGAGAAATCAATCATCGACCCAGCTTTTGCAGTTTCGAACTCTACCACTTTCGGGGGGAGAAAGTTTGTTTTCTCTCAAACTTTTCCCAGCACAATAAAATGGCCAACTGCATGCTGGGAAAGTGCAGCGCATTCACCAGCTAATTGCTATTAACGGAGAGCAATGTCAAACAACTTTTCCCCTCGCTCTACGGTGTTAATTAAAACCTCTTTAAATAAAACTACTTTTATCTGTGGCATTTGCTTCGGTGCTACCTGGTTTGGCTTTCCCCATGATGATGTGGCTTTTGGCTTTCTGATGCCTTGAACTTAATATTTGAATCCTTAAGATACCAATTTTTACTTCACCCTTTTTTTAGGAATATTTGAACACGTAGGCTAATTAACGAACTCCCTATTCTTCAAATCTTACACACTTGAACTTCCTCATTATCCTTTTGACTTGTAATTAATTCGCGTTTTAGCCATCACCGCCTCCGTCTTTGAAGTCGCTGTCAGTATACAAGACCCACTGTCAGTCTGGAAAATGTGGAATTAAATACCTCGTCTAAGCTGGCATTTAGAATTTAAGCCGCAATTAAAACAAATTTTCGCTTCTCGTTTAAGTAAGCCCATGCTGTAAAAAAAAAACCATGCTAAGGGTTTCCCCATGAAATGATGCGATTTCTAAACTTCTGATTTTAGCCTGATTCTGATAGCCATTCGATGTGACAATTTCTATCGGGTAATAGAGTACCATTTTGTGATGCTTTTTATTAATTTCTTTCCCTTATTTTACCGTCATTCCTTATACAAAACATTGCTTAAATATCGTTTTTAAATTTTTGGAATTTTTTCTAAGGGTTACCCTTGTAAAATATCTCTAAAGTCTCTTGTTTTCACTCTAGTTCAAAGAGGAATAGAGCATCTATACATATATATCAACTAATATTTCTCAAAAATCGTTTTTAAATTTTTAATTGCGGTCCGCACATGAATTTCGACATTGCCCGAGTGGAATTTAATTCAATTGTTGGGGGACATGAAATATAGTCACTTTCCAAAGCGCACACGACCTGTCGATTCCGCACAAATTATGGTGTTCATGAGGGAGGAAGGCAGAGTGTGGTATGGGGCCCAGGCACTAAATTAAATTGTTAATTTATTGCGCATGGAAATTAACTGGCAAAATTTCGGTGCCGAGTAGTCATTCTCCAAACTAAAAGCGAAACGATGTTGGCCCGCCACGCGCAAAATTCAGTTGAACAAGTTGGCCAAAAACCATCCACTTTTTGCGTTGGCTTTTGGCCAGTGTGTGTGCGCAATTAATGTAAAATATTTTACACTTCTTTGCACCCAACAGAAAAAAAAAGTGACAGAAAGTAAAACATAAATAACAATTCTTTGGAAATTGCCCTTTAGGGAGTAAAGGAAAAGCTGACAATAAAACCAACAAAGCCCAAAACAAAATCCTGGCAAAACTTCCAACATATTTTCCATGTTTAGTTCCGCTTGGTTAGCTAAAGTTGCCACACCTCCCTCCAGCACTAAGCCCAAATAAATATTTGTATATATATTTACATATATATACAGTCTCATAGAGTGGTCTAAAATGAAATTGAAAATAGCTGACATCTATGTTGGCCGAAATATTTGCACTTTATGTCGGCATTCGTTGTGAATTTTTAATTAAGGCTTGGCCAGCTTGATTTTGCGAAATTGATTTAGTTGCTTTTGGCCTAAATTAATGTGCAAACTTGAACATGTTTCAACTATTTACACAATTAAGTGGAATTTGATTTATTTCTACTATAATTTAATCGAGCGCGTATAAAGCCATATTCCACATCATTTGTGGCTCTGTTTTTGGCAAACAAATTACGCGGATTTCGTGTCTATGAATAAAATTCCAGAATAATCAGCTTTGGTAACCAGGGAAATACATGTGGGCAAATACAGAGACAAAAGTCAGAAGAACACCCAGGGAAAAGAAAAAAGGTGAACCTGGAAAATTGTAAACAAGTAAAATGCAAATTCCCCTCAATTTTTACGTTAATCCCGGAACACCGACAATTCCCATCCAATACACTTGAAATGAGTCAAAAAAAGGAGTCACCATGTAAGGGAAAAGTACAAATTCCCTTGAAAAAGGTCAGGAAGGCTTAGATAAGGTCTTAATTTTAATAAAAATATATAATCCAGTAGATAAAAATGGAAAAAGATTGAGATTTAGTTTATTTTTGTATACCATTTTTGGTATAAAAACTTGAATGGTATTCAAAACAGGATTTCCCTTATTGTTGTAGAGTATCCCCTTGTTGGTCGTCTATCTTCTGTCTTTCCTGCCATCTTGTATTACATATTGCAGATGAATAACAAGCAACACCAGATAAGCTCAAACATTTCCCTGGTGCCGGAGTAAAATAATGCCGAGTATTTCCCACACAATTTTCATACGATTCAATTTTCACGTGTGTCTGTGAGTGCGTGTGCCTGAGTGCGTGGATGGTGCTTATATTTTTCTCCTCCTCTTTCATCTTTCACTAACCTTCTCCATTGACTTTTCTTCCATTTTCAGACGCTACGCGAATTTCCCGAGGAGCTTCGTGGCGACGTTTCCATGCATCTACATCGTGAAATATTACAGCTGCCGATATTTGAGGCGGCCTCACAGGTGAGTTGGGGAATACACTGAGAGAAAGTAGGTTTAAAATAAGGGATGCATATTTCTGTTAATAAATTCAAGATATAAATTAGTGAGAGATGCTTTTTTAAGCTCTTTTGGGAGGGTCCGGTCCGGAGTAGGGATAAAAAATATGTTTTGTTTTCATACGTATGTATTCATGCCTACCTATTCATTGTAATTTCAGGGTTTTAAAACCTTTTTTTTTAATTTTTGTTAAAATAGTTTTTTTAATTTATAAAATATATACTACTATATTTTCTCTGCTTAACCCCGTGAATGCTCTTTTCTCGGGGTTGAAGTATATGGCCGTTTTGAAAGCGATTCAGCTTCAGACAAATGGAACGAAATGGCTGCGATGGCAAAATAATCAGCAGCCATGGGACAGGGAATTGCCAGGATACGGGGACGGAGGCAACAGGTTATAGGGTGGAGGGGGGAGGGATAAAAGAGGGTAGAAACAGGTGAAACCGGGCTAAGAAGGCCATGCGAGCAGTCAAAAGTTAACTGCGGGCTTAACTGAAACGCTTTTGGGCTTGGTTCGTTCCGTTCTTTGTCACTCCCAGGCACAAAGACACACTCATACAGCCACAAACAAATAGGTACACACATACATGCGCAAATAGAGCATCTTATGGTCAGAGACATGGGTGCAGCATACTTCTTATGGCAAGAGGGTTAAAAAATAAAATACATATTTTATTGAAGTATTCAAATGTTAAAATGTAAGAAAAATAAAATAGAAGAATTTAAATTTTTTGAAATTTAAGAAACCAATCAGGACATACGCCCATGCCAACAGGTAAAGTTTCCAGGCCATCACATAGAGGCTTGTACTTCGGCTTTGCCTTGTGGGCCAAGTTCCTTTCGTTTGACTGAAGCGAAGCATGAAAAAGGTTTTTGGCCAAAAGCATGCTTCTACGCAAAAATCCCCGAGTGCAGCAACAAAGTTGCTGGTTGGGTGTGCGTGTGTGGTCGAGTAGTTTTCGATGCCCAATGTCAATACCCTTGTCAACCGCCAAAAGCTTTAATGGGTGCCCACTGTTTGGTGTGAGTGTCCTTGTTCTGGCCGTTTGAAATCATTTGGGTAAAAGCGGGCTCGGCTTAAGCGCTGAGATTCTGAAGTAATTGATTTCTCATCTACGGATCAACAGCTACCGAGTTCAGAAAAGCAAACGAGTTCTCTGACCCATCGCAGTACTAAACGAAACAGTTGCCCATGAGTTTAGATTGAATTTTATCTGATGGATGGCTTAGATTTGCAAAGAATTTAAAAGGCATTTTTAGAAACCAAATTGATTGAATTGATTGAAAAAATCAAAAGGCTTATTCATGTCTCGAAAACGGAAAGGAGAAAGTATCAAAGATGAAAGCATTTTTGTCTCGATTCTTTAAAAGCGTAAAACAAAAGAATTTCAATAAATTTTCTAGCCTTTTAAAAAACAATAATGCCAATGCGATAGCAGTTAAATTTGCTAAAAGGATTAGGGCCAAGTGAAAAGGTTGGTAAACCCGTGACACGGCCACAAAATGAAATGCAACTCAAGCTAAGTTGGTAAGCAAACAAAACGAAGTTAGAATTGAACGACTGAATGACCGAACAAAATGGCCAGAACAAAAATAAAGGAGAAAAAAAAGAAAAAAACTGATGCCGAATGACAAAGGCGGACTGCAAACATTAATAAAGCTTATTCAGAAAGGCAAAGTAACGCAAACAAAAACCACTCAACAGTTATAAGCGCGCTTTAAGCCACTTTTCGTGGCCGAGTGCGTGGGGGCTCGAATAAAGGAGGCTAGCAGCGAAGGGGGTTGGCAACCGCAGGACACATTCCAGGGCAAGGACACACAGCTGTTGCCCGTTGTGTTTCATTTGGCAAATAATAAAATGCGGCGACCCTAACCGCCCCATTCTAATGCTAAATGCTGTCGACCGACTAGAACAATTCCTGACTAAACCAGAATCGCATTTATTTGAATCCCGAATTGTGTTTATTTTGTTGCAGGGCTGCCTAAAACTTTTGTCGCTGCACATAAAGACGAATTTCTGTGCACCCGGCGAGTATCTGATCCACAAAGGCGATGCTCTCAACTATATCTACTATCTGTGCAATGGTTCCATGGAGGTGATCAAGGACGATATGGTGGTGGCCATTTTGGGTAAGTATTGCTAAAAATATTGAAACAAAATGGAAAGCTTCTGTAGGCTGCCTTTTTCCTCAAGCCTAGATGGCTTTTTAAATTCTTGTTGATTTTCCATTATCGATTGTTTAAATGTCAAAATTTGCACTTTCTGTTTATGTTTTGGCCAAGAACGTTTATTGAACTCTTGTCAGTTCATTCGCTTTTTACAGTTCGCCTGACTGAATTCCATTTACACTTCAGCCATGGCTGACAGTACGGCTGTAATCTGCTTGTTTATTCATTCATGGCAGGCAGCGTCATCATCAACTTAAGCATCGACATCAAGTTTGTCTAGGAGTAGCAGCACAAAGTACTATAGTAGCAGCAGCAGTAGACCCTATTAGTCAGCCCACTTTCACACAGCTCCTCCAGCACTGTCGTCCAGACAAATTCCGAGCTCTATTTTTATGCTCATTGATTCAGCTTAGTTCCCACGCCGCTGACCTTTTCCCCGGTTTCTTCTTTCTTTTTATTGTTTCCCCCTTTTTGTATATCCCACAGGTAAGGGAGACCTCGTGGGCTCCGACATCAATGTGCACCTGGTGGCCACTAGCAACGGCCAAATGACCGCCACCACCAACAGCGCTGGCCAGGATGTTGTCGTTCGCAGCAGCAGCGACATCAAGGTACGTACGCAGGGACACGGCTCCATTCAAAGGTCCTGACTGGGATGGGGGAGGTGGATGATGATGTGCAGTAATTAAATAGAATTTATTTTTATACCAGCCACTGGCTGGGTGCTCAAGGGTGAACGTGAATGGAATGCATTCAGATCATAGTGGTGCGACTCGATTGTGAAATGCGGACTTCCATTGAGATGTATTTAAATATTTGAGAACATGAAAATGTCATTTGCAGCACAAAGGTGACTGACAGGCAGGAAATTTAATTATATTTACGGAAGGTAGAATTTTAGTTCTCCTAGTTAAAGGGAAATATTTTCTTTTATTTATTTTAGTTATTATAGTTATTACTGAATTGTCAGTTACTTGGTAAAGAGTAGTTGCTATTTATAGGTAATAATCCTCTTGGGGATTTGTTTTTGACTTATTTTTCTTCTTTATATTACTTTTAAGCTTTTCTTTGTAAGACATGCGTTAAATCCTTTAGAAAGAAATACAAAATAATCTTTTTGTTTACTAAAGAAACCTTTTAAATACGATTTTACCTGAAATTTAACCAATAGCAGTGCCAGCACTATTTCCTCAGCTCTCCTTGGTTGAAAGCCCCCATTTAAATTGCTCAATTGCCTCTTAATCCAGCAAATGGAGATGAAATGTGAGACCGTGGAAGGTCCTTGTGCTGTTTGTTAGTTCCCTGCACTTTAATTATGTATGTTTTTTTTTTGTTAAAGTCCGAGGCTCTTTTAAGCTTTGGGTAACTGCAATTTCATCCTACGGGTGTCGTTAACTTTTTTGGGTTTTCGAGATGAGTGAACAGCAGTTGAAAACTCGCCTGGAATTCCTTTCTTTTCTTTTTTCTCGGGGAGCACAAAGTCAATGGAGCTTGAATGTCTGAGGGGTTTTGTATCTCCCGTCTACGATTACTCATTTACTCTTACTAATTATGGCAATAATCTCGCGGTGGCTCAGGTTTCGAAAGCTTCACGCCTAATTAATTGCCGTAAACTCCTGGAAAACGGGTGGTAATAATTAAGCTAAGAATTTCAAATTTGATTGTCGCTTAATTAGTTGAGGAATGTGCCTAATTTATGCATAGTTTGCTCCCTTGGCTAAAATAAAGATAGGCAGCACGCAATGCTTGTGTTTGTGATCCGCCATTGTCTTGCTGTTTTGGCCCATGTTTATGTTTGTCTTTACCTTTCTTGCTTTTATCTCGTGTTTATTTGCATGTCTGTCTTGGCGGAATAAAGTGCAGACATTGCGAACAGCTGCCTCCGCGCTACGCCTCCTTGGAGGCGCCACTTTGCGATGGCAACTCGAGGCAAACAACACGGCGAACGGGTCGTATGAGTGATACTTAAGCGTACCTCACACTTCCGCTGAAAGCTGTTGAGTCCATGTGTATGTGTGTGTTGTTTGCAGTGGTGTAGGTGTGGGTGTGAGTGTAAGAGGGAGAGTGTATAAACGCAAAGATGGCGCACTCGAGCCGGCGGCCGGCGTCTTAATGAAAAGATAGTCGACCGAAGGGTGCTCTAAAAAATACATTTAAAATTTAAGAAGGGATTCATGGTACTGGAAATATATAATATAAACATCAACAGCATTCGATTTACTCTTTACCCATTTAGGCAATTGGTTTTAAAACTTTTGTTTCAGTATCAAAAAGGATTTATTTAATTTCCTGCAAAGCTTTCAGGTTTTTTCTGTAGTTTTACACAATTGTTGGAAAATGAAAACATTTTAATGGATAAAGTCTATTAGTGTTTTTTGCTTTTTGCAATGCTCTTAAAGTTTAAAGTTTAAAGGGTTTTTGATTTCATGGACCTGAATATTCTACAAGAACTTCCCTTCTTTTATTTCTGTTCAAATACGAATATTCCTGGAAATACTCATATTTCATCTCAAACCCAATAACTCTAAGCTACCCTCACTGGCTTACACGCTGTTAAAGGCATTTCTATCTTGTTTGTGGAAGTAAACAGAAAATGCCACGCCCCCTCCTCCCCACAACCGGAGTGCATAATCGTTTAAGGCCAAAACGGCTCTTGACGCACCCAACGGGCCATGTTTTTTCTTTTTCATCTCACTTACATACATATATTTTCATAAATTTATTTTTATTTTCCAGGCGCTCACCTACTGCGATCTGAAGTGCATCCACATGGGCGGTCTGGTGGAGGTGCTGCGTCTTTATCCGGAGTACCAGCAACAGTTCGCCAACGACATCCAGCACGATCTGACCTTCAACCTGAGGGAGGGCTATGAGAACCAGGACTCCGACATCGGTCCCTCGTTTCCTTTGCCCAGCATCAGTGAGGATGATGAGAACCGCGAGGATGCAGACGACAATGCCAAAAACGATAAGGATAATGGTGGGGGACCAGCCCCTGGAGCCTCGCCTTTGCACAACTTGAGCAATTCCCCGCTGCATGCCACTCGGTCTCCTCTTCTGGGCATGGGGAGCCCGAGGAATCAGCGGTTGCACCAGAGAGGACGATCCCTAATAACCCTGCGGGAGACGAATAAGCGACACAGGACACCGCTTAATGCAGCCTGCAGCCTGGATCGCGGTTCCTTTGAGGAGCCAGAGCCCCTGGAGGAGGAACCGGGAGGCGGCAAGCGGCCATCCTTGGAGCGGCTGGACTCCCAGGTGTCCACTCTCCATCAGGACGTGGCTCAACTGAGCGCCGAGGTGCGCAACGCTATCAGCGCCCTGCAGGAGATGACCTTCACCTCGAATGCCATGACCTCACACAGTTCTTTGAAGTTTCCGCCAGCCAGGTCTATTCCAAATATCTGTGGTCTGGCACCCACAAGAGCTGGGGACTCCGTGGATCACGGCTTGATGGGCGGACCTTTGGGCGGCATTATTGGTGCCGCTGAAATGGCAGCAATTCAGAGATCATCTTCGCATCCGCCGGAAGTATGGGGCAGGGATGTCCAGCTGCCCCCGACGAATCCAGTCGCCTCCAAGCCTGCTTCTCCGGTGGAACCCAGTAAGACAATGTCCAGTAGAAGCTGCCAAACGGATTTCTATCGAATAGACTTTCCCACATTTGAACGCTTCGTGTTGGCCAATCCTCGCTTGGTCTTGGGCCTCCTCGGCATCGAACCCACGATCAAAAACGAGATGGAGCTGCTGCAGCAAAAGCAGACTTTGCAGATATCGCCTCTGAATACAATAGACGAATGTGCTTCGCCAGCGGATCCCAATTTGGCCAGTTCCAAGGAGAGATTGATTGGATCCGCTCCGACAACGTCACCTGGAAGGATTTATCCACCTCTGGACGACGAGAACTCCAACGACTTCCGCTGGACAATGAAGCATTCCGCCAGTCATCACAGTTGCTGCAAAAGCACTGATGCCCTTCTGAGTCCTGAGGAACCTCAGCCTCCACCGATTACGCAGGAGGGGAAACCTCCAGGAATGGCTGCCACTTCTGGCCAGGAGACACGATCCAAGAGGAGCTGTCGCCGCAGCGCCAGTGGCAGCAACTCCAGCCTGTCCAGCACCAGCTCCAGCTCGAATAGCTGCCTCGTCAGCCAGAGCACTGGCAACCTGACCACCACCAACGCCTCGGTGCACTGCAGTCTCAGCAGTCAGAGCGTGGCCAGTGCGGCCACCACGAGGAGGGCTTCCTGGAAGCTGCAGCACTCGAGAAGCGGCGAGTACCGCCGCCTTTCGGAGGCCACCGCTGAGTACTCCCCCCCTGCCAAGACCCCTGTTCCAGTTTCCGGCTTGAGCTACAGCGGTGCGGACGAGGAGGAGAGCGTGGAGCTGCTGGGCCCGCGACGGAATTCCAGGCCCATCCTTTTGGGAGTGACCCAGAATCAGGGTCAAGGGCAGGCAATGAATTACCGATTTTCGGCGGGGGACGCCGATAAACTGGAAAAGGGTCTGCGGGGCCTTCCATCCACACGCTCACTGCGAGATCCCAGCGGCAAGTAGGATGGGATGCCTGGATGGGGTGCCCTCTACATGCAACCCGCCAACACGCGTGATTTATGTCCTAATTAATACTGAAACACAAAGACGCTTGTATATTTAATATCTCTAAGATACACTCACACACACACGAGTTTGGTTGTTCATTTGCTCCCCCCTGGAATTGTACCTATTAGGCACACATACATATTATGAAGCATATCAGAGAAACAAAAGGAATATCTCTAACAGCCACGAATTATTTATTTTTGTAAACCGCATCGGGAATCGTTAAGCAGTTTGCTCCAAAAAGAATAATGAGGCAGTTAAGGTTGAAGAGGCGGAAGTACAAAGCTGAGAGACCTCCTAAACAATTATATATATTTTTCAACAAAATATAAAAACATATATCAGAAAATAGAGAAAACACAAATGGTGAAATCTTTGAAGTCATTTGGGAAGTTTTTTGGGAATTAGATGTGTGATTCCTTCGAATAAATATTGAAAAGTAAATGTCTTCAAAGTATTAGTATTTTGTTCATCCAAGCCTTAGTTAAACATTTATATTATTCGTATATAGAGTATAAAAATTGGTAGACATCTAAGTTGGAAATCCATTCTAGTCATTGATAATCGACAATCTTGTGCTAACCATATAATCCAACGGGCAGGGAAACACTTCAAAAGTGAACTCTCTGGCTTTTGGTGAAAAAGTGATTTTGTGATTCCAAGCACGGAGAGGCAACTGACAGCTCAAAATTCAGTCGGTGGAGGGCTTTTTCTGGGTTAGTTAGTAGTTGGCTAAAACCAAGAGTAAATACAAATCTAAAAACTATAATCAACTGTAAACGGTGTACATTTCAAACATACCTTAATTATCCAGATTGTATATAGATATCAATCGTATGTGTACATTTGCTCCCAAAAACTATAAAGACTTGAGCTTCATTCTATCTTTGATGTAAGCATTCTATGATAATAAGTGTATAAGTTTTATATGTGTTTAGATGGAAACATATTTTAGCCAAGCCATGGCAGTTGGCCTATTTAATAAGCAGAATTATTCGGTTGAGATCAAGGCAAGGTATTGTAGTAAGAAAAGAGAACCTATTAAACGTTTTTAAATGTTTTAAACCTAATGTTATTGAGACTATATATACTTGTATGTATTATGTATTATATATGTAGTTATACATCTAAAGTATAAAAAGAATATTCGATATTTCAATAAACAATAAACTTGATGTGACAAATTCCAAAAAAAAAAAACTTCCATGAGTCTGATTTTTGTACGGCTTGTCTTTGACTTTTCGGCTTCGTCCCATGACTGGATATTTTTTGTGTATCATCTCTTTGCGGCGTGACTGGCACAGCTTTAATGTGCTTAATTCAATTGGTCGTTTGATATAGCCTCACCACCATAATCCGGTAACCTGATTGCCAAGTTTATTGTGTGTCAAGTTCGCATGTCAATCGGGGTATTAGGTTGCCCCATTTTGGGTCTTTGCTATGCATAACTCCTCCTGTGCTTCTCTGTTGTTTAGATAAGCGCCTTAAATTTGGATCCATATTTAACCTGATGTGGGTTTAATAAGAGCTTAATATTTGGTAAGATGATTTATATTAAATGGGTATATTGTAAAGGAGTAATTTTTCTAAAAAGGAATATTTTTTAAATATTTAATATTTTTTCAGTGTCTGCTTATTTTGTACAGGAGTATATTTTACATGCTTAGGTTCTTCCACAATTTATTAATACAGAAAAAAAATGTAGCCATGTAGACTTAAAGCTAACTAACTGTATATTTTACACAGAATCTTACCTAAAATTTCCTTATCAAATATTAGCCCCAAAAATATCCTTTCAAAAGCTTTTCCTATAACAAAACTTTCTCCATTATTTCTTTAACCAACCGCCAAAAGCTTTTGAAAGTCAAGTGGAACCCATTGGCATAGCTTACTATCCTTGTAAGCTTTTTGGGGTCTATCCCCACTAAAATCCTTGGGAAAAGCTTACAAATAATTACTCTCAACCAAAAATTCAGTTCATTAGATTCGCAATAGAATTATCATATGCCAAAAGTTCACAAAAGAAATTATTTTTAGCATTTTGCCGTGGTGGGGCTCTAATTAGCTCATGCCTCATTAATGCAGGCATTATCACAAAAATAATTTATTTCAAAACTTTGGCCTGCATTTTCGCCGATAACGACGAGGTTTTGCTCGAGAGGGTCTAAAACGCCCCAAAAACCCCCAATAGCAAAAAAAACAAAATGAAAAAAAAAATTAATGTTAATAACTTGAAACTATTATCAAACTCATTGCGGTGTGTTTTTCGCTGGAAGAGGAGAAGCAGCAGTTTCATTTTCAGTTTAGTTTCCCGACAAGAAAAACTACTCGAGCAAAGAAATTAAGCTAACTACTCCTATTTTTTCACTGTTATTGCGGTCGCAATGGCACAAATGCCTCAGTGGGCATCTATAAAGGAGCTGGGGTGGCATAAAAGTAGGAAAAACTTTTTCCGCGAAACTTTACAAGGATAGCAAGGATATCAGGAAGATAGAGCGAGAGGCGGACGGCGGAGAGGTAGATCCGTTCAAGCCAGAATTGTCGCTTAATAAGATGTCCTTAAATAGCCCGATTGGAATCGGAATCTCGGTATCATGACCACACTGGCACTGACCAAAATATCCGTTGCTATTCTGCAGGACGTGGGCACCAAGTGTATATTGTTTTAATTAGAATCGCAGACACCGAGGGCCATTAGCCAAAGGGAAAGGGGGCAGGGGGCGGGAACAGGGGGCATCACTATCCTCTTAATTACGCAAATACAAATTGGTCTATGGCATGCACTCTGATTTCGTATTCGCAATTTCGGGATGGCCCGGACTGGGAGGGAGAAGGCAGCCTGTGGGTGGCTGTGCCCGCCAGATGACATTCATGATGTCAGTTGCCCGAAACATGAGCATAACAATTGCTATTGATTGCACAAACAACAACATCCGCCGCCCTATAAGGTCCAGTCATAAGCGTGCTGTAATTTCTGCTCCAATTCTGCAGCAACATTACGAGCTTGCACTCTTGGTTATTTCTGCTTAATTGTGCTGCAGAAACGAAAACTTTTTCAACTCCAGCTCCGTTGGTTAGATATCTTAAATTCAATGAAACTCTGAAGCTGAAAACTGAATGAGTTTTAATCACTCAATGGGAAACTTTTGAGGAACAACTGGAAAGCAACTAGTTGGATGCCAATACACTTGCATTGATTGCGTTACCAATTATACAGTTTGTTCAAAAATTTATTTTACACAATCCCTTCTAGGTTATAAGCTCCAATTTCGCTAAAATAAAATTAAAGTTTTTATTACTTGACATGCACAAGTCTTTAGTTCATTTAAAATGCAAGTTTCACTTAGCACCCAATCGAATCCCCAGTCTGCTTACGTATTTATGACCGAAACTGGGAAATCAATTGGGGCACAGAATCGGGCGCCCTCTGCCCCGACTTAAGCATCAAAATGCTCCAATAATTTCTAATTTATTTTAAGTAAAAGGGCCAAAGCAAACGAACATAAAGCAAATTACCAAACGTAATCGATGAAGCGGCACAACAAGCCACGGGCCACGGCTAAAAAGTGGGCTGGGTGGAAACTTTTCCACCAAATAAAAGAAAATGAATGCCCCTGAATGGGCATCAGTATGGGTATGGGTATGAGCAGTAGTGTGTGCAAGTGTGTGGCTGGTATGGATGGTGTGTAGGAGGATATTACAAGGCAGCCTGCAGAAGTTTCGCACTGAAATTCAATTGAACTGCAAGCAGGCAGGCCAGCAGTCATCAAGTAACTCCTGGATGGATGCACTGAAAAATTTGTTCAAAGGGCTTATAAACTTTTTAAAAATAAAAGCTTCAGAATTATTTTAAAATAAATATTTACTTCTTTTTGTAAAAGAAGTATTGAAGTATTTTTGTATTTTATTGTGCTTCTGAGTATTTTATTTTAAACTAAAAAACATAGAATGGCACAGAAAAATTATTCTTTTCTTACAAATGTTTTTTTCTGTCCTTTTCAAAATTTCAAGTCAAGATGGCAATCAATGAAACCAAGTAATTATAAATATTTTAGTTCGAAATCAAGTGTCTACTCGAACCTTTTTTTCTTGCAATGTGAAAAAAGAGGTAAGACCGTCGGCCAACTGGGATAAATTTGTGGTGCACTTTAAATGCGTTTAAAGAAAAAGGCAGTAAGTCAGCCAATTGGCGTGCACTGTCGGCTGACGATTGGCCATTGGATATTGGCTATAGCCGAGTGCCCGGAGCCCTAATGTGCGGTTCATTAGACAAAGTTGACCCCACTCCATTGGCAGAGCCGGCTCTCGGCTCTCACAGGCGTAATCGCATTAAAAGGATTCTGGGGAGTAATTAGCAAAGCAGCAAAGCGACACCCGGCTCATTCAGGCGTTCGGGCCACGTTGACAAGCGGACAGTCGTTTGATTTTGATTAGCTAATGCAATTCCGCTCCAGTTGCATCTGAACCACAAACTTGCGGCGTTTGTTTGAAATGCGAAAAAATCTCTCAATCGCCGTACAGGTAACAAAGAAGGTAAGTTCTACTCGCATTTTCCTTTTTTTTGCCAACTTTTTCGCAACTTTGAGTAACTTTTCCACACACACACACACTAAGGGCGAATGAGGTAGTGAGTGAGTGAGTGGCAACAATTTTTATAAAAGCGGCAAAAGTTGCCCTTAAAGCCTCTTTGTCATACGAAATGCCACACCCCCTGTAAGCCTGCCCCGCCGGCGTTATTCGTTTTTGGACTCAAGTTTATGGCATGCACAAAGCATTCAGTTAATACGCACTTAATAGTCAGGTCATAAATTTTAAATACTGCTAAATGGCGGCCCCAAGATATGTATTCAAGAATGCTTATATTAATGCCCAGATATGTAAAGCAAAGCATGCATACAATATCTATAGGCCAACACATACATTTATCATCCGCAGCCTGATCAACGCCTTTTACAACCAAGAAGAAATATTGGTTATGTATTAGAATGAGAAATTTAGACTTTTCCCTATGATGAATACACTAAAAAAGATACTTATGACCTTGTATTCTTCATAGGGAGAGAGTGTCTTTCCGGTTTATTGCTCATACGCACTGTTGCCTTAGTTTTGAATTTTTTGATTAAAACCCGAAACTTGTTTTGGTCTTTGGCTTGAAAATGAAATCCCACTGCATGGTAGTCATGTTTTTAAAGTTCTAGACTTATTTTCCTTGTCTGCCAGCAATAAGTACTCGAAATTACAGTTTTCAATTACCAAACGTTTAGTTCTCACTACTACGAGAGCGACCTTGTATGATAGCACTTAAAGTTCACCATCCTTGGGGGCAAGGATTTTATTGCTTGTCTCAAAGTTTTCGCTCGCCCTGTTTTACGACTTTGTCTAGCAACATTTTTGCACGAGTGTATTTATGGGCCAAGTGTCACCCGCAATGCAGGCCATAGTAACACCATCGCCCACACGCACACCCATGGATTCCTTGGGAGTTCTCCAACTTCGACGAGCGCATAAAAATGATGAGTTATTTGTTTTTTAGTGCATAATTTATGAGTTAAATGAGTTTTTCATATGCGAACGCGCGGCTGACAGTCTTCGTTATGGAACAGGGCGTTGTTCTACAGATTTGTTAGAAACACACACACACACACAATTGAGTTTCCTTCGTCCTAGCACTGCAAACAAATTCTTCTAAAATGAATATATAATTCTAATATATACTAGCTACTATAACAGTCTTGGTTATCATATAGCTTACCTTTTTATATATTTTTTAGAGCTTAGTTTTTTCTTATATTTATTTAATTTTTTTCTCTGCTAACATACGCACATCCGGAGCGAATGTCGTGCATGTTGGCTGTCTTTTTATTTATGACTTTTACGCGTGAAACTTCATTCGAAAGCGTTTAAGTGGAAGCACACACAAAAAAGATTTCCTTACCCAGGACACAGGACTTGGTAAACTTTTGTTGTTGCTCCATATATACAACCAAACACACACTCTCCACTCCACACATATGCGGCACTTAAACATGCTCTTTGTGGCTTGACTTGATGGCACGTTTATCATGCAAATTGCGCCTAATTGTCCGG